CACAGTGAAAACCGGACACTGACAGGAAATATACTCAGAATCTACCAAATCCTACTGTTTCCATTTGTTTTCACTTGTCCACTGTTCAAGTGTTTTATAATTCATGAGATCATGAAATATATTTTATTTAATTTTCTAAATTATTAATTTTAATTTCATGTTCAATTTAATATTTTATAAAGACATTTTAAAATAAAATTGTATATTTTATGTATAAAAAATCATCAGTGATTTAAAATCTTAATTATAGTGTTATTAATTTATTATATATACATAATAATTATTTCACTGTAGTTATACTATTTTTAAAATATTAATATTATTTTTTTAAACTTTTTCAGAGGCAAAGATCATCTGAAAAACCAATATGTATTGGATTTGCAGATCTCCAATAATAGATACTGTTCAGTGTAGCAGATAGTAGAATATACCCTTTATATTGAAATCAAATAATTTAAATAATTCAAATATAAATCTTATAGCAATACAAGCATATGAATAATTATAATTCATCATACAATTTAAAAAATTTGAATCCTTAACTATTTTGGTATTTAAAATAAAAATTCAACTAATATTAAAAAAATTATCATTTATTTAAAATGAATTCTGATAAAGATATTTCAAATAACTCGTGGTATTTATTGATATAGTACGACTTGTAAACTTGACGACTGATGTATTTACTAAATAATCTAAACAAAGTTGTCAAATATATATATATATCACTTTTCATGAATGTTTGAATGAAATAACTAATTAGAAGTTTTAATTTTCTATTTTATTCTATTATATTCTATTTTATCTATAGAATTTTTTATTATAATTATAATATAGAATTCATTATATTATATTCTATTTTAACTATAGAAATTTTTTTATAAAAATCACCAATGTGTATAAAAAATTAATACAAGTAAAATATATTAGAAAATAATAAATTAGATAAGTAATATTCACAACTATTTAACTAATAATAACTATTTAAGCTATAAAAATGATTTAACTAATAATAAATCGAATCTTTATGAACCTTACAAGTTGAAACTATTATTAACCTTATTTGTTTTTAAAAAATAAGAAATTATTGGATATAATTATGGATATATTTAGATACGCATAATAATAAATTCGTCATATATGTATGAATATTTATATGGTTGTTAGTAAATATAAATAACCACTATTTAAATTACTACAACGAATAATTTATTTAGTTTAATAAACAAAATATATACATATATTCCAATATATAACAGCAGCTATTAATGTAAATTTATTCAACTTCAAAATTATTAAATTATATTTTTAATTAATTTGTTTAAAATTTTATATAAATGTTGTATTTGTTTTATAGTTTTGATAAATTGATATAAAGATATAAAAATTATTAAATTTTTAAATTATAATTATTATATTATATTGGCTTTATTACTTGAATATATTAACGTATAAAATGTTGAATAGAATATAAAAGTGAAAATGAAATATTTTACACATGAAAACGTAAAAATTCATGGTTAATATTTTTTGTATATAAAACAAACAATATTAAGGAAATTTTTAGTTATAAGGAACGTAATTACATATTTTTATTTAATAATCTAGTTAAATTAAGTTATGTTTATACAAATAAATATTTATTTGTAGTTCTTTTAATTTTTTTTGTACTTAAAATGTAATTTATATAGTTTTTAATGTGTAAACATTTCACATCTATTGAAGGTTTTTATTCCATTATTGTCAACTAATACAAGTTCTATTAATTTATTATATTAATATCTAATAAATGAAGTCTGCTATACACTACTAAAGTGTAATTAGTATTTACTTTCTTATTAGCATCATTTATATGTATTTCCACTGTCATTATTTGATTTCATTTTACTGATATTGATCACAATGTAAAAAAATCATAATTTAAATTTAAAAATATTAATGAATTATTATCACATTGTACATATATATTTCATTTAATTCTAACATAATATTTAACACGTTGTTATTATTTTGAATATTTTTCTAAGTATTTTATTTGAATAGAATATATCACTAATTCTGAGTTATTTATAAATTATTGTAAATCAAAAAAAAAAATTGTCTCACAAATGGGTAAATGGTTGGTACAAATAGATATTTAACGTTTTTTTTATATAATTAGTATTGCATTCTAATATTTTAATTAGCTTTTTACTTTTGCAGATATGGAATATACTATGTGATTAAAATAACAGTGAACATATCAATATATGATTAATTTTCTTTATTCGTAAAAATGTAAAAATATTCCAAGTATTATTAACTTGTTTTTAAAAATACATTTTAATGATAGAAATTTGTATTTTATATTTTCTATTCCTAAGATTAATTTACTATAATTTTAAATATTAAAAATACTGATTTAAATAATAACCATATATATGCCCATTTTTTTGTAACTTATTAATCAAAGATTACTTAAATTTTCTTTTTAATAAAAAATTCTGTAGAAATTATTGTATTTGTTTAAATATTTTACTTGTCTTATATTATTGTTATACTTTTGTATACCATTCTTTATTTTACTATTTGTACACTATTCTAACTGCGATTTATTCCAAAATTATTCTATAACACTTTTTTCAATTATTAAATATACCTGGTTTATAGATTCTTCTAGAAATCAAAATCTTTTATTCCTATAAAATTTTTTAGAATGAATTTTAATTCTTTCCAAATACTCAAATAAGTCTCAATTCTTGTTAACTTCTATCTGTATTAATATTTTTTATGAATGCTCAATTTCAATTAAAACGTTACCAATATTATGTTATTTACAATGTACATATTAGTTGTTATAGGTAAAACTGAATTTTGGATAATTAAACGAATGTTCTAAAATAATCTGCCATTTACAAAACAATCGGATAACGATTGTAATTATTGTATGTTTTACGATCTTGTATTTGTATATAGCTCTTTGTGCTGTTGATTTGTTCTATTATTATTGATTATAGCGTTTCATTTAAAATGTTAGTTTACTGAAATACTGCTTTACAATTATTTTGGTATTAAATAATTTCTAGGCATGTATAAATAAATATTGTATTTTTATATGTGGGTGAGGCTTTCAATATCGATATGCACTTACTTTATAATTATTTTTTTCAATCACAAATACTTTTTATTCCCAAATCTTTTCTATGTATTCTAATGTTTCTGTAATTTCTAATTAAAAATAAAAATTCTTTTAATTAAAAACTTCTAAAAAATAGTTGATCATTAGTTTTGCTAAAGGGTAGACAATATTATATAAATTTCCATTATGATTTAATTAGTAATTTATTGTAAAACATTGTTCCCATTTCTGATAGTATAAGAATCTATTTCAATGCTTATATTTTATGATTAATTTATTTATCGTCTTTTATTTAATATTGTATATATTAGATACATTAAGAAGTTTTCCCTTTGTTGATAAATAATTTAATTTAAGGATCCAATCTAACATTTTCTTTGAAAATAATTGTCTTATAACTAATATTTTTATAATAGTGTGAAGCTTATATTTTATAGTAATTTCATATTTTTATTGTGCTTTAGTTAAAATTTGAATATACTGCTATTTAATTGTAATGTTGTGTACGGTCGTAAATGAATTCAATGTTGACATAACAATTTCAAATATCAGTTAATCTAGAGCATAAATATATTTATGATACAGAATTAGCATCGCTATTGGTATGTTGTTTACTTACGATCTTTTAGATACCTAGAGGAGTGATTCGTAAACATTAATTTACTATTGTACCTTTTTTGATTCTATTAGATATACATTTGAAGTACATTTAGAATAAAAACAGTTTTTGTCATTAATTGCGACACGTTTACTACATATTTTCTAAAGATAATTATTGAAATAATTGTCATAAAACATCATCAAAATAATGGTATAAGTTATAGAACTGCAATAGATTTTTTCCTATACCTTATATTGTCTATTAAATAAATATTTTAAATTATATTTACAAGTTCTTCAATTTTTTACAAAATAATATTGGTCAAAATATTTTTCTATTCTGTATTGAATAACAATGAATTTTTAAAATTATAATATAATAAAAATTTAGATTTTTAATTAATATTATTAATATTTAAGATATATAAATACTTTTTAATGCATCCCTGTTTTAATGAAATTTTTTTAAAATACCTTTTTTAAGTTTTCTATAGTTTGTACTAAATTGATTTCATTACTTATTTCAATAGATATAGCATCTCTCAATACTTTTTCCATATATAAATTAAACAAAATATAATATATTATAACAATAATAATAATATAATTTTGAATTTATTATTGTAACAGTTACAATCGCTGATTTCAAAAGACTTTCTTATATTACTTTATTTACACTTATTATTTTATAATGTACTTCCAACTCATTTATTAAATTATATTCTCACGGCGATAAATATATTTTAAATTTAATATTTATAGTTAAAATGTATTATGTAATATGCCTGATAGCTAAACATTTTAATATTACTCATTATAATTGAAAGACTATTGAAATGTAATTACAAGTTTCATAAACTTAATAATTGCAACTCATTTTAAGACACTTTAAAGTACGATCGAATAATATTTTATAATTTTTATATTGAACTATCTGAAATTTAATATAGAATGTAATCGGTCCTTTTATATTTACCTTACGTAAAGTTACGATTTAAAAGATTTTGCTGCATTACTACTGAAGTTTGTTTAAGTTTTCAATAACTTGTATTCAATATTATACTTTATGAGGTACTGCTGAAATTAGGTAATGTTTATATTTAAAAATTATAGGCAAATAAAAAAACCGCAATATTTTATTATAATCTAATTAGCATTAAATTTATTTAATTATATTTAAGTGTATTTTAATTTTAACTCATTAAAGGTAAACAAAATTACAACTGAAAAATATTAGATCAGAATAATAAATTTGTTATAGTTTCGTATATAGTGCAATTTATGTTTTATTAAAAAGACACTGTAGTTCAAATGCAAATAAGAAACAAAGTAAATATATTTTTATTATATTTCACTGTTTCATTTTGTTCGCTTTTTAAATCCCTAGTATGAATTGTATCAATTGTTCATTATTTCACATTACTGTTCTTACATAACAACTAATTATTTATGTATAAAATAAGATATTGTTGAATATCCAACATAGTATTTATTCACGTTTTCACCATAAAGAATAATAGTGCACATTTTTTAGTTAACTAAAAATCTATCCATTTAATTGCCACCAGCCCAGTAACTTGCACTGTAGCCAGGTTTTATTTGTGCTTTATTCTGTGAATTATTATTTGATCTTTGTCCTGTACTATTACCACTATCCTGATGCACTGGTTGATGTAGTTGATGAGGCACCGTAGGAATAAATAAATGAGCGGCTCCGTATCCACTAATAACACTTGCATTTTGGTTATTTGTTAATCCAAAAGGTGGCGGTGTTGCTGAATGAAATGCTTGTTTTTCATAAGACTGCACATAAAATATTTTTTATTAGATATAACATAATTTATTATAATTTATTTATGAATTTATTAATAAGTAGTCCCTTAAAAATATAACTTGTTAACAAAAAATCATTTTGACAGTGATAATGTTTCATTTTACAATATAAATAATTTATTAATTACAAACTTGGAAAAAATTTTTTTTTTAATTTAAAAATTATTTTATTATATAGTATTTAAAAATAGGCACACTTCGTATTTCATAATTTATCAAGCTAAGAAATAATAATTTTAGTACTAAAATTATAATAATATTATAATAATATATATAATAATATTAAAATATTTAATTATTTAAAAGCAAAATTAAGTGCAGTATTTATATTATTAAGTCTTTTATAAAAAGTAATTATCTCCTAGGTAATTTTAATATATATTTTACCGGATTGTATTAGATGGTATTTTTAATATTTATTTGTTCATCATTAAAAGAAAATTCTGCGCAGATCCTTTAATTTTTAATTAAAATTTACTTTGATTCAATATTTTAATTCTATATATAATAGGGTAAAAGTTAAATAACAATAGTCGTATTTCAAAAGAATGAAAGTGGGGTTAAATTATAAAAAAGCTCGAACAGTTGATAATCGTGCATAAAAACATCTAAGACGCGCTGAGTTAAATTGTAAATACTTCATGTGAAAATCCGATATGTACTGATGGGTGCACTTGATACTGTAATAAGTTTTGACACTTTTGTTAAATGTAATATATATTTTTATGTGAAATATGTAAGTTTCAATAGATTGATCTTTTTTTATTTTTTATGTAGCATTAATAAAGATGACTCCTTCCGAATTTGTAGTAAATATTCTAGGCTTAGACGTATATGGTTTCATTTTCTTTCCATACCTCTTATGACATACTCGTCAAGGTTGTACTCGCTTCAGGTAAATTGAAGATGTGTTGACCGTTTTTTTTTTTTTGACCATTTTAGTGGGCTAAGTCCGTATGCGTGTCTACATTGATAGAAATATTTCAATATTAAATGCATAGAATTATAACATTAATTATAAATTTATATAATTAAGGTTACGTGAATGATCTGAGCCTGAATACAAATATCCTACAACAGGCATATACTGTACCCTTTTATAAAACTATGCTAATATTGATATTTATGTATTAAACACTAACTTAATATGTATCTAAAGATTATGTAGCGATAGAAAAATAAATAATTGGCCGATGAGTTCAATGGTCAAAACTCCTTTAATAAGATTCGCCAACATTTGTGGTAATGTCAACATTAGAGTTTTTATAATCCTTTTAGTAAAAAATTAGATAAAATGCTATTGTTTGAAGCTTGACATATAAATGTGTTTTTTATAATTTATCGAAATGTATATTTATAACTACAACTTGGTAAACATGAAAAATATCTATTTAATACTATACTATAATTTGAGATTGATAGTTAATAAATATTTCATTGCTATTATTTTTATAAACAGCCACTAATTTGCAAATAAAATTCAACTTTGGTATGCTATATTTTTAAAAAATGATTGCTACCTACCTTCGAAATCATCATTAAAACGTATCATATATCCATATTTTAAATAGTAAAAATTTGATGAACAGTTAATTTAAAAATATTTCTATTTAAATTTAACTATTTTAATAATCATTACTATTTGAAAATTATAAATTAATATTTTATACTTTTGTATTAATTTTTAAATTTCATTCTAATCATATAAATATAGATACCTTTTACAATGTGTCCCAGTGATTAAAATGTTAACATTCTTGCTTATACTCTAAACTTTTCAATGATTTGATTACAATTAATAATATTTGGTAAATGACATTTTCTTAAGTTTTGTAAATTATTATGGTATGACTGTTTGTAAATAACACCTTCAATTGTTACTATGAATATTTCAATCTTTTATCAACTTTGATAGTGCAGCCCAATTTAGTATATGCGCTATTTAGGTTTGTCGAAATGGTACATATAAACTATCAATTTTTATAAATCATTGATAAGTTATTGATATAATTTGTACTTCAATCAATTAGTATAAATTGATAAATTTGTCAAATTCAGTGTTATAATCTATTTTCATTAGATCCGTAATTCAATTGAATATGTTTTAGTTTAAAGTTAACAACACAATCACAGCGTTCCTTTTAACACCAGTATATATATATATATATATATATATATATATATATATATATATAATTACTTAATTTGAATATTGGAATTCAATGTAATCATGTAATTTATGGACTTGTATTATTTATTGTACTATATACTACGCATTATAGTTAAATTCAGCATCATTCTTTATTAATAAATATAGATGTTTCTTCATGGTTTTCTTTAAAAACAATTTTTCGATACATAAGAACCAATAACTATTTACAAAATTTTATTAACGTCAATCATTCATTTTAAAAATATTTTACAAAATGTATAATGCAATTCATAAATATATAAATAAATGTACAATCTGATATCTTGTATAATACTTTTCAATTAAATAATGTACTTATACTTTATAAAAAATTATAACTAAAGAACATATAATAACAATTTTCTTCATTCTTATTATCTGTATAATTCGAAATGGTTTCTGTCAACTGCATACTGGTAATAGGTGTAAATATAATAATTTATTTTGTATCAATACAATTTTTATTGGAATACCAATACATATATCATATAATACATAAACTAAAATTAATTTTTTTGAATATTTGTTGTCAAAATATCGACATTGAGCCGATAAAATATATACTGCTTGAAAAATGTAAAGTAGCTCAATTTAATCAAATTAAATCCTTCCGTATATAACCTAGAAGAAACAGATTATTTATAATAACCTTATAATAGGTTTTTGAAAATAACGAAGAAAAAACATTGTTTTTTGTTATAAAAATTAATTTTTTTATATTGTCAAAAGTTTTAAACACTTCAAAATACGTTCATACAATTTCAATAGAAGCTATAAAAGATTACTTGAATTTTCAGAACAAAAAAGCATTTATTTTTAAAGCAGTCTTCTTAAGAATTATAAATAACAATATCAAGATTTAAAAACTATACCTTTAATCCATCGTGTCAGGACTACACACATTTAGATTTGTGTATATTTACGTTCCATGTCGTTCACACCTCGTAACTCTTTAAAAATAATTTTAATAGTGCTTGATAAACCATTATACAAAATTTAAAAATTCAATTTTCTTAGTTATGATGTATAATTTTTGCTGCTCTGGTATAGACATTATATGCTAATTTTGCACGTTTAGTCATGTTTTATTTTCTTCAAAAGTACGTTATAATGAATTTTTCCTAAGACTTGCTATTTTCACGCTGTACTTCATTTTGCATAAAAAAATTTGATAATGGTATCATAAAATTATTAATAAATGATAATAAGAGACTTTTTAATGTAGAATAAAATAGTATTTTAAGTTTTCATATAAATACTTTATAATCGTATTTATATATAAACATTATTTGCAACTGATGAAAAATTATGTCGGATGCATTAGTTTCGTTTATTGCAAACAAATTTTCAATTTATAATGTAATTAAATACATAATTTATAAAATCTATATAAGTAATTTCGGTACTTAGAGAAAATTATATATTTAGAATTAATAAAAATATTTTTTTTTTTAATACCTTTCATCAAAATACGCTGCTTTTTAAGTGCTACATTGTAGTGTTACAAATTATTCTAACCTTGAAATCATTTATATCCTACTGATATTTATGTATATGCATAGACGATTTTTTTAATACCTGTATTTTCAATGATTTTTCAAAATGAAAAATATATAAATTTAAGATTAAGGTAATAGTACAAAATATACATTGTAATAAAATATAAATTTTAAATATATATTTAAAATTCATCAAAAACAAGATGTTACAGGAGTTTAAATCCAAACAATTCTTGAATGTAATCTGAAAGATTCGAAGTCGGTGAAATATTCTCAAATATTTAAAAAAAATAATAAAAATAGAAAATTATGTTAATGTAAAAATCTGTTAATTAAAAATAAAATACTATGATATATGATACAAATAACACGATCTCAACATTAAAAAAAAACTGCTATATTAATGTACCGATTACATAATTACAGTTTACATTATTTTTAAAAAATTTGATTGTTATTATATGAATTTTATATTTATAATGCAGTATTCATCAAAAAATATAGTTTTTATTAATCATACAAATGAATGAGCAATACATTCGATTAGAAAGCATAAACACCAGTGTTAAACATGATAAAATAAAAACATTAAGTTAAAAAATGGGAGGAACTCCAAATTAATTTATATCACTTAATTATTCATAACTTGATATCAATAAAGAAAACTAAGTATTTTAATTTAAACATTTTATAGTTCAAATTTTTATTTTTAATATATTAATGTTTTCTTATCTACATTTTTTCAAAATATCAATCGTTTCATACAAATTATTCCATTGATTGTCTCATGACAATTATTTTAATACCTAGAATTATTGAATTACACTTAATATATTTTTATTATTAGTAAACTTTTTAATAAAAATTGATTTTGTACTATGTTCTTGTTGTAAAAAAAAATTATCACTAAAATTGTGGATGCCAATTTATTTACATAAGTAATTATATATAATTTTACATTTATTTTAAGTTTATTGTCATTTCTGGATGCTTAACATGTTAATCGTTCATTTATGACAATGATAATAAAAGATTAAGTTATTTTTGTTATTAATTTGTGTTAATAAAAATAAAATTCTTAAATCAGTTTCTTAATTCTTAACTTAACTAATTAATTTTTTAAAATCATTGTATGCATTTCAAAAACATTACTAATGAACTATTATAAATTATTTAATAAATCATAATTATGTTAATTATATAATAAAAATAATTATTACAGTAAAAACATGTTTTAAATATCTTGCACCGTGTATTATAACAATACATGAGCTGTGTCGGAATACATATGATAATTATTATGATAGATGTTTATATTTGTTTATTAATATAATTTTCAAAACTGTTTGAACTACTAAATAAAATTTAAATAAAGAAATATTTTTAAAACTGTAGAATATATAAAAAATATAAAGAAGTTATTAAAATTAATTAAATCCATATAATTACAAAATATATTATACTCATAGAAATTAACAAATTGGAGAATTAAGTAAAGTAACTTTTTGGCTCAAATATATTTTACTAAGTCGTATTTGTCTCTTCTTCTTTCATACTAGATCTATTAGTTCAATTTAAGACAATTATAATGTATTAACGGTTATACTTATTAATAAATTGATTTCTACAAACTGGATTAAAAAGAACTAGATTATTGAAAGTGAAGTTTTAAATACAATACAGAAATATAACTACTAAATATATATAAATAAAAAAATACTATCATTTATATATTTATATAAAAATGTATTTTAATGATAATTTTAAGTTTATTTATATATTAATATTAAGTTTATTTATATAAGATAATGTTAAAATGAAAAAAATTCGAATGAGAGCATTACTGCAAACATTGAATTCAGCTATTAGTAAAAATAATCTAAATATACTTAAATAAATTAAATGTAAATAAGTTTAGTTATTTGCAAAAAAAAAAAAAATAAATTCCGAAATGTTAATTAGTAGATACTATAAAATAAATATAAATTACGTCAGATGTAATGGAGAAGGTATCGAAGAATTATATTTAAAAGTTTAAGTTGGATTATGCAAGCTGAAGAGTTTTTATTAGAATAATTTTACGAATCTTTTGCAACGATACCATTCTTATTATAACACGAACAATGGAGGTTATTATCATTAGATTTATTGTCATTAGAAATACATATAGTCACAATATATATTTTAAAGATCATTAAAAATATATTATGTTGTATTATTGTCATACATTCGGATATTGCAGCAATGACGGTATTTATTATTTCTTTGTTGCTTGAAGTGACAATATGCCAATTCCTTTAAAATGATTAAAAATACTTCTTGTTCTGTGAATGTTTATCAATTTTTATTTAATTTATAGTACTAATTAAGTATATTTATACAATAAAAAAATATCGAAGACTTTTAATATTAAAACTCTAATATATCATTTCAACCACATTATTTAAGTTGAAAACAAATAATCAAACAGTGAAAATTGCACTTCCGAATAATGATAACATTATTAACATATAAAATAGAGAAGATAATATTGATAACAAAATCATGAGTCTTCTAAAAGAATAAAGTAACAAAGTAAATGTTCCTACTTCTATATTAGAATATTCGTATTAAAATGTTATTTTGTAAATTAAAATTTAATCTAATTATTCACATTGAATAATATTAACTATAATACTAACGTGTAATATCAATAATAAATCGAATTGAATTTAAATTGAAAATATAAAATCGGATTATAGTGCAATTATTTTGTGAAATTTTTATATTTTTTATTAAAAATTTATTTAAAATTTTGAAAAATGTTTAAAGCTCCTAATTTCTTTACTCTTAAAATTAATTGACTAATTTGATTCACATTCTCATAAAACAATTTTATTAAATTAATAAATTTACACAAAATATAATATTATATATGTTAATATTCTCAAAAAATTTAATTTCAATGAACCATTTATATTGGTATTTAATCAAAATATTTAAAATATTTTTCAATAAAAAATAATTTTTAAAAGTATAAGGAATATAAAGTAATCTTTGAAAAAGCAGAATACATAGTAAAAGAAAAATGTAGAATGAAAAACTTATACAGAATATAGTAAAATATCATAAATTAGCAATATATATAGATTTCAATACACTTTCTATAAGATTTTATCTTAAAAATGCATGAGCAAATTACAGCGGTGTACACGATAGAATAAGAATTTGTTTTCTATTGGTTTGGAATTTTTTTTATATAATATATAAACGCATAAAGTTGTGAGTTACTGACATCATTCATATAATTTTTTAATATTTACCGTAAATGAATATGAGGCTTTTGAAGGAACTTATCATTAACAATCATTTCTCTCTTTGAATTCTTACATTCGTCACAAAAAATTAAAAAAAAAATTGTCTTGGATAAGAGATTATTAACTTAAAAGCAATAAATTTAAATAGAATATATATTAAGATAATATATAAAGTACGGATAAGGCACTATTTTATAATATAATTAGTTCACTTAGTTGACACTAATTTGTCGGAATTTAAGGTTGAATACTATGTTAAATTTTTTATTTCAAAGCTATTCTGGAATGAATTAAAAAAATATGACTGCTTAAAATAAGAATAATTAGATAGTATAACCATAAACAGCATATACTTTTTGTCGCTGTATTAGAAAAACGTTATTAATTAAACGTAATTAATTAAAATTTAATATGTTATTTAGTAATTTATACAAAACAAAATATTTAAAGAAAATAAGAAATGAATAATAAATTTTATAATTCGAAATAATTAAATGTATTGTAAAAATGTTTTGATTATTATATCAATGTCAAATAAAATGAAACTCTTTAATAAAGATAATGTATAGATTTTATTGTAGAAAATATTGGAAATCTATAATTTTTATCATATCAAAAAATAACCATATTAATAAAAATTAATGTTTAAAAATTTATTATTTTTTGTATGAAAGTATCTTTTTATATTCAACAATTTTAGATTATTTAACACTTGTAATCGTTTATTTTTACATGTAATATTATTTTTTAATATTTAACTATTACAACTAATTTGCATTAAGTTATACTTACATTTACTTTGTTAAGTGCAACATGACCTTTTGTGTACATTGTTGTATTTATATCAGTCGAGGTACCAGCTGTGCTTGTATTCCCACTTGACGAACCAGTTTTACTAGTCTGAGTAGTAGAAAATCCAGTTGCGGTATTTTTATAGTCTCCAGATGGTCCAGAATTACTTAATGCATCATAGTTAGTTCCACTTCCATATCCCGAACCATAATTTCCGGGTTTTGTATTATATCCACCACTTGAAGTTGCAGCATTTCCAGCGGTTGCAATTTGCTAAAAATAAATAATATTAATAACATAAAATTTTTAAAAATTCGCAAAAATATTTATATACCTTTTAGATATATGAATAATCTTCTTACATATAGATTAATTTACGTACTATTATTTTTTAATTAATAAATACGCAGCTCAAAATGATAATTAAATCATAATGACAATAATGAATTAATATCTATATGTATATATAGATTGTATTGAATATTACAATAAAATGTCGACTAATTTTTATTCTTAATAAATTACAAAATCTTTTGCATTTTTATTTTTTTGTATGTTGCAAATTTTTTATAGATTTTGATAGCATAAATAATCTATATAGGATATAAAATAAAGCTATTAACAGATTTGATTCACATAATCGTTGGTAAATCTTATCAAAAGCTTTTAAATGTGATTAAAAAAATCAAAAATTTGAAAAAAATCAATAAGATTTATATATCCGAAATGATAAAAATTAATATATGGCGTTCCTTTTAAATATTAATATAATTTTATTCTAATAATTGTTTATATTTGTTCGGAATTCCAGTCACTTGGTGGTCGAAGGACCAAGATGGTTGGATTAGATCATATCCACCATTTTACTGGTGGAACAGTGTGAATAAAAAGAGGTTAATGCTTCAATTCAGTAATCAACACAATTGCTTTTCGTGCTATTTATTGAATTTTATTTTATAAATACATAATTATGATTCAGCGTTGGTTGTGAGAATCGTTCAGATTTTACCGTTCTTTAGTATTTTTTTTCACGTGGAGGTAGCATGCACTACAAGTCAAGGTTGGAGGTTGTAAATCTCCGGGTCCTCTTGGTGTAGTGTGCTAGGTGGAAAATTACTACACTGAGAAGTGAAAGCTCATAAATCTTTGACACTTGTACATCGTCATAATATAATCCTTGTATAGCGTCACGTATGGTGTTTTAAAAGCGAGTCTTCTCTTGATGAATAATATAAAATGGTTCAATACATCAGTGTATCTTGATAGTGCGTGCTATGGTACTTATAGAGATTTAGTGGACATTGGCGCCTTAATCCAGAATGTAGCTCCAGACACAATGACGTCTTAGTACACAAGTTGCGGCTCCTTAATCCAGAATGCAGTAATAAAGTAGTGCTGTCTTGCAATACATCAGTCTCCTCTTAGTTAACTCAAGCAAGTGCGTGCGTTTTGACACGTGCTTGCTTTAAATATTCGAACGAGTTTGATTATCAGAACATACGGCCGGTGTTGCTATGCGGAGAATTGTACAGGGCTTCGAAACTAAAGCTGTAGAAGTTTCGAGAATTCTAGGACAGCAAGCTTTATACGATTGGAGAAACATTGCAGAACGTTTGTAAGCAAAAGCTTTAAAATGATCGAGAAATTTCGGAATCAATGTTTACGATTTCGCGAGCTACAACGATTATAAATTTCGGCGAATTAATTTTCTTGAAAAGTGCTCCAATCCTGAACAATATTATAATTTATCAATAAAAAATTAAGCTTAAAAACCCTTGTTACTCTACATTTTTATGAAATAAAGCAAGTGAACTATTAAATAAGCGGCCATTCAAACAAAGTAAAGTTCTAAAAAATTTAAATTATAGAAATATTATATGACTATAAACACAAGCTGAACAAGTATTTTAAGATAAGTAGTTTCGAAGTTAATGTCTAAATTAATTTTGTAAAAAATTGATTTGCTAAGTTGTACAATTTTTAATTAACTTTTATTGATTTATTGATTGCAATCTTCTAAAAGATTGTATTAACATTATAAAAGAGATTTAAACTTTTAAGATAATAGAGCCTATTCGATTATGCATTATGACGTGGGATGTTTGTATAAATACATACTGTAACGTTCACTTCTTACGTTATCCCTATTTATAACAAAGACAAAACTAAAAGCTAACTAATCGTAATATAATAAGCTGTTAAATAAATGGCATGAAAATTTATTTCAATAATTCGTAAAATAGTATATTTTAATTTTTCCATAAAATTCTTTATTCTTTTTACTAATTATTATATTTATTGTGCAACAATCAACTGCTGACTAAAAAAATTTTTTATGCAAAAGCAATGAAATATTAGTAATTGAATTTAATAAAATTATTATCAAAATTATGTTTATCATTATATTGCCTACGATTGGAAAACATCAAACTTTTTAAATATTTTTATTTTAAAAAATTAATAGTATTTAAAAAGTATTGTTGCAATTTTAATAAAATCAGTTATAGATTTTAAAACATATAATTTTATTAATTATTCTTAAAAAATTAATTTTTTTATACTTTTACCTTTATTTTTGGAATTAATTACTATATTCTATCCCATTAATAATTCATTTACATATGATACATTGTAAAACTTTATTTTTTATATACTAACATAATCATTTTTTAATATATTTTTCTTTAATTTATATAGTTCGATGATTAAAAAAAAATATTACAAATGATATTTAAATATACATAAAATCAATACAAAAAACTTATTAAAAACGAAGAATATTATGATTTATAATTTGATTTAGTACTCCCCTAATTTCCATAAGAGTATTAATCTCTATGTAGAAAATTGAAATCTATAATTGATATAATTAACATCTTCAACATTATAACTTAATATAAAATTTATTATTTTAAATTGAAAAAATGTTTCGTATTAAAAAATCTAATGAAATAAAGCTTTCCCATATAATCATAATGAATTATAGCACACCATTTTTATAAAAAGTATTATTTATACTATTTGTAATTCATTAAAAAAACTTTAATAATGCTAAATTACAGATTTTTATAATAAATATATAAAACCAATGCACTTACAGGATATATTGCTGGAGTACCATATTGAAAACCACTAGCAGGCATAATGCCACCTCCGTAAAAATAAGCATATCCAGGTGGGATTGGATTCATCAATGGTTGTTGATGCTGTGTTGCAGTCTGAATAAACAATAAACTCAAATAATTTATCTTTAAATTACTTAAAATAAGTATTTTTAAAATTTTAATCGACGAATAATCATCAAAAAGGTACTTTTATAATATAATATTATAATTAATATATATAATTATTATTTGTAAATTTTGGAATGTGTTACAAATGCTATCCTAGGTTCAAAAATCACAAGTTTCAAGAGACTACCTAACTTTTCGCCAATACTGCTCATTAGGTTAAGTTAGCCATTAATTTAATAATGGATAGAATAAAACCCACACTAGACACTATTACTATAGACCATAAATACTATACACTATAACTATAGACACTATTCATTTTAAGTAATCATATATGGAACCGGTAAAATATTAAATTAAAATTATATGATGTATTATTAATCTCTTTTAGTATTTTCTACTTATCGTTTGATTGATCATCCAGTTTAAAACATACCACTTAATTCCACGATTTATAAAAGATGCAAATACCTATTTATTTATAAATTGATTATTATGTCATCATTATTTATTAATGATGAAACCTTAATATATATGTACATTCATTAAATATTATATAATTGCAATTTCAACATTATCGTTTAAGTTAACCAGTATTTAATTCAATTTTATTGAATTAATATATAAATATATTGATATTCTTGTAAGAGCAAGTGATAAAATTCTTTATTCAAATTTTTTAAATTTTATTTCACTCAAAAACGAGATTTCTACTTAATACCTTATTGTTATACTATATTACCATAATACCGGTTGTTCTTTACATTACTCAATATATTGCATTTACATATAATTTTTTATATCAATGTAATTTGATATTATTTTAAATAGATAGATAAAAATTCATTATTTTTTATTCCTTATCATATTTCTTAATATTGTTTATATTATTTTAATTTCTCTTCGACTAAATATGGATTTTTTATAATTAGCATAATTAAAACAGAATGTTACCAATGTTTAAATTTTTCGTAACCACTATGCTACGTTAAAATAAATAATAATGTGGTATGTCATAAGTGACAATTGATTTTTATTTTCAACGTAGTTGAGTTTGATTATATCATCGCAATATCTTTTAAAAATTTAATGGTACTGATAGAATTTAAATATTTTAAATAATGACAATAATTATTTGCTTCCATAAGCTCATAAAACATTGTATATAAATTACAAGATACGTTTATAAGATTAATTTACATATTTAATACCAAATAAAGAAAATTCTTGCTAATTATTATTCTATATGAAAATATTGACAGATTTTCAATAACTTTTACTCCATAATTTTATTTCTAAAATATCACTAATATATTGCTTTTTTGATTGACTGTAACCAAAATTATTACCACTTTAAAATTAATTTTTTTCATTTGAACACATAAATTTATTTTAATTTGTTAATGACAAAAATGGTAACTTCATCTAAAAATGTCTAAAAATATATATATATATATACACACATTATTCTATATAAATTAATTTTTTTTAAAGAATTAAGAATGTTTCTTTTATAAATGTATAATTCGTTGTTCACTCAAAAACATTACAGGAAGATTACAAATAGAATAAATTTATTAATCTACTCAGCAAATCAAATATGTATTTGTTGAACTAAACAAAAAAGAATCGAATTATTAAAGCCTTGAAATAAATAAAAATGAAGTCATGTCATTAATTAAATATTTCTGAATTTTGAGTCAGTAATTCAATTCAATAATTCATTCAACATCTACAATAGCTCGGTGATAAATTTTGAATATTGTACCACAACAATGATTTATTAACATTTGCAATTGATATTTGTATAAACAGTGCTAATAAAATATGAAAAAATATAAATATTGAAAACCGTTTATTTTAGAAAATTTCAAAACAAGAAAATAAAAATAAAACATCTAATGCAGCGTGGACCATAAGAAATCCTTTTATACAAACTTAATTTAAACAAATAAATAAAATATATAAATAAAAAAATCTAACAATCTATCATCTATCTTACTTGTTGAGACATAGTCGATGAAACAGGTGACGCATTACTATCTGTTCTTGCAAATCTTGCATCATTAATACTGGTATACTGTCCTTGAACTGGTTGAACGCCCTGAACACCTTGTACACCTGATAAAGCATCATTTCTGCTATTACCAAGACTAGTTACTGGCCCTGTTGTTTGATATCCTAATGCAGCATCATAGTACCCAGTTGTAGGCTAAAATTTTTATATTAAAATATGTAAAAACTTTAAAATAAAATTTCAATCGTTGTATACATATATTTTTTCTTGTTGTATACAAGTATACTAGAAAATAAATTATTATAAATATAAAAAAATATTTGTGTTACTATATAAAATGATAAACAAATAAGTGTATTTATTGTATATAAAAAATATAAATATTAATATATTTAATCACAACAAATATTCATTATTTCGAAATTTAAGATTGGTTTAACCATTATTTCAAATTTTTCGTTACACTACAAAATTATTTGTCTAAAATAGTTTTTCTTTTTTCTTTTTTTTTCTGAAATGTAACAAATAAGAAATTTCAAACACATTTAAATTTTTTAGCATTATCACTTAAGATAATTAACTACAATTTATTTGTTTTAATTTATTTAACTTTGAACCTAATTCAATCTAATCATTAATTTTTCTATTTATAGACCTAATTTTTATTTATGTTAAATCTAATAAAGGAAAAAAATAATAAAACGAGGATGAAAAAGGAAAAAGCACTTGGAAAAGGTTAATTTTCCCATTTAATAACATTCTATAAGCTCTCAAGAAATATATTAACAAATAATGATTTGCTTTCAATATATTAAAAATAATTTTATTAGCCCTATCATGAATTTTTTTTTTAATATACCAACAAATTTATATATTTTAAAATTGAAAGATATTTTACATTACTAAATTTTGTTAATTAATTTAATTGAATACAATCACATTTAAACATCGATAAATATTTGAAGAAAAATATATAAAACAAACCATGTGAGGCAGTCGCTGTTGCATTAATTGTAAATCTTCGTAACTATACATATGAGGTTGTTGAAATGTTGCATATGGTACACTTTGTCCCATAATATATTGATGACTGAGAATTGGTGCAATATTTCCCGACGTACCTGAACCAGAGATACTACTTGAACTATTATTATTATTTGGTACTAAACCATTAACCGAACTTTTTGGCACTGCTGAAAATTAAAATAAATCTATATATATTTTAAATTAAAATTTCATCAGATTATATGTAGCTAACAGTATATTTTATTTAATTGTGTAGTGTATTTATAAAGTACTTGTTAATACTATATGCTCGAAATTGCAAGAACCCTTCCCAAGTTATTAGACATCTGGCAAAATCCGAGTGGCCCAAATATCTGGGGAAAGCCCAAGAGTGTTAGCCATAGTTACATCCACTGCTTGTAGCACCACAATCGCCTCCATTGTGGTCAGCTTTAACTGTCTTGTCGAGTACATAGATAAAGCAAGCACGGGGCCAGTCAGAGGTATTCAGCCATGAGCTAATCACTCAGAAACACAGGCGCTCCCTTTGGGGGGACGCCATGGAAGGAAGACGGTATATCTTAGATGCCATAGAAGAGGTGATCTTTTATGGAGGTTACTGCAGAAGATATAGGCGCTCTAACAGTGGGGTCGTTAAGGAAAAAGGAAGCTCTCTAGATAGTTGTTATTCAAGTTAATGTGCTATCGTACAGCAGCTCAAGGTACCATAACCACCTATCACTCGGTAGAGTTTCTCAAGGATTGAGATGCCAATGAGCACTTTTTCAAGGAGACCACAAGCGAGTAACCAACGCGTCACTACACGAAGAAATATCCAGAGATTTACGACCTCACACTTCTCCGTGTAAACATCTACCACCAAGCGCACCGCGTCAAGAGGACCCGGAGATTTACAACCTCCTACCTCGACCTGTAGTGCATGCTACCACCACGTGGAAACTACCAATGAACGGCAAGATCATAACGATTCGCATCATCAACGCAGAATTATTATAGTATAGTTATATAATAAACGCAATAAACAAGCACAAAAAGCAGATGTGATAAATACTGAATAGAAGCGCTACCCCTGCCATTTATCCACATATCTCACCCACTTTTCTCCCACCAGTAAACTGGTGGACTTAATCTACTTCTAAACACTATTGTATGAATTTATTGATTTTAATATTATAATTATTTAATTTAAGTTTTATACAAATATAAATAAACTTGTTTAATGGATATAAATATATTGATGTAATATAAGATTTGTATTTATGAACATTTAAATAGCATTATTCTTTTTTAATTGATTTGTAATTTTAGCTTTCAATTAATAATAAAAACTATTTCTATTTCGATAAAATATTATATTATTTTATGTGTACGCATATACATTTTAACATTTATTTATATATAAAATCAAAACAGCTACTTTTCAGAAAATAAACAATAAAATATTTCATTACCATTCGACATTGTCGTCTTAGTCTGTGATGTATTTACAGAACTAGAAGTAAGACTTAATGTACAGGTCGTTGTAACTAAAGACGTACTACTAGTTGTTGTATTACTTTCAAATGATAACTCCTTATTTGTACTAGGTTTATGATCTTGAGATACAGCTTGATTTTGACAACCATAACTGGGATACGCATTTGAATAAACCTACACAAAATTTTATATATATATATATATATATATTTAATTTATAACATTGTTAATTATAATCAATATAATTTTAATTACTATTTGAAGATTTTTAAAAAAAATTTTCAATCTGATTTTATAGTAAAAACTTATAATTTTTCATTTATTCAAAATAATATTCTAATGACCATTAAATTATATTTTTTTAAATTATTAATGTATGAATATGTAACGTTTTTGCTGAATCGTTATATTCACGAACTTAATTTAATGTACACAAATATTGCAAAATATTTTTATAACAAAAACAATATTATTAAAACATTAAAAATATTACTCTACTTTGCAACCAAGATTTTTAAAAACTAAATAAAATAGTGGATCAAACATTTATATACACATATTTTAGTATTTTGATTTTAGGTACAAAAATATTGTAAATATGAAATTGTAAACCATAAATAATTATTTAAGACAATATATTTAATTTTAATAATAACAAATTACCGATTGAACTGTATTAGAATATACGCTAGTTCCTTGGCTTATCGATGATGTGAATGTTGTATTGGACGGTTGATAAGGTTGCGCTGTAGATTGGAACGTAGAAGAATTTGGGTATACAGTATTTATATAAGAGTTGTTACTAGAAGTATTAGTAGATGCAGATTGTGATTGATATTGTGAAATTGGTGTCGTAAATCCAGAGGTTGATTGATACCCCTGTAAAAGTGTTAATTAAAATTTCCTATTTTTATTTAATAAATTTAGTAAAAGATGATTAATAATCTTATAGATAATTATATTGCAAAAATAATACAGTGAATGAGGAATATAAGTTTAATACAATAAAAATACAATAAACTCTTACAAATTTTGTAAAATAAAGCTAATTTTGTACGATGTCATTTTTAAAACGATTTATCAGTGGTTTTAGGTACTTTATATTGATAAGCGAAGTTATTAGACGCTGTAATTTAGTTTTAAAAATTGCACGGAACTAAATTAACTTTAATTCTATAAACATCTATATTATTGTATTATATACTAAACGCATAATTAATATAATTATAAGGTTCAACTACAAAGAATTAAATTTTAATTTTTGTTCATAATAGGAAAAATATCGTAATATATTTCATTTTGTTGATTTAATTCCAACAATTTTTAGTAAGAATTTTACTTTTCAAACAATAAATATTAATCATTCTTTAAATTGCAATTTTTTAATTTTAAAACTATTTGTTTAAATAAATTGAAAATGATAACCAAATTTTAATTTATCTGTAAACGAATTTCCAATTTTCAATTTCATTAAAATAGTTTCATTAAAGACATTCATAATAGCTTTAAACATGTACTTATAATACTGGGAATTATAAGATCTAAATTCGAATCAATGGATGTTATGATTTGTTATCAATTACATATATTTGTCTTATATTTTTCAAAAAATTATATTCAATTAAAAATACATTGTTAAAGATTATAAATATTAGATATATTTTGAAAAAATTAAAAATTTCAAGCTTTTTATAATAATGATTGTCTATATAATGGTTATGAATAAATGATAATTTATATAAATACAAAGAGTTTTATAAATATATATATATATACTATTTTTTGATTTATTATGGATATATATAATTTGTATTGATTTTTGATACAGCACCTGACTAGTAGTTGGTGTTTGATTGTAAATACCAGAAGTATTACACGAAGACGTTTGACTAAAAGTAGTTATAGATGATTGTGTATAAGATGAATTATATCCTGTTTGACTAACAGATGGAATAACAGAAAAGTTATTTGAATTACAACTAGTTGTCGGGCAGGTAAAAGATGTTGGATTGGCTTGTACATTACAAGAATATGCATTATAATTGCACGCTGTAACTGAAGTTGGATATGACGGTTTTGATGACTGATATGTCACAGTTACGTCAAATGTAGAGTTACTAAGAGATGTTTGTGAATTAAGATCCTGTTTCTGCATATCCATAGATTGAGTTGGTGTATTTCGACTCGTAAACCCACTTTGGGAATTTATTGAGTGCTCATTTGCTATATTCTGATTATCACTAAGCAACTACAACATAGAATTAAATAAATTGAATAATTTGAAATGCATTCATATTATAAATACTTAAAATAATAATTAAGAAATATATAAATATTTAATTTATTAATATATAAAAATATATAAGTAGTTCATGAGATAGTACAATTCATATTATCTACATTTTTTTTCACACCATCTTTGACTAAATTGTTGATATTGTGTGACAATATGAAAGATTTTAATATTTTAAAATTATTTATTATTAAATGCAATAATTCTAAACATTTCCATTCTACCCGAGATAATTGTTCTAATTCCCTAGGTTCTAGATTCTAGGTTGTAAAATATCACGGAAAAAATCAAGCATAGGAGAATAATTTAAGATTTTTACAATATAAATAAGAACTGTAAAGGCTATACAAAGGTAAATTTTCTAGAAATTTAATTACTATACAAAAAATTATTAGAGTTTCTAATCAGTTTTTTTCATTAAGTAACATAGGATTATTAATTATTATTAGATTAATTAAAAATTCTTAATGTAATAAGATTTAATGAAGTATTATAAATTCCCATTTATCGCTTAATTAAACCACTTCTTGTTTCATCCAATATGTTCACATCACGATATTTGCAAGATTGTTCAAAGCTGCTAAAAAGGATATCCTTTAATTAAAAAGTAGGTAGGTATTAAACTGAAATAATTTTATTTTTAAAATTAATTTAATTACAAATGAAGACCTTAATTTATTGCATTAGTGTCTATGTTCTAAACAAATAATAAAAAAAAAAGAATTAAAAATCACAATTAATGCAACTTACATATTGTTTATTTACTACGTAATATAAGTATTTAAAATTAAAATTTAATTATAAAAATGTTAATTATATCTTTAATTATAAAATAAAACATGGTATACGTAACAAAAATATGATAAAAATGAATATATTTTGCATACCTATGATTATATACTATACTAACAATTAATATCTATAATATTACAACATAATAATAGAATTTTAATAATCAAAATTATAATATAAAATAAAACGCAATAATTTAAAATATGGCATATAAAAATGCAATTGCAATAAAATTTATTAAAGCAAACGCGTTCTTTATTATTTTATTCACTTTCCTTCCATAATGAAACAGACGGTTTTATTATTATTTGTATTCTATAGTAAGTAAATCACGATCTATTATAAACATTTATGACTTAGTAATGTCAAAAAAAGCATACAATTTTATTTTATAGAAGTAGTCGTGTATTGTATACAACACACATACGCACAATTTATAATTATACTTTAATTAATATTGAAATATAACAATTAATTTTAAATTGAACTAGGTATAATTTAATATGTCAGACGATTTTCTCCACATCTTGCGTATATTTATTAGTTTTTCATTGTATCTACGCTTTTACTTATCAATGATAAAATACATTTTATTTCAATAAATTAATGAAATAGAACATTATTCCAATTAATAAAATTTATTTAACCACGAGTATTGTGGTAATTCATTTTCATGTTTTCAGAGCTTGTTTTACTTTTTCGAATTAATAAAACTATTAATACACAAACTTATTCTCTATCGTTCATACTTCCTACCAGGATAAGGATCAGTAGGAAGACTTAAAAATATTAAATAGATATAATCAGTGTTGTATGCTTACAAAAGGTAAATAATATTAAAATATAATTTATTAATTACGAAATATATTTAATATATAATACTAAAGAACAATATTAGTAAAAATTATCTATTTTTTGCTGCCATAAGCCCTATTTCATTTAATTCAGAATTAAATACATCTATAAGTGTAATGCAAATGATATTTAAGAATCAAGTAATAAACAATAATTATTATAATTAACAACTATATTGTTTTTTATAAAATATATATTTAAATAAATGTATATAAAACTAAATGGGTAAACACATTAAAAATGATATTAGCAATAATTCTATTTAAAATCAAAACAATATGTTGTTCAAATATAAATGATATAATAAATAAACAATTACATACCAATTTTGATGTTGGATTAAATTTTTGACAAGAAACTTTTACAGCTTCGACAGATAGTGAGTTTAGTGAATTTACAACAGTTTTTGTGGTGATAGAGTTTTGTTCAATGCAAGAAATACCAGAATTAGATCCAGAAGAATTGAATTTTTCTTGATTTGATCCGTCATTGATATTAGCATCAGCGCCAAATTCTAATGCTCCAAATTGAACATCTAAAAATCCAATACTTGTATTTAAGGCATCACCCGGCATTTCAACAGCAGTTGAAGGTATTTTTGAAGGTGGTGGTAGACGTGGTCGATGCTTAATTTGTCTTTGCGGCTATAAAATAAAAAAAATTTATAAGTTAAATTACAAATTCCAATTATTAACAATAATACATACAATATAAAATATATTTTTTTAATTGATATAACATAAGACGTTGGATTATATTAAATTATAATATGAGTATAAATATGTTTTAAACTTTATACATTTTTTTAAAATGGAACTGAAAACTAAATTTGTAAATAAAAAAATCATTTTATATATTGTATTATAATTGTTAAAATGCACCCATTTTAAAAATAAGAATATTTTAGTTTTGAGATATTGTGTTACGAAATCATAATTTAATTTTTGTTAAACAATACTTAAAAATATCGATCATATAATACAAATTTTGAGTAATCTGATTATGCATCTATTTATCGTATAAATGTATAATGCTACTATTCTTTTTAATATACTTTTTAAATAAATTATATATTATTCTACATACATAGTGTAAATATTTTTAATTATTCAACGGAATGAATCGTTTTATTTTATGCTAGATAATTTTAATTGATAACTGAGTAACCTGGATAAATAAAATTGATTTAAGATTTATTTTCTCAAATTTTATATATTATAATTTAATATTTTAGAAAAAATACATGGAAATTTTGAATTAAAAATGCATCTGAATATGTAACGAGCGTGCAGATAAGATGAATATAGAATTTTCTATTTTCTTTAATAATAATGATATTAATATCTTAGCAAAGTATAGGAAATTGAGGAAATGAAAGAGTTCGTTGAAAATACAATTAAGTTGGAAGATTATGACAGCATTTAAAGAATAGTATTAGTAGAATTTGGTTATGGAAATGGTGTAATGCTTGTATAAAAGTAATTTAAATTTGAAGACAGAATTCTGTCAGCTGGCTAATTAAAACTAATTATTACAGTGAATATGGATTGGTTTTATTACTTTATACTGAATGAACCATATTTCAAAGTACAGGTATAAGTTTTAATTATTTCTTATTATCTTATTTGTCAAATAAGTTGCATTTGAGTTTATTTCATTTTTTGTATTTGGATATATATATATATATATATTTTTATCAACTTATTTTGTTTGTGTTCAACATTATATATAGTATTAAATAATTAATTTTCACAATAATGTTTCTAGTCAACTTATACTCTGTGCATTAATAATTCATATCAGAATGAAAAATAATTTTTTATTATTGAAATAGTGCTGGTCATCCTTTGCTATTTACTTAAAAAATTGTAATGAAGTTAGTTTACGGAATAAATGTATGGAATTATATAAACATAACGTTAGTTTTATTTAAATAATTTTTAACGATAATTATTATGTAATAATTTTACTTTAAATTATGTTTAATAAGAAAACAGATTTTAACACTAAATATAACATATAAGATTACAAAGTAAAATGAACAATAAAATAATTTTCAAAAAATGATAATTATTACATACTATTATTATTTACTTAAATATTATTTTTTGCAAACTTTGTTGTTAAACAATTTCTTTTTTCCATAGTATCAAATAGTAAAAAATGTTTTTTAATTGCAGAGTAAATAAAAAAATTACTATACTAATTATAATTGTAATATTGTAGTGTTATATTAAATATACATTACTACTATAATTAATACATAGCTACTCACAACATTTAAAAATGTATTATGTCCAGAATTAACATTAAGGCAATCACTACTTTGTTGGGACAGTTGAGTAAAATATTCAGATTGTGCAGCTGATAAGCTTCCTCTATTCATGTTATCAAGTGAATGTGGAAGATGAATAGATGCAATGTTTTTATGTGACTGACAAGACTGCTCTTGAATAATATTTTCTTGATTTAATAATTTTGATGATTCCTGATAGCAGAAAAAATCATTATTTAAAATTGTGTCTATTAATCATCATACATATTTTTTGGTAATTAAATTAATTTTTTGATTATTACTCAATGTTCCAGTATAATTATAACTAATATTCTGAAAATAATCAAGAATATATTTCAATGATAATTATCAGATAAAATTAAATTAATTTTAAAGATGTTACCTTTTTAATAAATATAATATTTATAATATTATCATTTACAAAAAATTTAAAATTTTAGTTTTCGTTATAAAATCAATATATTAGACGTTTTAATCTTGTACATTAATAATTTAAATTTATTATGAAAGATATATTCCTAAAACAAATTAATTGCTTAAGTTAAAAAATTATTCATTTTAATTTATTCTATTGTTCTAAAATTCTTCAATTAATATAGATTTATTTTTATAATTATATTATGCATTTTTTAAATATTTCTTAGCAGAATAAGGATAATGTATTTTTCAAAGTATACTTTGTTAAATACCAGAAAATTGAATCGAAATATTACCTTTATCATTATGTACGAAAATTTATTATAAATAATTAATAAGCTACATATTAATTTATATATATATATATATATATATATATATATATATATATAACACGATAGGATTTTCATTCTAGAATTAAATGAATGAATTAAACTAATTATTTTTATAATTATTTCTACCAGATTATGTAAACATTGCCAATTAAGTTTCAATTATAGTTAGATACATAACTCAAATGAAAGTTGTAACTTAATAGTGCACAGTAAATCCAAACAGATGTAATATTGAAGTTATTTAGTTATAATAAGTACATTCTAAGGCTGCTTCCTTATTCAATATAGGTTGTCATTAAAAAATTCGAAGAAAAAGAACAAAGTTTAGAGTATACAGAAAAATTGTGATTAATAACTATTTTTCAATTGAGGATTATGGACTGTAAGAGCATTACAATATATTTGCATAATTATATGAGCTTTTCTATAATACGAATAATAATATATATATATTTTGTTTTACAGTAGCAAGAGATGTTATATATAAGTATTCAAAAATAGATATAAATTTCTATTGTAAAGTTTAAGAATTATATATCTTCAGAAACAATAAATATAACTATTTTTAAATGGGTTAAAAACTTCAATATCAGTATAATTAGATCATCGAGTAGTAGTTAGTGGTTATTATAATCTTGTTATAACGATATTTTATACAAAATTATTTTAATCAAACATTTAATGACGATTATGTGTTCACTTTTCAAATGTCAATACTGAATTAAAATGAGCACATGTATCAATAATAATTTGACGCACACAATCAATATATTTATTTCTCATATAGAAAGGTAAGTGTATTTCAATTCTAGGTTTAATTTTTTCATGTAACCAAATAGAAGACTTCAAAAAGATTATTTTAATTTAAATGGACGTTTCATTGTATTCTGCAAACGATTACTCCATGTAAACAACTATTCAACATGGTATTTAAGTAAGTAGCACCCGCTTTAAATTATTAAAATAGAAACATAAAATTTTAATATATTCCGGCACCCATTATGTAAAAATATCAATATTTAAAAAAAGATTTTTTATTGTTACGATTAAGTTAATATATAAAACAGTTTATTTCAAATATTTTTATTCAATATATCCATCAGCAAATAGATTATCAAATATGTATCTTATATATTAATAATATTGTAGCAATCATATTTATAAAAAGGACTCTTCAGCTATTGAAATTTTTGCTATAATAAATCCAAGAATAACTCTAAATCTATGGGGACTAGGGCGAATTAGTATGAAAAAAATAAAAAACAATGTAGATAAAGACTTCACACAACTTTAGAATTCTTTAATTTCTTCAGTATTTTATTCTTTAAGTCTTGCTTTTTCTAATGCTATTAGACAAGTACGTATAGTAGCAGAATTAACAAAATTGAAAAAATACATGACCGTAGATAGATTAAATAATTCAAATTAAATATCATACTTCATTTAAGTTAAAATATTGATTTTTTCTTACTTACGCTTGGTATTAATAAATTCGAAGATTGTACGATTTTAATTGATGACATTTCCTGACATTTCTTTTTATCTGAAGTAATTACATTTTCATTTATTAGAGTACTGGGTGTGAATACCTTGGTATCCGCAAGAGAGCCAGTATATTCTTCACTATCCCAATCTTCAGTTGTATCTATAGTACTCCATGAATCTATAAAAATTACGATTCATAAACTTTGTTTATCAGATTTCAAGTTATAGTTATTTTATTTTATATTAATTTTCATGCCCTATTCATTTTAAAGCATGCATACATACATATATTAATATATAACAAAAACAGTATATTTTGCAATAAAACTTATAATTTATAATAGATATTTATTTTCCAGTTAAGGTCAGATTTTTTAATGCTACAAACATGATTATTTATATAGATATAATAACATTGTGAGTATGATTATGTAATTTATTAATAATTATTCTTATTTGTTAATAATAGAAAACAACTGAAATATTAAATTACAATAGTTATACTTATTATACGATCCGATGCAATCGAATAACAATATCATTATCAAAAAAATTATATTTAAAACTAAATAAACGGTTAATTACTTTTTATTTCTATAAATTTAAGATTATTTCACTTGAAAATTATTTCAATTTAAGGTAGTTTCATTCTTTCTCGACTTTCCTTAAAAAAAGGGTGAATAAAAGAGTATCAAAACATATTTTAAATAAAAAGTTGAAAATTGTTTAATTCACAGTATATAAAACAAAACTGGTCGTTAAATATTTTCGAAATAAGATTATAGTAATAAGACTATTAATTAGATTAACATGCTTAACACATTCGTGCAGACTAAGCATAGACATAACAAGAAAAGAAGGTCTACTAAAAGCCAAGAAATATTACACGCATCAATATTAAAATTATTAACAATTAAACGAACAATGTCAAGATATTAATAAAATATGATATATAAATTAATTCAATCTAAATCATTTAAAAAAAAAGTATATAAATACAATATCAAATTGAAAATTATAAAAAGCCAAATTAATTAAAAAAACACAAATATGTGATTTAATAAGGTAGTTTAAAAATAAACCCAGAATTTAGCAAAAATTGTTATTATATTAGATAATAAGAAAAAATTATATCAATCATCATACTATAAACACGGACACTCTAGCAACAAAAAGTATGTATCATAAAATATATATTATTGGAACTAAAAATCTGTTAATATCTAAATTTTTTTTAATATCTTAATAATAAGGAAAAAATAAAGAAAAACATTTTAATTTATCATAAAATCAGTACAGAAAATAAGCAATGTGGTTTATTTTTTTTTGTATAGTGACAAATGAAAAATATAAATATAAAAAAATTAAAATATAATATTAAAAAGTTGTATATAGACATTTTTTTAAACATAGCATTCACAGAAAATTTTCTTATAAAAAAATATTCATCATATTTATAAAATAGTTTAGATACAATTTGCAGAGAAATTTTAAACTGGTCATTCAATATTTATAGCAGGGTCTGCTATTAATCTATTAAAAAATAACAAAATATCACAATATATATTTAATTCTTAATATATTACATATTTATCCGTAAATGTAAAATTTCTGTAGATATATAGTTAAATAAAGTCAATAATATTTTAAATAAAATTTTTTTATAATTCATTCCGAGAATAAATCTGCAGATGACTATATAAAAGATTAAAAGTTAAAAATTTCTTATGAATTATTAAAATTAATTGATCTAGATAAAATTGCAAAAACAGGAAACATGGGTGTATTAATTACTTTAACTAAAAAATATATATCTTTAGTTTTTAATCTGTTAGATCCAAGGTAAGTGACTATATTTGATAAATTTTATATTTACTTATATAGGTACTATTCTATATAATATAGATTCAAATTCGAATTAAAATCAAAAGTATGAATAATTCAATAATATCAAAAAGATTAATAAAGAGCGTAAGAATTTTTAATTAATTTATTGTTTATTTGGTGTATATCAATAAAATTACACCAAATTTCTTTATTATGTTTTACGTATATAAAATGCTTACTACAGCATAAAGTATATATCTTATACTTTTTATACAATGTATACTTAAACCAGATTTTATTTATTAATAATTAACTTATGTAATTTTAAATATATTTTTTAAGAACATTGAATATTATTAAGTTAACTAAATTATTTATTTAAGATTTATATTTTAATTCAATTATATGAAGGAAATTATATTTTTATATTATCATTAAAGAACATTTAGAATAATTTTATTGTTAATTAGTATCACAAAATATAAATGAAGTATTATACTGTATAGTATTTTCATCAAAATAATTGTTATATTTAAATTCATTTAGTATGTTGAATAAATGGATATAATTTTTTTCAAAGTCATTTTCGAACTTAATTATAAATCATTTTATAGCTTTAAAAATAGTAAAGTATAATTTAATTCCAAATATTTTGTAGTGTAAATATTTTTATATTGTAAAACCTTTATAGATTAATTATAGATTTAGATCTACCAATGTTAAGTAGCTTCTTGCTATTTATTAAATTTCAAGTTATACAAATTTAATATAGTTATTATAAATGTGAATATTATCAAATATAACTAACCCTTTTTTATTTCTTTTAAATTAGTTGGATGCTCTTCATTTCCAGTCCACGTATCAATTGGTCGATTAAAAGTATGTGAATTAGAAGATATAGATTCTCCTCTATTTGCAAAAGTTCGAGGACCTAAACCGCGACCACCGCCTCTACCCCCACGTCCAGATCTTCCAGAAATACCACGACCTCTTCTGCTATTACCATGAGCAGTTTCAAATTTGATTTCTTCAATATTTTTTTCATTTTCTTTATTTTCACGGCGTCGCCCTAAAATAATATTTATATGAAATAATTTAATCCTTATTAATCATACAAGTAATACTACAATGATTATTTTTTATATAAAACTTTAGTTTACACAAATATATATTATTGTACTAATTATAAGAACTACTATACTAATTAAAAAAGCATTGTGGCTATGAAATTTTTGTTTTTAAATATACAATATTATGTATTAGTTTATAATATAACATTATTTATCATTAAACTTGGCAATAAATTTAACATGAAAAACGAATAATCTTTAATTATAAATTTGAAACAGTAATCTCATATACGATGTTTTAAATACCATGAAAAAATCTCTAAATATCAAATTGATAGATACTATGATATAGTTTTTGTACATATAAACGTTTGATCTACGTTAAACAGAAATATGATAAATATTAAGTTGTTAATGCATCTAGTACATTAAACATTTTTTATTTTTTAATGTGTGATTTTTTTATTCAGAAAATTAAGTAAATTGTTGAATATTTAAATTATCATTTGAATGGAATCAAAACAAATTACAATAAATTTAATTTAAAACAACGATTTATTTGAAATATTTCCTAGTTTTTATTTAAGTAGTATTCCATTCAATGCTTCGAAAATATTTATAACATGATATAATTTTTGTAATAAGTGTAAAAACAAAGAATTTAAATTCGAAAATGCTTTCATCAATACTTTTGTACTGTTTGTACACATTGTAACTCAAATATTTTTAATTAGTTTTTAAATAATATATAAACATTCCATATATTTATAGGTCTAATATAATCAATCTTAAGGTTCCTTAATTTTGAAAATATTTTTCTGGTAAGTTAATTATCTATTTATTTATATCTTTTTCGATCATCTATTATTTAACAAATAAAATAATTGATATTGCAATGAAATTATTTATTGGTTTTTCAATAAATGCGTGAATAATTTTGATAAAACATTGCCTAATATTTTTTTACATTATAAACAAATATTAAAAATCAAAATATATTGATATAGACTTTAGTAATGCAGTTCAAATTAATTATTACTGTTGAAATTAAAATTAGTTAAGACAGTAATAATTGTTCAATAAATCAAATAAGAAATTATACATATGAACCTGTAATACTATACAATATCTAAATAAATAATTAAAAAGTAATTTCATTAATATTTTATTTTTTCATACTTACAACCACGATTAATATGACTGACACGTCCACGTATACGAGTTGTCCCATCACTGTTAAAACACCGTTTATCTTCCCAATCTAGATTATCAGAAACAACAGATTGTTCAGAATTTTGCTTAGATCCTCCTGTTGGTCGGGCTTTTTTTTTTTTAACTTCCCATTCAGGACTAACTCCCTCAAGAAGATCATTTACAGCTCGATTTAAATCTCCATCACTATCGTGTAATGCCATAATGACTTCATCTTCGGATCGACGAGTTAAATCCATAACTTGCTTAATACGTTCTTGCCAAGCAACATCTTCTTTACTGTTTATACGGTTATCAATTATATTTGTTTGTCGCAATTGATCCGACTTATGCTGCGAAAAAATTAATTGAAAAATGTTTACAATATAATAGTTTAATAAATACATATTGAATATTTGATTGAATCATCTGAATCTAATTGATTAACTATTAGATTCATTCTACATTTTTATAAATGCAGGATTTAATTAAGAAATAATCGAAAATATAACTGAAAATAAAGAAAAAAGACTACATATATTATTTTTACTTATTTATAAAAAATTTCAAATTGTTAAATGGCTTCATCTTTAAAGTATCGCCCAAAAATTATTTCCATTTTTTCCAGGATACATTCTTTCCTTGTTGCAAAATGCTCTTTATTTCCCTTAATATTTCTAATTTCTTTTTAAGCATAATTATATAACCCATAATTCAACACTAACAATTCTGTACCGAAATAAAAATGATTTTTTCTATTTCTACCGAATATTTTCTCCTTTATTCAAATATTATGGAGAACTTTTTTTTTACTAGTTCTCTTAACTTACGGAAATATCTATTTATACTTTCTAATAGGTTTACTCAATTCGTCTTTTTAATTAAAAAAATTCTTATTTAAAATAGTAACTTAAAGACGTATATGTAATTTAAGAACGAAATTCAATGAATAGTTAACTCGTTTTTTGTAAAGCTTCCTGCATTTCTTTTCAAGTCTCCATTCGCTAATGGGGTATTCAGAGGTATATTAGATACTATCGATGTGTAAAGAGATTGATGATTTTATTTTACTTCATGGAAGCATTAGGTGAAGTAAATACTTATTTTAACGTGACATTTTAATATTTCGTATATCAAGATTTATTAATACAAAATACTTTACAATCATATTTAATAATTACTTGTATTAAATACAAAAAAAAAGAATTCAATAGAAAACTGAAATAATTATATTTTATTGTATTTCTACGTTTAAGTTTCATTTACATTATAAATTATATTAAATTCCATTCGTAATAACATTTAGTAAAAAAAAGTTTTAAATCGATCAATAAATATCTAATGCTGTATACTAGATTAGAATATTATCAAAATACTATGATATTATGAATTAAGTACATTCGATAAACAGCCAAACCATCACATAGTATTAATTACATTATATTATCAATAATACACGGTACGTGATATAAAAAGTGATAATATAAAATTTGTCAAAAAACAATTTATGAATAAGTACGCAATGTATACACAATAATTACATTAATTATTTATTCAAAACTAATAAAATAAAAAATAATGTTATACATATTCAAAGTTATTTGATTTTTAAACGGAAACGAGATATAATGGTAAAATAATGGATGACATTCTCGCAATTTGTAAATGATAGCTGCTTTGCTATAAAAGAAAATTTTTTTATTAAACCGGTAAATATTTGACAAAGCATTATATAATCTGACTAAAGAAATCTTAATGTATCAAATAAACTAAAGAATTTCATTATTAATAAAGATTTGAAAATATAAAGTAAATTTTTCAAAATTGAAAACGACATTAATGATAAATATTTATTAAGTTCACCTAATCTAAATAAAAGAGTGAATAGAAATATCTAAATAAAAATATTTAGTTTGAAATACCCATTTTTTATATTTAATAAATTTATATAATGTTTAACGTTAAAATTGGGAAATTTATTATTTTATGTTACTTATTTATACAAATATTTGTTATATGTATTTGCTTATTAAAAAATTGAAATAAGAGTTAAATTTCGTATTTAGTTGTATGTTATATATTTATTATATTTATTATATATATAAATTTATGTAACAATATATATAAATATATATATATATATTGTTACATAAATTTGATATTAAAACTGAAAATGTTAAAAGATTACCTCATGTTGTTACTCTAAATTATTTTTATTGAAATCATTAATAAAAGGTTAACTACTTATTTGAATAATGAATTCTTTTTTTAAGTAGTATTATTAGTTGCAGATACATAAAAGAAAAAAAGAAACACTAACGTCTTAAGATTCAAAATAAAAATCAAAGAAATAGAAGTTGTTTTCTTTAAAAACATAGATTTAATAAATATGTATATATAGAATATTTAATATTATATTTTGACAAATTATTGGGCTTAACGATTTAGTCAATATAAAATTATAAATAAGAGTTTGTATTCTATGTATATAAAATTATATAAATGGCAATTGTATCGATATATAAATTAAGATTTTCAGAAACAGAAAAAGAAAAGCAAGTATGTATAAATAAAGTGCAAAAATGGTTCAAATTTATTTTTAATTCTAAAGTAATATGAACTAATGTTATTAAAAAAAAAAAAATTATAATCAGATCCGTAGTCTGCCATGAAAAAAATAGAAAGAACTTATTTGCATGAGAATAGATATTACAATACACATGACAATCCTTTTTTGGGTGTAAAACAAATAATTTCTGATAATTGGTTTTGTACAGTATCAGTGAGATCTTATTACATCGTAATTCAAATTAAAGTTATAAGTAATCATCTTGTAATTAAAATCAAGAACTTTGTTAGAGAAACTAAAATTATGCATACTTTAATTCTCATTTTATGATTTACTTTGGTAACCACTTGCACATTAATCTTTGCACATACACCTTATTCATAAGTATTGATCTCACCTTTAGCCAGATCTATTACGCGTATGGATTCAATATTATACAGATTTTCCAAAAATTAGTCCAACGTTATGATATAAATATTCTTACATGGACGTTAACAACTGATATGATAAATCAGAGTTTTAAAATTCTTCTACAAATGAGGCATATATTATATTACCTGAAATTTATCGCACTTTAATAAATCTGAAGATTTAATTTGATGATCTGCTTTTCCTTGTAATGATTTAGTTTTTGAATTACTTTTAGTAGCAGATAAAGATCTATTACAAGAACTCATTTTTTAAAGTAAATCTAAGATTTTTAAACTATGTACACCTTTTATATACAGTCTGAAACAAAAAAGACAAAAAATAATTAATCAGAAGTATTATTTAATCTCTGCATGTAATTAATTAACAGCAATATTTTATTGCTAATAAAAATCATACAAACATAAATATTGTATTCTATTTTTACACACAAATACAGTTAATTTTAGTGATGATTTAAAAATAAATCGATTTTCTTCGTAAAAAATATAGGCTATATTCAAAAATATTTATAAGAACTTAAGTTAATAGTTAGGTTAATATTAATAATTATAAAATTTAATATTAACGACATTGATTTTAGAAGCCTTTAATGTGATTTTTAAAATTATTTTATTCATAACTTACATTAAGATTTATAAAATTAAATTATATATATATATATATATATATATATAAATGTATAATTCTGAAAATATTTTTGCTATTGCTTTTTTGTTTCATATTGATTATTTTTGAGACATCCTTTTCTGATGCTTCAGAATTGAAATAAAGTATTTTATTCACCATTTACGATGCATAAATGACAAACATTAATTAATTGAAATGACTTCTTTCAGTTATTAAAGTTACCTTCAGAATACTCATATATATTTCATACTTTTTTGTGTTGTAAATAAACGTTTTTAGTATTTAAATTCTCTTCAAAAGTACTCATTTATCTATGTATATGAATAAAGTTTTAAAATAAAATTATCTATAATTGATTATATGGACTTCTAATTTTGTTTATTATACAAAATGAATATGAAAAATTCATAAAAACTTGGAAAATTTTTAATAAATTTTTCATTTATAAATTTTTTTAAATTTCATGAAACAAAAAACAATTTAAAAAAATTTTTGCCAAGCTTTAATGAATTTGATTTCAAAATGTATATATATATATTTAAAAACCTTTAAAGTATTTATGTATATAAAGTATTTTTTAGTTAAAATTTATTTATTAGAAAATTCTTAAAAATACTAAATATTAAACACTTCCCCCACTATTTTGATGAAATAACTACTTTTGACAAGGGAGCATAAAAAAAAAAAAACAAAAGAACTTGAAAAAATAAACGTAACAAGATGAAACTGTCATGAAACAAACAGTAAATAAGCTCAAACAAACTTAATTTGTATCTTCTATTGAATTATAAACTCAAGAAATCAAGTCAACTACAGAATTAGTATAAATATCAATTATTATTAATACCTGAACTAATCATTCATAAAATCCTGCACAATTTAGTTAATCATTTAACTTAGTAATTATTAAAAATGGATTGCAATCATATGATGATATTATACACCTGATTTATTGTTATAAATAATTTTGAATATAAAATATATATGAAAAAATTTAGTCTAAAATATTACTAAAAATTTTGATGACTGAATCCAAAAGTTTGCATGACAAAATTAATTTTGTTTGCAGTACTAACTTTTATAAATAGATACCTATCGACAACATTTAACAAATATGTTAAAAAAAACCATAAATTGTTACTATAAATAATATAGAAAAGGAAAGCGACTGAATAAATAAAGTACAGGAAAATTACATCAATTAAAAAATTTGAAACATGTAAGTTAAATTATATAAATAATTATGTTATCTAAAAATAATTAATATTTTTAAAACTATATCAATAATATATTATTTCAATTTATAATATTTCCAAAATTTAATAAGTACACACAGTATTAAAAAAAAAAAAACAATAATTATTTTATCTTAACAAATTTTTTTAATAAAAAATAGAAATTTACATTAATATGGAAAGTAATTATATGACAAAATAAAATGATACATATTTCAAATAATTTGTTAAATTAATTGCATAGTATTGTAAATATTCATATTAACATTTAAAGACAATATTAAAAGTAAGTCATTTGGTTTGTGATCAATAGCTGACCTAATTCAGTATTAAAACAAAGAATAGTTGCATTTTTCTTACAGATGATATAGATTTTCTTTTTTGATGATATTTTTTTTCTGTTAGATAAGTAAAAGTCTGATGACTATTTAAAACAATAAATTTCACAATAAATAAATTAATGTTTCAAAAATTATATACTATATTTTACAAGTTATAATTTATAAAATATTTAGATCTATATTCCCATGAGATTAGAACTATAATTGTATGTTCAAATAAAATTTCTTAATTACTTTATATATTTGTTATCAAAATTTTATTAATTATACAATTTTAACACTAATTATTTTGAAAAATAGGATTGTCATTTAATCATTAGAACATTATTATTAAATACCTTTTTATCGATATTTTTATTGAAATTACACATAGTAATATTTATAATATAGTACGTAATTACTGGCCATGTAGAAAATTATTAATCTTTAAAGCTTGGTGATACACTGTTCACTTAAGAATAAAAATAATATTTGAATGCAACAAAAAGTAACACATACCAAATTATGTACTAAAATAGTTCAAAATTGAATATAAATCTGGAACCCTTAAATTAATTATATGTGATTTTAAAATATATTTAAAAAGATTAATTATATTTTTATTTCAAATATATATTTATACTTAATAATTTGCATTACGTATTTAATGGATTTAAAATTTTACTTAAATTCAATATATAAGTATATTTATATTAAATATATTATTTTTATAAATATTATAAATATTTATAAATTTTTATAAGTACAGCTCTATTTAATTATATATAAATGATCAAAACTACAGTAATTTCTAAAACAAATTAAACGATTAAATTATAAAAATAATATTAAATTATAGAATTTTTTTATTGTGTATAATAAATTTTATTAACTTACAAAAAAATATTATATTCTTATTCTTATATTTATTGTAATAAGTTAAAATAGCAATTTGTAACATTTAATGAATGTTTTTAAATTTAAACCAAAAATTCAATATTTTTCATTAAAGCAAGGCCCATCTCACGTTTTAAAAATAATTTTTAAAATGTAAATTGATTACTATCTGTATTTAAAAGAAAATTGAAAAACATTTTAATATTGAATATAATCCAATTATCTATTATTTTGTTTAATATATTTCTTGATTATTTAAACACTTTATTCAAACTATAATTAAATTTCAATATAAACATATATCATAGACATCAATATGAATATATAAATACATAAAATTTTAACATAAATAATAGTTTTATATTTATAATTAAAATATAATAAATAGTATAATTTTTATAAAATTATCAATATAAAAAATCTAATTTTTATCAACATATGCAAGTATCATTAAACACAAGAGATCATAAAAAACCTTTTAAATTAAAGGTTAATATAATGTAAAAATATAATAAATATATTACAGGTTTATTATAAAAAATATATATAAACAAATATTTACAACTTTCTAAGGTTATGTTACACAAAATAACTATATTTTACATAACAAAATTTAACTCCGAATGATTTTAGTGTAATCAAGCTTAATATATGTACGTATATAAATATAATAGAATATAAATATAAGAAAAAAACCTAGAAAAAAATCAGATATAAATATTTGTAATAAAAAACCAGATTTAATAAAACAAAAAAAGGAAAAAACAGCTTGCGACAAAAAATTACAAAATCCTATAATAAATAAATATTATCATTAAAATATTTAATAGAATATATGGTATTAACAAAATTAAACTATGAAATATGAAGTGTACAGTTATAAATAATATTCTAAAAGAAAGAAATTTGATCAATTATCTAATGGTGTAGAAAATATATAAATGATATAGTTTTAAGAAAGCTGTATTATTATTAAAGAAAACACGTAAAATAAAGTACGCCATTTGTAAATTTAAGAAACACCTGACAAGTATTGTTGGGTTAAAACAACAACAGACTTTAAAAAATAAAAAGGTTCAAACGATATTTTGAAATAACTTACAAAATACTCTTAATGTGTCTAGCATCCGAAAAGGACGCTAATACAAATACTTCTTTTAGAAACTTGTTTTAACAATTTTCAACCGCGTTTAAAACTGTAAAATAACAAAATTTTCTCGAAGTATAGGATTAAGAGCGCTCTTAAATTGCAACTTGATCACGTGACCTCATTCCATACTCCTATATTCTATAATTCTTACTTATCAGTTTCACGTAAAAAATATGTAATCAGAAATACAAAATAAGAAATAAATATTAGAAATGGAAATCTCTATTTAAAATAAATATTTAAAACATAATAAATATTTTTTAAACATATAGTTCTATCGTTATATTACATACATTTAAATGAACTGATAAAAGTATAGAAGTATAAAAGTAAAATAAAATAATAGATAACTAATATATGTTTAATTTACAAAGGGTGACAAATTTTTTTATAATATTAATACAAATTCTCAAAATTATATTTATATTTAAATTCTTATTTTTGCTCATAGAAATCATTCTATCCTTAGTTTAATATTTTTTATAAGAAATTTTAAATAAAAATGAATTCTTATAATTTGATTGAAAATACAAAATAGCCAATACAAAATGTTAGAACGTATAATACTTCATTCGTATTTTATTTTCTAAATAAAATTAAGATAGTAATATTCTCTTTGTTGATTCTGCGCAGAATCTCTATTCAGCTAATTCGTTAGGATGTGTTTCCGTAAAAAAATAACATGGGAACTGGATCAAAACATTATCAATATTATTTTTATATAAATATTTTGAAAAAAATCGTTGTAATCACATGATCAACAATAATTTATGTATATAAGAAAATTTTTAATTATCACTAATAAACTACATAACGATGTTATTTATTTTAATATGTACATAACAGCATAAAAATTATAAGTTGGCTAAACCATGTTATATAAAAAAAAAGAAAGCTAATTTAATTTAATAAAATATTCATTAAAAAATGGTATATGAAATAATTAGATACATACATCTTGATATCTTACTGTACATTTCTTATTCTAAATTTAGTATAGTATAAATTGTTTTCTTATCAAAAACGCGAATTATAAGGAATCACACAAACTTTTAAGTGGTATTAATTATTATAAATCTTTAAATAATATGCATTTATTTTTAGTGAAGTGATGGTAACCCATTATTTTTATTGTTATTATGAACCATAGTACTTATAACGTGATGCTCTAAATAGTTCCACTAACTTTAAGACTGTTTATTATCAAAAATGTTTTGTTCTTAAAAACTAGTTATTTTCTTATGATTTTGGTCATACCACATTTGAGCATCATAAACATTATCGCGTTCAAATAATTACCGTAAATATTTTGTAATAGAACGAAGAAAGTTTTTGTAAATTAATAGAGATAAATCGATTCTATACTTTAATAAAACATAAAAACTTAAAAAAAAATCAACTAAAATTCTTTATAAATATTCAAATTTCTAGAGATATTTATTTAATTAAACGAGAAAATACTCATATATTAAAGTACTATTAATTTTAATTGGTTGATTACTTACAAAACGATAATAAATCAAATCGTACTGATTAAACATTTAAAATTTGTAAGTAAATAATTGCAGAAATGCTTTCTTAAAAAGTTATGACATAAAACTTACAAATGATCTTCATAACTATTATCTAACATCTATACTTCAATATAAGAATAAAAATTAAAGTATCCTGAATAATTTTCATCAGTTCTTCAAATTAATGTAATAAATTGGAATTTTTAGTTTACTTAGCAGTAACTTGGTAGTTCAGTTTACTAATTAGTAACTATGTTTATTATAATGGAAAATAATAATTCCTCTGAAACGTATATAATTTAGTATAAATTATATAACATTTATCTTTATATTAAAAATATTGCATTACCATAAGTTGTCCTCGTTTTTTTTAAATTCATATCAACACTGTATTTTTTATTACAGACTGTAAATAACTTAAAGTAGATTAATATTCTAAATTACATAGGCAATAATATTGTAGCTCCGTGAATCTACATACGAGAATTACGTATGGTACAGTGTTTTTTATAATAATTATAAAAAAGTATAAAAAATATTATGACATTTCTAAGTCTAACGAATGGAATTTCAATATAATACATAATTAAATCTTTTAATATATACTAGATTCTTATTCAAATATTGAAATTTATTAATATTTATAAAATAATAATTATAAAAAAATATAATTATATTTATCGTTGGGATTGTACGAAAGCTCATACATATTTTTTAATATGACAGTAATATAATTGTATTATTTATATAACATTATTACTAAAATTACTTTTTTAATTATTTTTTATGAACCGGTGTCAACGTTTTTATTTGTTTTTATTTTAGATTATTATAATATAAAACTGTATATAAAATGTGTTTAATTACAAATAAAAATATTAATTACTTTAAAATTCAATGAAAAATGGAAAAATTAAATATTTATAATAAATATATTTAAATGTTATCATTTTAATTTTATTTTCAGAAGCAAATTTACAAAAAATATACATTTTAAAATTGTAATGATGATTTAGAATTTCAAATAATAAAATTTTGTATTCAATTGTAAATAATGTACGATCATTAATAAAATTTATGTATATTTTATTAATTAAATTTTATTAAATATATTTTAACTTATTTGAATAATGTATTATTAATTTTGAAATTTATTTGAATATCATTAAGTTTCAATCGAAAATGCGCATGTCTATAAATGAATAGATTATTTACGTTTTCTGATTTTATGAATACGACCCTTATTAGTTTTTGTATTTTTTTCCAAGTGACGTGTAGTTAATTATAAATTGATTATAAATATGTTTAAAAAGTAATAATTGTATATAAACTGAAATAACACAATTATTGTAAAAATACAAAAATGTTAACTAAATTTGAAACTAAGTCAGCTCGAGTTAAGGGTCTTTCTTTTCATTCTAAGCGACCATGGATACTTGCTAGGTTAATATATTTTATATATTTTGACTTATGTTTATCAGATAGATATTTAATTAAAAAAAATTGTTTATTTTATTAAATTAAAAAAATTTCATTTGAAAATTTTTATTATACTGTCTATAATAAAAGCTGTAAATAGTGTATAAGAAGTTAATTAATTTATTGTAAAAGATATTTTCATCTATTTTATATGTATCTTTATATACAAGTGAGTGCATCAGATTGTTAATATAAAAGTGTGTATTTATATTGTGTAAATTAAATTTTAGAGTGCAAGTCATATTAACTAATAAACTATACAAATTATGGATTGTTATTTAAATTATAAAGTAATCGATATTTTTTAGATTGATTGTGTACATGAATATACATTTATATATTTATATTTGGATATATTTACATATATTTGTACATATATATATACAATCTTTAAAATTAAAGTTTAAATATCTATTTATTTACTAATTTTATATTTTACTATTTTTTGGAATTATTGATTTTTGAATCTTATTTTATTTTTATTTAAATTTATTACTTTGTTAATTTGGTATGTTTGATTATTTTTTATCAAGATTAATTTTATTCTATTTTACAATAATTTTTTCTAATTTGTTACACCTACATACAACCTAGTTGTAATGTTTTAAATAATTAGAATTAAATGGTAGCAGTTAAAAATATGTAATTATATAGTAGTAATATTATTATTAGACTTCTTTTGTTCAAATTTTGTATACAAATTTTGTAATTAAAATTTATTATAGTTTACATAATGGAGTGATACAATTGTGGGATTATCGTATGTGTACTTTACTTGAAAAATTTGATGAACATGATGGACCAGTAAGAGGAATTTGTTTTCACAACCAACAACCAATATTTGTTTCTGGAGGAGATGATTATAAAATAAAAGTTTGGAATTATAAACAGCGAAGATGTATTTTTACACTATTAGGACATTTAGATTATATTAGAACAACAGTCTTTCATCATGAATATCCATGGATATTAAGTGCATCTGATGATCAGACAATAAGAGTTTGGAACTGGCAAAGTCGAACATGTATCTGTGTTTTAACTGGACATAACCATTATGTAATGTGTGCACAGTTTCATCCTACCGAAGATATTATTGTTTCAGCTTCTTTAGATCAAACTGTAAGGGTATGGGATATTTCTGGACTTAGAAAAAAAAATGTTGCCCCTGGACCCAGTGGATTAGATGATCACTTAAAAAATCCGGGTTCAACTGATTTATTCGGACAAGCAGATGCTTTAGTAAAACATGTTTTAGAAGGTCACGATCGAGGAGTAAATTGGGCTTCTTTTCATCCAACTTTACCTTTAATTGTATCTGGTGCTGATGACAGACAAATTAAAATGTGGAGAATGAATGATGCCAAAGCTTGGGAAGTTGATACTTGTCGTGGCCATTATAATAATGTATCTTGTGTATTATTTCATCCAAGGCAAGATATTATTTTATCTAATGCAGAAGACAAAAGTATTCGAGTTTGGGATATGACAAAACGTACATGCCTTCATACTTTTCGCCGAGAACATGAAAGGTTTTGGGTACTTGCAGCACATCCAACATTAAATTTATTTGCAGCCGGACATGACTCTGGTATGATTATGTTTAAATTAGAAAGAGAAAGGCCAGCATACACTGTTCATGGAAATATATTATATTATATTAAAGAACGTTTTCTTCGCAAACTGGACTTTAATTCATTAAAAGATACTTTAGTGATGCAATTGAGAGGAGGCAGTAAAATTCCAGCTTACAGTTTATCTTATAATCAAGCTGAAAATGCTATACTTATATGTACAAGATCATCATCAAATATTGAAAATAGCACCTATGATTTATATATTCTACCATCTGAAGGTGACAGCAATAGTGAACCTGAAACCAAACGAGCTTCTGGAATTATGGCATTATGGGTTGCTAGAAATAGATTTGCCGTTCTTGATAGACATGTTAATACATATTCTGTAAGTAAAGTTCTCTTTATAAACCATTAATACTATTAGAAATCATTAGAAATTATTACATTATTGTGCATTCATTGTTTTTATTTTAATTAAATAAATTTATATTAAAATAATCATTTTAAGTAATGTTCACAACAGTACTGGATTACTTATGATTATTCAACATTATATCACCATTTCAATTTTGTTATTTATTTTCTTTTATTTGATATATAACCTTCTTATTCATATCTGTTTACACATACTTCCACCCCAATTGACTTCAATTAAAAAAATTAATTTTGCATGAAAGTGGTCATAATTGAGAAATAGTAACGATTTAACATGTAAATAAATAAACTATAATTAATTTACTTATCCATAACTCAATAAGTGGGAAGATTATGCAGATTATATATATACATATATATATATATATATATGTCAACCCAGTAACTGATACATAGTTGAACAAGTAATTTCTAAATTCTAAACACTACAATGTATAATAAACAAATGATTTTTGTTATAATAATCAATATATAAATTATATTATAATTAATAACAATATTTTTAATTTTTTATCTTATGTTTACACCAATCACAGGAATATGGCCTGATCAATGTTCATAACTTGATTTTTAAATACCAGTATGATTACATGAAAAACATGGTAGCTGAACAATTACAGGTTTATAATTATTACAAAGTGTTCTAAATTATATTCAATAAATTTTCTCTTTATACAAATACTTTTAATTTTTATACATAAATAATTATACAAAAAATACAAAAAATTATACATATTTTTATATATAAATAGGTTTAATTTAATTTTTCAAAAAAATTAAGTTTAAATACAAAATTAAAAATCTTGTTTAAGTCTTATCAATAAAAGTTTCATTTCTTCATCTCAAATTATAACTAAGTGAATTTTTACTTATATTTAATTTTGCAATTTTTTCAGAAGTTTGACCGACCATTGCAGATGTAATTAAAATTTCTGAATTAATTATATTTAAGATATTTGAACAACGATTACTTAAAAAGTTTTTTATATTAATTCCATATTTTTTGACATTGGACATTATATGATAATAATTATTATTTTTAATTATTTTTATAATTATATTTATTTTCTTCTAATATTTGTTTAATGATTTTGGTCATGACCTGTTCTGTCATCCTCCGTATTTTAACCTAGTTTTAGTTCTTATCAAGTCAAACTTCTTATACTCCATCTAGAGATCTGAATGAATAAAGTAATTAATCAATTATTGGGAGGAACTAATGGATATATTCTAACCAAATGAAATATATTAATAGAATAGTATAGTTTTTCATATTTTTAATAATAAAAACTTAAAACTAAGAAAATTTCCAGCTTCATATATAAATTTATATATGCAGTTGCCAGATGTTTGATGATTAGAGTGGTCACGAACATTTATTTTTCTTGTGTATAAAAGAAATAAAATACTAAAGAATGTTGTGAGTATTTTACTGAATTACAAATAATTAATTTTTTTTGCTTGAAAACATATAGAATTAATAATTTGATAGTGCAAATAATTATGAATTGTCACTTACATATTTGGTATTTTATTTACTTGTCCGATAGATAATCCTATTGACTGATAGGCATAAATTCATTCAATAATAATCCTAAAAATAGCTGATGTATAAGATAAATATGCTTACATAATAGAATGAAATTTATACTCCTAAATATTTCATGATTGAATATTCAAAAAATTATATCTTATGCGTATGGAATGAAGAATGACGTAAAAGTAAAGAAATGAATACAGAACAATCTAGTAGTAACAACCTAGTGGAATTTAAAAAATAGATATGTTAATTTATAATATTAAAAAAATAAATATTCAAAATATAAAAAAAAAGTTCGAAATAGATATGTGTTCGGAATTGGAACATTTTCCGAGACTTTGGCTTTCGGAAAGGTTTAAGTTTTCTGGCTATCAAAATTTGTTAGCATTCGATTCCGAGATTTTTCGAATATTCCAAAGCATTACTTTCAAATGTCCTACAATGTTTATCTGGTCTTCGTACTGTTTGGAATTCTCCAAACTTCCAGAGCTTTAGTCTCGCACGTCATGTAATATTCCCGCATAGCAACACCTATGCATTATTGCCAGCTAAGTAAGCTGCCGCGTGGATATTTAAAGGAAGCACACCACGAGACGGAGCTCATAGTTATTCATCCAGTTAGAAGTTTATCAGCTATTCACGCTAGTCAACCACGCTATTCATCATCCAGAGTTTACAGCCACTAGCTACTCACTCAGTTGCACTCTCTGTGAAGCTCTCAAATTCAATTCTCAAGTGTGCAACAGTTAACAAGTAGTCAAGAGTGCTGACTACATTACAAGAAAATGTACAACTACGAGAAGCCTGGAATCGAAGCAGTTCTTATCACGAAGGTATACCTGTAGTCTTTCTCTCAAGTAACTATTCATCACAGGATCAGGTAAAGATAGCTGTATCGCTGTAAGAATAACATTCATTACTACACGTCCTTTCAAGGAGTGTGCGCACGTCCCTGCTAATCCTTACAAAATTTGCAGAGACCACGTTATTTATATTTCAAAGGGCACTCCTTGCAAGAATCCATTGCTGATCCTTACAAGAATAGCAACAACATCGTCACCATCAACAAGGAGCAACTGCATCATTGAGACAAGACAGAGCTTACACTCTTCTATGAGAAGTGAGTACAGCTTATTACTAATGTAACTGTTAACAAACCATATGTTAACGAAGTCTGGACGTACGACACATTTCTACAACCCTTCCACTTGACTTCTACCGAAGCATCTACTAGGATGGGTTATAATTTATTATAAAGCTATTGAAATATTGGCAGTTTGAGCCAAGAAATCAAACAGTTTCGAACAATATGCAAATAATGTGTCGGCAATTATTGCAAGATACATACATTTTGATTACATGTTAACAGTTTATGCTTTGTATAATTTATGACTCAAACGAAACAGATTTATCCATATCAAGGTATTATACTTAATACATACACCCATTTTTAGTACAAATTTGTGTAGAGATAAAGCGAAAGTGACAATAGTAACTATCGGTATGAAGGTTAGTAGTAATTGAGAATGTGTAACGGCGATGCAACTACAAACTTTTCTTGTGCATTATGTTTACTATCTTGTCTGCAACTAAGTTTTGATCATTATCCAGAAAACTAATCGAATTTCTGACATAATTAATTTATTGCACTAATCGCTTGTATAGTGTTATATAGAATTTTTCAATATGAAAAGTAGAACATCAAATATAAGATCGTTGAAGAAAAATGTGGTACTTGTAACGCTATATCATATAGGGTTTGTTATTCAGATTAAAGAAAATAAAAAATTTATTACTTATGCATTTTTCAGATCTGATATTAACAGATATATATTTTATAAATGTTATTTTCAGAGAGTTACTCTATACCATTTGGTGATATCTAAAACATTAGTAAAAGCATTAAGTAAAAAGTAAAAATATATATTAACTTTATTTAATTGTAATTAAAGAACACAAATACAGTTTCCTTAGTACCTATGTATAAGTAATAATAGTTACATTTTGTTAATTAACATTACTTAACAATAAATATATTTTAAGTTATTTGATATATTCTGTAGATTGTATTATTTCATTTTTATTTATTATGCCTCTATTTAATTATTATATTGTTTTATGTTCTAGTTAGTAATAAAAAATCTTAAAAATGAAGTTTCAAAGAAAATTCAAATTCCCAATTGCGATGAAATATTTTATGCTGGAACAGGAGTTATTTTATTACGTGATGCCGATCAAGTCCTATTTTTTGATATTCAACAAAAAAAAATATTAGCTGAAATAAAAGTGCCAAAATGTAGATATGTTGTTTGGTCCTATGATATGAATTATGTTGCATTTCTATCCAAACATTCCGTTATTATATATAACCGAAGATTTGAACATATGTGTTCTATACATGAAAATACTAGAATTAAATCAGGTGCTTGGGATGATTTTAATGTTTTTATTTACACAACAAGTAATCATATTAAATATGCAATAATTAATGGCGATCATGGAATAATTCGAACATTGGATCTTCCTATTTATGTGACCAAAATTAAAGGAGATCAAGTATATTGCTTGGATCGTGAATGTAAAGCTCGAATTTTGCGAATTGATTCAACGGAGTTTAAATTTAAATTATCATTGATTAATCGTAAGTATGAAGAAGTTTTACACATGGTACAGTCAGCTAATCTTGTTGGACAATCAATAATAGCTTATCTACAACAAAAGGGCTATCCTGAAGTTGCTTTACATTTTGTAAAAGATGAAAAAACTAGATTTAGTTTAGCTTTAGAATGTAGTAATATTGAAGTTGCTTTAGAAGCAGCACGTGTATTAGATCAAAAATTTTGCTGGGAAAGTCTAGCTCAAGCTGCATTATTGCAAGGAAATCATCAAGTTGTTGAAATGTGTTATCAGAGAACAAAAAATTTTGAAAAACTTGCATTTCTGTATTTAATTACTGGTAATTTAGAGAAACTTAAGAAGATGACAAAAATAGCAGAGATTAGAAAAGATTTTTCTGGTCAATATCAAGGTAGTTTATTACTAGGTGATTTTGAAGAACTTGCGATGATTTTAAAGGTAAGCATATTCTTATTCAAAAGATATTTAAATAAATAAAACAAAGTTGCAATGATTCTTGTGTATATAAATCATAAAATAATAAAGAAAATCAGTAGCAAATCTTGTATATTACTGGCATTATTAGGTATTTGATGTTATTTATAAAATAAGACCTAATAAAGAAAAAAATACTTGAGACAAAATTATCATGAACAAGTAAGTTTACGATAGACTTAGTTATATCTAAAAAAAATGATAACTGTCCAAAGGCTTAAAGTATACAGTTGCCTGTTGATTCTGTTAATTCTTGATTAATATAGCTCTAGATATTTGAACATTTCGAGTATAAAGAAATATAAAATAGGTAAAATATAAATATAAGAAACAACAAATTTAATTTAACAGCAAAAAATGTATATGTTAGTTTTTTAAATTGATTACAAATATTTAATTTACATTAAAAAAATTTATTATATCAATTCCAATAAAAAAAGTTTATAAATATAGTTTAAAAGTTTTTATTAAATTATATATATATATATATATATATCCACATTTTTGTACATGTTGAGACTATCACGTCGATATGTTTTGATCTTTTAATATCTAAGAGGCAGAAAAAATTTAGTAACTGAAAAATTATTAATATAAAATGTTTACATGTATGCCATGTACATGTATGATGTGAATTATTTGAAATTCGTACTATACAACATAAAATTCACTTGATTTGCCATTGTGGTCTAACAAATTTTGATAAGTCTTTTTCGTACAATGTAATCAATATGATCAATTTTTAATTTAATTAATAAATTGTAATCTAATAATTCCTTAAAGAAAAAAAAATAATAAATTGTAGATCAAATACGAATAAGCAAAACTAACAAATTTTTGTATGATTAATACTTTTTCAAATATATGTTATGAATGTTATTTTAGATTTAAAATAAATATTAAATTATTTATCAAATATATAAAATAACATGAATGTAACATAAATTTTAATTACAATTAAAATACAATTACTATCTATTTCAGATATCTGGTCAAAAATCTTTGGCATGTGTTACTAATTATATTCACAAACTAAATGTTATAGAAGATAAATTACAAAATAATTATGTTGACAATCAATGTATAGATATTGATAAAGAAGCTGTTTATTTATGTCCGCCAATTCCAATTTTCCAAACAGACAATAACTGGCCATTGTTAACAATTTCTAAAGGATTTTTCGATTGCACAATTTTATCCAAAAATAAAAGTCAAGTAAATGCATTATTAGCTCCACGAGAAAATATTATTACTATCGAAGGTTGGGGAAGTGAAGAAGATGAAAACAATGTTATAGATGAAGTAAAAAATTATGAGTACACCAATGAAATTATTGACTCTCAGAATGAAGCAGCTGGATGGGATGTTGAAGATGTTGACATACCAATAGAAATACAAAACAATAATATTCTAAAATCTGATGAAAATTATTTTTCATCCCCATCAAAAGGGATACCAGTTACTCATAATTGGATCAATAATTCTAGATTAGCAGTGGATCACATATTAGCTGGTTCTTATAGTTCAGCGTTTCGTTTATTAAATGAACAAATTGGAATTTTAAAGTTTAATAAATATAAATCATTATTTATGAATATATATTCATGTTCAAGAATATCTATGTCCTTATTTCCAAACAGCCCTTCAGTATATTATTTTCCTTTACGTAATTGGAAAGAAATTAATGTAAAACCATACTTTCCAGCAATAATTTTACAAATTTCTGATCTTATATACCAACTACAATTAAGTTATCAGTTAACTACAGCTGGTAAATTTTTGGAAGCAATTGAAAAGTTACAAAATATACTTCATGCAATTCCTTTATTAATTGTAGATTCAAGACAAGATATTGCAGAAGCTCAACAATTAATCGAAATTTGTAGAGAATATATACTAGGTCTGAAAATGGAAACAGAAAGAAAACATCACCCGAAAACAACATTGTCTCAACAAAAAAGAATTTGCGAGATGGTTGCATATTTTACACATTGTAGTTTACAACCAATTCACCAAATTTTAACTTTACGTTCTGCAGTAAATACATTTTTTAAATTTAAAAATTATAAAACTACACGATCATTTGCTAAAAGATTATTAGAACTTGGTCCAAGGCCTGAAGTTGCTCAACAAGTTAGGAAAATTTTGCAAGTAAGAAATACCAATATTAAAATTAAATTTTATGACGTATTAAATTTACTTATATTGTTTGTTTATAGATTTGTGATAGTAATCCTGTGGATGAGCATTTATTAGACTATGATGAACACAATCCATTTACGTTATGTGCTTTTTCTTATAAACCAATTTACAAAGGAAATCCTGAAGTAAAATGTCCTTTCTGTCATGCTAGTTATCAAGTACAATTTAAAAATTATATTTGTAATATTTGTGAAGTAACACAAATTCATAAAGACTGCAGTGGATTAAAAATAAGTTCTTTACCAGCACGATGAATGATATGCAATTTAAATAATTTTATAAATAAATTATCACACTTTATAATATTATACCGAAAATTGTATAATAATTATACATAATAATTTACAAATAAAATTTACATTGTGATAAAAAAAGTAATTAATATATACAGTATAGTATACAGTATCTAAAAAATCTTATATAATTTTGAAAGAAAATAAAAATAATCAAATTTACTCAATTTCTGTAATATAATCTTTCTTTTTTTTTTAATTTTATGAAAACGTCCTGTTGGGATATAGTTTTATTAATTTTCACGTATATCATTAATGATTACTAATAGTAGTTGTGATTTTCAGAAATTATTAAGTGTTAAAAGTTTTATTCAATCAAAATTAATACATGAGCAAAATAAATTAAAGATAAAAATAAGATTAAATTATTGCTAAATGAGATACTTGATATTAAAAAATATTTAATGTAAATTAATATGTTTAAATTCAAATAGTTTTATACAGTATTATTTAATTAAATTATGTATTCGTTTCGAATATTAAAGTATGCATTAAAGGAAATAATTTTCCTTTTAAAAAGAGCCTAGGAATCATTGTAATCTTTCATATCTTGTTTAAAAATTTGAAATAAAATTAGAAGAAATTATTTCTAAATTTAGAATAAATTTTATTTTTTGTGTAATTTGTATTTAAAGAAAATGAAAATATGATAATTAATTGATGTGCTAAAATGTACAATACACCAAAAAAATTTTATAGTATATTATTGGATTTACTTTTTATAAACAAATATTTAGTATTATTATTGAAAGGTTTTTATGAAAGAAAATACGATAATTAAACTTAAAATTTCCATTTCAAATAACTTTTTCTAGTAGTTCGACAAATACATCGGGATAAATCTTGTTTTATTTGATTAATATTAGTTATTGATTTTATTGAACTACAAATAGTAAATTGGACATGATTATTTAATGTGCAAGCAATTACAAAATTAAGCTATTAATAATAATACAGTTGTTTATGTATTTACGGATATATCTTTTGCATTAACAAATATATTAATATACACAACACAATAAATTCATAAATGCTAGAACGACACCATACTATATTGTATCATAAGTTACAATTTTATGTATTATAGATATATGAGGGTGATTGGTACATAATGATGAATTTTTAAAAACAGTCGTTTTTACAAACTAAGAAATTTATAGATCACTTCAAGATGTATATATCATAATTTATTCTTGCTCATGATAATATATTGCATCGATTCTTAAGATTTTTATCTTTACAAAATGTATTGTGGAATTTATCATATTTATATTATATAGATTATATTATAAAGAATCATTTTGAAGACATGTAATCAAACCTATTAAAGGGAAAAAGGACGGAAGGTTGATCAAACTGTAAAGAAATATTAGTAGAACACTTTAAGTGAAGTTGTATTCAATTATTACGCACATACATTTATTTCTAGATTGTCGATTGACATTCTGATTAAAGTAGTAGGTTTTCAAATTATTCTATTCTTTTATCTTTCGTTGATCACGAAATGTGATAAGTTACTTTTTCAAAATTTTTCATTTCCCAATTTATCGTACTATTTATTAATTTCACAACTTGTAGAAATTATTCTGTTTTAAGTAACTGATCTATGTATTAATGAATATTAAATATTAGGTATTACCTTCAATAGGGGCTTAGAAACACTTATTATTTGTATTTGTTAAAATAGTACATGAATACGTTTTCTATTGCACAACGTTATTTTTAAGATACATCTTTCCTATATTTTTACAGATTTTTCACAATGACTGTTCTATTTAAAAGCCGAAACTTTTTTTTCTTCATTAGTATCCATAACTCAAAACTATATAGTATCTTAAATTTTACCAACTCATTGTTAGTAAGTATATGTTAATAAAATTTAAAAATTATTTATGCTTTACAAAAATAAATATTATAAATAATCAATTTTTAACTAGAAAAAATAATATTAATATAAGTCTGTTTTACATTTTTTAATTGCATAATCTAATATAATTATATTAACTAGCGAATATACATAAATTTGAATATTTCCATCTTAAAATTATGATATATGTTACTAGTATTCCTTTTATGATATATTAGTTCATAGACGCCAATACGTAGTGATTATTCTAATACATTTTCGCAAATAAATATTGTTCTAAATATATAGAATAAATGTTAATATTACAATTTATGTATAACATAAATATATATATATATATATATATTATTTATATTTTATATATTATAAGTTAAGTATTATTCAATATTTTCACATTTTATTTCTAGTATTTGTATTTTGTTGGATATTATTCTACATAATTTAACATTATATATATATTTGTATTTCATATAAATTAAAAATATTTACACTAATAATTTTATAAATCATTAAATAATTTTATTATATCATGGTATCTTATTTTATGAGATATATTTAAATAATTTGTTGTATTAAATATTTATTCTCTTATTTAATATATCACAGAAAATTCATGATAGTGTAAAAACGTATCTATATATATATGCATGCAGCTACATATTTCCTTTTCTAAAATATATTGATAATTATACATTATATTATTTTCTTTATTACGAATGATAACTATACAAATATGATTAACAATATATTTATTCAATTTTAGTCGATGTCGATACTCATTAACAATTCATATACTGTAGCATACACGCACAATGCTGATTAATGGTTACATTATTAAAAAAAAAGATATATAATATATATAGATATATATATTGACTAAAATATGAACATACAAATATGCAAGTATAAAATACGTAATTGTAATTTTCTAACTATAAGAATTGGCAAACATAATGAATAAATTAAAATTAATGTTATAGACATTTAAATACCACATTAAATCATGTTTCTTGACAAAGCATAGTAGCTAAATCTTATAAAGGTATATCTAGTTCTTCTGAAAGCGCCTATAACACAAAGCATTGATTACTCAGGAAAGAATTTGATTGAGGTTAGTGCATTGTAAAATACTATGATTCAAATTTGTCATAATAAAAATGATAAAGTATAAATATTTACTAAAATAATTAATTATTTAATATACTTTATTACAAATTTTTTAAATCATTACCAGATTTCGCCTTGTGTTATATACCATAAAAATCTATCAATCGAATTTGGGATAATGAAAAATAACATGCGCACTAGAAATCTAAATTGATTGGCTCTCAATATATAAATACATATATATATATAGATGGTTATTTTAACTTGGATTTATGTCGTGTTTTTTCTCTAGATAGATTTATGTTTTATACGATTTTTACACGAGTAAGTATAGAAGTTACTATTCATTTTTATAAGTTTATGAAATAAAACAGAATTACAAAAAATAATAAATAGTATATATCTTTTAAGAATCTAGGTAGAAATTGGAAACATTAAGAAGATTTATAAATTTAATAAACTGAAGCTGCACCGAAAAATTTTTGTTGAGATATAAAATTAATATTTGTTTAGTATTTTAAAAAATGGCCCAAAGTAAATTAAACGATTTTGCAAATAGATTTGGTAAAGGACCAAATGGGTTAAACGCTGGCATTAAAGTACTTACTATGGCTGGTTTAGCAACATATGGTGTTTCACAATCGATGTATACAGGTATGTGATGTTATTTAAATTAAATCTAAAAATATGAAAATAGTTTTTGAATTATTTATTAGTGTTATACCAATAATTATTTACTATAGTTAAATAATAAGAAAATTAATTTGTGTAAGTGAATAGAAATCTACTAATAATGCATTCACATTATTAACTAGTTTATTTAAATAATTTTATACAATAATGTTATTATATAAAATAGAAAAATTACATATAAATATAATTTATGATTAATTGACCTAAGCTATCTTTTATTTTACTTTCAGTTAAAAAAAATTAATATTCTTAAAATTAATAGTATAATTACTCAATTATATTATATATACAAATACATATTTTTATACAATATATTAAATATATACAATAAATAATAATAATATTAATATGCATAATAATCTATTTAAATTGTTATTTATTTTCGTGTTTCATTCATTGGTTGATTTGAATAGATTACTAATTATAAATAATTATTTGAATATATAGATATAAATCTTTATTATTAAAAATTTTAAGTATATAATATAATTGTAAATTTTAATTGAAAAAAAATGTTTACAGTATATTTATGTTTTTTATTACAATATATGAATAATGATTTGTATGAACAAATTTTATATATTTTAATCATGCATGTTTACATTATAATATTATTTTAAATGAATGAAGATATGGAACTTAAAGTGATAAAAAAAATTTAATTTTAGTGTTTTATAGTACAGAAGGTTTGATATAATTATTAACATTTTGAAAATGTATAAAATTAATTGTAATATGATACTTTAATAATAAATTTAAATGTTCAAATATTGTAATAAATTTAATTGTTCTGTATCAAAGAATTATGCAGCTAATTTATTTAATGTTTTTAAAATAGATTCTTCCTAAAAATTTTAAATTAAATTGAATCTTTATTGGATAATTCACAATATTGTAATATAATGAAATAAAGTTAACAGATTTTGCTTTGATAGAATTTTTATTAAAATTGTTTATCTATTATTTTTTATTTGCAGTGCGATTTATTTTATATTCAATACATGTTTTTGTCTGAAAATGAAATTATTTACCTAATAAAATATAAATTAGAAAATCTCGTTAAAAATATATCAAATTTATTTTGAAAAAAAAAAGAATTAAATTTAGTGAATTTACAGTTGATATAAATGATTTATTATACTATTTACCTGCTTACTATACTGTTTACCTTCAATACATTTTTATAATTTCATTTTTACTATTGCCAATTTTTTATTAAATATTGATAAAATTATGAAATATATTTTATAACTTTTTTAAATTAAAGAACTACGAAAATAATGAACACAAGTCAACAACTAATGCATTTCTTTCAAATATGTATCTTATATATTTTTTTATTTTTGAAAAAAAGTATAAATTTAATTAAAATAGTCAGTGGAAATAAATTGTTTTAAAATAGATGAAATAGAATTGAAATAGATGATCACTTTTTTCAGTTTAACTTGAAATAGCATGTAATATCATACTATACTTTTGAAAAATATTTTCAACCTGTATAGAACAGAACTAAACAATTCTGTTATACTATATAAATACATGTTATACTTCAATAATGTTGCAGATAATAGATGTGGATAACATAGATTTTATAAAATACACATTTTTTAAATGTATTTAAAATATTTTTAAAATAAAATTAGTAAAAAATTTGCAATATAATATTAGAAAAATAAATTATTTCAAAACTAAATACTAAGTTTAAACTAAATAATAAATTTTTAATATTTTTCTTTAACTTCAAGTTGATGGTGGTCATCGAGCTATTATATTTTCACGACTTGGTGGTGTTCAGAAAGATATTATGACTGAAGGGCTGCATTTCCGTATTCCATGGTTTCACTATCCTATAATATATGATATACGAAGTAGACCAAAGAAAATTTCATCTCCTACAGGTTCAAAAGATTTACAAATGGTAAATATTTCATTAAGAGTTTTATCCCGTCCTGATGCAAGTACATTACCATCTATGTATCGCCAACTTGGACTTGACTATGATGAAAAGGTAAAGCTTAAAATATGTATTAGAATTCTTGTTATAAATAAAAAATAGTATATATTATTTATTAATAATATATGAACAATATGTACTGTCATATAATAACAAATGAATGAATAGTTAATATGCTCCTTTTTCAAATAAAGTAAAACAGAAATTCAAAGTTTTTATATACAAATTACGATAAAAAATATGTTGGTTACTTTTAAAAAGAACAGGTAGAAAATAAACAAACTTATATAGTAATTATAAAATAAAAATATAAAATGTTTTTAAACAAGTAGTTAATATTTATTTTATTGAATATCAAATTTTTACATAATAACAGTATAAACTTTGTGTTTTAAATACTAATTAATACAATTAAAATTATCATGACTATTTTGATAATATTAATCACTGTACAAATAATATAATAATGTATTCTAAACAACGTGAAATGAAATTAGTTGAAAAATTAACAGTTAGAAGTTTTGAGTAGCAAATATATACAAACTGGAAATATGTATTTGTACTCAGTAAATTAATAAATTTAGTTATTTGATTTTACTATCAAATTTACTTAAAAAATCTTAATTTTGAATTGTCAAAACAACAATTGGTATTCATATTATGTAATATATTTTTTTATATATGTTATGTAACTTTTAAGAACCTATTACTATATTATTTATATAACAATTATATAACTTGAACAGTATTAAAAAGAGTAAAATATATTGAAAAGATTAATTCAATTTTCAATATTTTATGACAAAGAAATTTGAATTCTAAAAATTGTCACTTGAAGTATATAATTAGAATTTATTTTAGAATGAATATGGTAGGTAAAAATAGAATGATTAAAATTTATAAAAAATAGAAGCTAATAATAACGATAATACATCGATATGTTGTTTATTAATTAAATGTATTTTGCATTTACACCTATTTTTTCTTATGTTGAAGAATGGATAGAAATTTGAATTAATATTAATAAAATTATGATTATATCACTTTTAAAATTGATATTACTAAAATATATTTTATATATTAAGAACATTTATTCTGTTATTATATTTTACTTTTATCAAATCTTTATTTTTATCACATATTTACTTTATATTTTAAAGTGATTAGAATATCTTGTAGTTTAATTTGTAAAAAATCGATTTTTTTATTTACTAGAAAATATATTAATAAATACTGTGAATGAAAACTTCTAATAATTATTATTTAATAATTTATATAAGATAATGCTAATATCATGGTTTATTGATGGATAAAGTTTTATGTGTACTTTTTTTTTAAAGAAATCTTTATTTTTAGTTGATTCTCTTAAAAAAACGTTTTTAAATTATTTATAGTTGGTGATAATAGAGTTTATAATTAACTAAATTCATTATATTTAGTAAGATTATGAAAATTCCAATTTAAGTTTAATAAGATTATTTATATATCTATTTATATATATAATAAGAATATTTATATAATCAACTAAGATAATTAAATATCTAGCTTGTGTAAAATTTCTTGGTAATCGATTGAAAAATAGCGTATATACGTTTCAAAAAGTTATTGATGCTTATTTCTTTTTTTTTTTATAAATTCCTTGAAAAAGTGATAATTTGTGAATGTGACTACAATTATCTAAAATGTTAGTAGCTTTCACTCTTCCATGATGTCACCGCGAGTAGACTTTTTTAGCAGATTCTTTAAGCATACCATTGTTTTTATCTGTGATAATTTATGAAATAAAATTACTCATAATTATTTTGAATTTAATACATATAAAAATATATTATAATAAAAACAGATAAATTGGTAAATAGATCTTATAATATAATATGGGATTTTTATAACTTTATAGAGTATGTTAATGAACTTTTTAGGTTTGAACTACTATTTAAATAAATATAAAATATTGTTGTAAATTTTTCGAAATTCACTATATTAAGTCACTATATTAAGTTTCAAGAAAAGCGTTTAAATTTTAGTATATGTTTACCTAGTCATAATAAATAAATAAATAAATAAATTCAATAAAAGCACAAATATTCAATATTTGGTGTTGGTTACAAGCTACTAATTATTTATGTGTATGTTTTCGAAAAAGGAGAATCAATTTGTTATATCATATTGAAATTTTGAGTGGGATAATATTGTTTCTTTATATACAATACTTACGCAATTGAAATGTTGTAATTAAAATAATATTAAATTAAAAATATATTTGAATAATTCATAACAAGTGTTCGAAAGTGGTGTTATTTTCTGGCTCGAATTGCCAGTGTTTCGATAGCTTTAATAATTTGCTGCCTAATGAAGAAAAGCATGAAGCAAATAATATCTGATAGTAAAATAATATTTAATAATTGAATAATAGTTTGAAGTAATTTTTATAACATAAAATAAAAAGCCAATAAGAAATGTCAATATTTGTTGATATTTTTTTAAATTGATAAGATAAATTTCGAATCAAGCAATAACAAATTTTCAGTCTAAAATTAAGAATAATTTGCGCTCCATCTCGGCTCTCTTACGACCGATATTTAAAGGCAACTACACACGTGTTAAGATAAACACAATGGCATTCCAGTGTTTGATCAGAGCACTACAATCATGATAACCTCTTAGCGATAATATTCAATAGATTATAACCTGCTTCATTCATCGTAAATATATTTCAACACCACAAGATTATCAAGAAATATAAAGTTCGTCTGTAATTCACCCTTTTGTAAATCAATTCAAATAAATAGAAATAATAAAGACATGTGTTAATTATTAATCAGTGCATTCACCCTTTACTTGCCCGGCAACCCCACATAACATCTAGTGGGTTTTATTGTTCTACGTTAATTATTGCACGTTTGGCTGACTAGTCAAATTGTGGGATTATTTTCCGAACAGTTATGGAAAGGGTAGTATGTGCAAACTTCATTAACATATGGTTTATTAACAGTTACATGTATAATAAGCATGGTTCATTTTTTATAGAAGAGTGTAAAAGCTTTGTCTCAATGATGAGGTTGTTCCTTGATGATGACGATGTCAAGGCTTCTGCTAGTGTTGCAAGGACTAGCAGAGATATGCTCACACTCCTGTGGAGGACATGTGGCCTTGAAGTACATATAATAAAGTGGCCTCTGCTAATATTGTCAGGAATTAGCCGAAATGTGCTCACACTCCTGTGTAGGACGTGTGGCCTTGAAGTGTATATATGAACATACCTGGAGACTACTTGTTTGTGGCAGTATAGTTTCTCATCATGCAGTCAGCACCCTTGACTGCTTATGCGTGTAGCACGCTTGGCAATTAGACTTGTGTCCCTTTGGATGGCAGTGTAAGTTTCTCTTAATACAGTCAGCACCCTTGATTGCTTGTATGTGAGGCACGCTTGGCAATTACACTTGTGTCTTTTTGGATGGCTTCATTGTATGATGAACTGAGCGACTGGTGTATGACCAAAAACACTAGCTGAATAACATAATGAATGACTTATACTGTTGACCGACTGATATACAATGAGACTATAAGCCTGTTGAATACGCGCACGAAATCTGAAGGCTTATTCGTTCCGTGGCGACTCTGCTGAGATATACCAACTGTTCGGTACCGCCGCGTGCTTGCCTTATATATCTACGCGGCACCTTACTTATATGGCAACAAAGCATCATTGTTGCTGCAACAAAATCTTACATGAGGCGCAGAAAAAAAACTCTAGAAGTTTCGAAAACTCTAAGAAAAAACAATGCGTAAAAAGTTTAGAGAATTTCAAGTGAGGTTACTATGCGAAGACCATATAAAACATTGCAGGGCATTTGAAACCAAAGCATAACAAGTACACGAAAATTCTCATCCCAAGTGATTACAGAAACCTCAGAGCTAGAGAGACTAGCAATGCCGATAGCCGGCGGTCTTGGAAATTGCTTCAATCCCGAACAAAAAGTTTTAATTTTATATTATTATTTTATAATGAAGTAAAAAAAAATTTTGCCTAGTTAGTTTACTTAATACCTTTAATTATATACCTATATAATTATATACGTTTAATATTATACGCTAACATTATATTCATTACACTAACATAAATTTATATCCATTTGTTAAATAATATATATTTTTATTTTAGATTAAACTTATTTAATATGTCTTGATATTTAAATTGATTAACATTTTTGACAGGTGTTACCTAGTATATGTAATGAAGTTCTTAAATCTGTTGTCGCCAAGTTTAATGCATCTCAATTAATTACACAGCGACAACAAGTATCAACATTAGTCAGAAAAGAGTTAACTGAGCGAGCTAGAGATTTTAATATAATTTTGGATGATGTTTCTATAACAGAATTGAGTTTTGGAAAAGAATATACAGCTGCTGTTGAAGCAAAGCAAGTAGCTCAACAAGAAGCTCAGCGAGCTGCTTTTGTAGTAGAAAGAGCAAAACAAGAAAGACAACAAAAAATTGTACAAGCTGAAGGTGAAGCAGAAGCAGCAAGAATGATATCCTTTTTTTTAATATCTTTCTGTGTATTTGACATATATTTTACTTAATATTTTACATCTCTTTTATATACATTTTAGATACATTCTACATATTTGTTATACATATTTTAAATACATTTTACATTTGTCTATATATGTACAAGTACAATGTAATTTTATAGTATTATGTTTGGAAATATTTTGGAAAATATTTTAAATGTGTATTAGAAAATTTGTTGACTTTATACAAAATATGATACAATCAACCTTTTTGGTTGCAAATTCATTTAGACTTTGTATATGTTTGCACAGTTCAGGATATTGAAAAAACTTTCAGAAAAAAGAGATAAATAATTTGATAATTAAATGCACTAATGAATGTATTTATTTGATGAGGAAAAACAACACTATCGTGTGTTCATTGTAATTTTAATGAGAAAATTACGAGCGTGCTCACATATAGAAAATGGAAAAAAAATTAAGGAAAATGTTACACTTCACATCTTTATCGTAAAAATAAAATGCATATATTTGTGAAAAATTTAGAATAATAGACTAGAAACTACTTATTGATCAAGTTCGTGTCGAGAAAAATATTATTGTAATGGCTAGTGCTAGTAATAATGGATTATTTCATTACAGGCATAAAATCAAATGCTGAAAAAAGGAAAATAAGCCTATTTATTGATCTAATGAATTGAAATTTTATCTCAATTTCGCTGTGTAGTTATCTATTATATTCTGAGTGTACTGATTTTTCTGTAATTTCTATTTATATGAATTATAAACGAATATTTTGATATAAAATCAATGTCCATTATTACATTTTTAAATAATGAAAGGTACAAAACCAGTTATGTTTTTCATCGATATATTACATTTATTACATTTCTGTGTTATTAATTTATCGTTATTCATTATTATCTAATTGATTCATTCACTTATTCTTTATTCGAATTTTGGTATAATTTTGCCGCGTGAGATTACATAATAATTTATAATATGACTTTCCGAAGAAAATTTTTAATTGTCAAAAAAAGAACTTAAAGTATGTGGATTTAAAGTGTTATATATGTGTATTATTTATCATTACATGTTAAAAACTATATATATATATATATATATTATTTGTCCTGTATTTCATTTTGTATTCAAACTTAATTTATATTTAACCTTAATTGAAGATTACTTAGGCATAGCTGTTAGTCAAAATCCTGGTTATCTAAAACTCAGAAAAATAAGAGCTGCGCAAACTATTTCACGTACAGTAAGTAGTCATAATAAAATCTAACGTTTTATTGATTAATATTTTTACTGATAATATTCACCTTGTAAAATAAAATATGATTTTATAATATCATGCAATAATATGATATACCAAAGCCCTTCTATTATTATATACAAATTCGATTTTCATCTTTTTAATGAATTTTTTCTCAATTTTAATTTTGTATTTGTACATTTAAATTCAATTAAGTTTTAATAAAATTACAATGTTTAATTAATGAATTTGAATTCATATTATGTAAATTAAATGCTTTGTTACAATATATTCTTTTTCGAACAGAATTTAACTATACAATTTAATATATTAATATTAGCAATATATTTTTAACCTAATGTAAATAATTATGAAATTAGCTGTATTTATGAAAAAGAAATTACTTTATTTTATGATTCACTTGCCTCCTGATATAATAAATAGCGTTGTGTTAACTTTATTATTTTAGTGCATATAATTAACAAGAAAAAAATTATTTGTTAAAATTAAAAATGTCTTAATATTTTAATAATCTTAAATTATTAATATTTTTAGTGATATAAAGTATAATATAATAATATATAATAATATAAAGTTCGATAATGAAGGTTTGTTTTGTGGCTCGAACTGCCAAATTCAATAGTTCAGTTTATATGTCTCTCGTAGTAGCAATTCGTAGGAAAAACATGCGGAAGGGCTGAAAATATGTACAGTTCATGACTTTGATTTAAGACATTGTTTATTCTGGTTTATTAACAATTACAATATTGCAGTTCTATGATTGCTTCTACTGAGAAAGAGGGAATTATTCTATTGCAATGGTCGCGATGTCATTGATGTTAGAGGGATTAGCAATGGATGTTGATTATTGGGTTCTATATTAACATAAGAATCAAATGAGCATAGGAAGATGGTAATGACAGTTAGCAGTGCCTAACAGGGAGAATTAACCATACTCAAAGGGGGAGTATGTTAATGTTTCTGTGGTAATTATCATATAGAATCAACCATACTCCAAGGGGAGTATAGGAGTATTAGTGAGCTAGTTATACGCAAGAATGATAAAGGATATACCTTCGAGTGCGGAAGGACTTGGTATTATGAGGTTTATAGTTGACTATTTGTAGAACAGCAGTCTGCCATTCACAATTATAGGTTATGCGGGCTGGAGAGGTGAACGAACGTTCTCTGCAATGACTGCACTGAGAGAGCGTACTGTGTCACTTTCGTGGCAGACTCTGTATGAAGCGAGGTTTGAGCGTGGATGACTAGCTTGGACGAATAATTGTATGGTGGCACCTTATGAACTACCGACACTGCGTGCTGAATGACTGACAATTATGTGCTTGTGTATTGTAGGCTGATTGCCAAGCATGCGGCTGAGTTTAGTAGTTGTGTGAGTAATACTTGATACCTGATTGATTGAGAAATACTGTGAGCAATAACAGATGAGTGAACGATTGGTAAAATTACAGTGAGCCGAATGCGTGGCGAGCTGCTCTTAAATATTCGCGTAGTAGCTTGTGACGCTGGCTACAGCGCTTGGGCTTGTTGTTACGCCGAAAATGTTGATGACGTCAGAAAACTGAGCACCAGAATATCCGAGAAGTACAGAAGGACACTGCCTTGAAAGGTTCGAGAATTTTCGAGAAAAAGTTGTTATGCGGAAATATTGTAGGACATTTGAAATTAAGGCGTAGACAATAGACGAATTAGCAGAATCAATGTTTACAATCATGAGCGTCTGAGAGCTTGTACTTGTCTCAACTTTTAAATTCTTCGAAGTTGCTCCAATCCAGAACAAGTATTATTTTTATACTTTTTAAATTATATATTTTCAAATTAATTACAAATTTCTTAATTATATCTTTTAATAATTAAATATATTTGAGTTTTAATAAATTTTAAGTATACTTTACCTTTTTTGAAATTGATTAATAATTATTCAAAAAATTATTTTTATTTTAGAAAAATATGTATAAAAAAAAAGAAAATATTTTTTACATGTATAATTAATCCATAATTTTAATGCATAATTCTAACGTTAAAGAAATTATATTACGAGTTTATATTTTATAACGTTGGAATAATTTTAGATTGTATTTTAGAAAAAATTTTCATGTAAAAACTACTGTAAATTCGTTGGGAATATAACAATATGTTAACAAAATTTCACATTAATACAAGCAAATTATATTTTATCAATTTGCGATGGGATTGTAAATTTTCATTTTTTAATACAAATTTAAAAACCAATTTCTAAGTGTAATTAATAAAATCATTCATCATCACTCATACTATTAATTTTTTCATTGAAATTATTTTAATAAATATTTCAATGTCTCATATTAATAACTCATAAAATTAGATTTTCACATTTAATCAATATATTTTCAGATATATAATGACAATATCAAAAATGATTTTAATAATTATTTATTATATTTATATATTAATTCTTATTATTTGATTATTTAAAATAAGAAAGTATCCAATGTATTTAATTAAGAAGATGGTACATTTTTATCGCATCGCTAAAATAGTAAAATCCCAAGCGCTACGAAGGCTCATCGCATTGAGTATTTTTACAAGATATTTTCCATTGTAGTTAATACAAGGTTGAGAACTAATTTTAAATTAATACAAATTGTATACTTATATGTATATTATATTGAAAACAATAGCACATTTGCACTTTTCATTTGTGTAGAATGGCTACATCAGCAGAAGTTTTAAAGATTTATGCATTTTGCAATTCTGAATATTTGACAGCAACATTTCCGCTGTTAACAAACCAGCATGTAATTAAATTCATTGAAATTTTAATCATATAAAAATATATACTGTATATATTATTTTTAATATTTCGTTCATTTTTTAAAATCATTCTACTTTTATTACTAAACTTGGAAGGAAACATTTTTTTACAATTTGTTGAAAATAATTTATTCATTTAAAGTATTTTATTTATATTATGTAAACTATTACAATTCAACAATTTTTATAATAAAACTTGAATGTAATTTTACATGTTGAAATTTATAATTACGAAATAAAAATAATTTGTTTTCAGATTTCCAGCTCACAGAATCGTGTGTATCTAAGTGGTAATAGCTTAATGCTTAATATACAAGATCCTACATTTGACGACCTTTCAGAAAAATTAAAAAGTAAAAAGTAAATAATATGTAATTTAAGCTATACATACAGTTTTTGCTGAAATATTGTAGTACAAAACTAAATAAAATATTGTCTAAAAATTTGTATGAATATGTATTATGTATATATTAAATAATGAGAATCAAAAAATTTTTATTTAATTAATTTTGGTTTACAACGAAGTTCTGGGTTGATTATTTGGTTCAGCATTTCTATTTTTTTTGCAATCATTTGAAACTGATTATATTAAAGAACTTTGCATTATTATATATATTAATTTATAAAATAATTTGCACAACGAATATTCGTCAAGAAGGTTATGGTACAATTTATAACTAATTACTATTATCTATATACTCAAAATATAATTATATATCTAAAATGTATTTTTAAAATAATTTCTTCAGTCTTTTAAAAGAAAATTATTTTATGCAAAAATAAAAGATCATCTTTGAAAATAAACAATATTTTATTTTTAAACATAGATGTATACAATTGTACACATAATTCATTCGTAAAATTTTATTTATGTTCTTTATTTTTTGTTGAAAGGCTCAATTAAAATTCATAACAATATTCATTATTAACACTTGTATTTTAAATAAACAAACCTTAAATTTATTTCTTTTAATCCTAGTTACCCAGTAAATGAAATGGTTTCAAATTTTCTTTAATATTCCAAATCAATATAAAATTTAAATCATTGTTATATAATTTACATGAAAATCAATAACAAATTCAATATCGAATGTGTTTTTTAATTATATAATACCTTTAACAAAATTAATTTAGTCATAAATAATACATCATATATAATTTAGTTCTGTAATTTCACAGAAGTATTTATTTGTCATAACTATGTATGTTTTGCATTACAACTTATTATTATGTAAATGCATTAAAATTTTATCATTTATAAAACAACTTCGAATGATTAATTATATAATTCAATCCTTCAGCTAAATAACGAACAATACCTACTTCCGATTAAAGTTAGTATTGACGATAAGTGCTAGAAACACTACAATTCATATGATTATTTTCCTTTATAATATTTTTGTATAAATTTCTAACATTTTTAAATTTAATTGTTTGTTATTTTTTAAAGAATATTTCTTTAAATAACCTAAGCCTTCTGTTCTATTCTAGTGGTTTATTTTCCCACTAGAATATATTTATCTAGTGGTATTATTTTATTTTGTTACAACAATTGAATAAATCATTTAGCCTTTTTTTTTAATTTTATGTTCTGTCTAGGGAAAATGGTTTTTGTTTTTTTTTTTACATTAATCTGCACAGATATTTCATTATAATTTTTTCTATTTTTATTAATGTCTTGCATAATTGATAATTTTAAATGTCTTAATTGTGTAATTTTTTATCTCGAGATTATGGTTGGTATGATTTTTATTTTTTAAATATTTCTTTAAAAAAGTTAGAACCGTTTATTAAGAAGTTTTTTTTATACAAAGTGAAAGATACTTTGTATATGATAGTTACAAGATATACGGTATTAATTTTATAAAATATTTTCGTTGGTAAAACGTTGGAAAATTATATTTTTATTTAAGTACCCTTATATTCAAGTTTTATTTATACTAGTGCTCAAGATATCCCAAATAAATGAAAGAAGTATTGATATATATGAAATTGGATTATACAAGTAGTTATATACGTTTTTTATTTTTATTCACAATAAATTATTGCTTTTTACGCATAACTGGACGATTACATAAATATTATATATAATAACACACAAATAGAAGAATTTATTTTTTATGAAAAATGCTATATAAACTTACAAAATAAGACCAAAATTCAATTGCAAAATACAACTATAATGTTTACTTAGTATTTTTAAGAATAAACTTACTATTGAAGTTTGTTAAGCATTTGATACATAAAAAGGTTTCTAATTACTGTTAGGCATTTGTATTAAGGATTTAATGTAATCGAATTCTATGGTTTAAGAAAACAAATTGATGTATAAATTAATATGTATTTAATACTTGCTGTAGTCAATCTATTTAAATCATTAAAATGACAATATTGAAAAGAGAATTGACAGATGAATAAATTGATTTCAGTTTTATCAGTTATTCAATTATCAGTTTTTAATTAATCTTTTAAGATTCTTTCTTATGTTAATTAATTTATTAATTTCTGAATTATAAAAATTATATGAAAAAATAATGTAGTATTAACAAGGAATGTTGAGTTATTCAACAAAATAATAATTTTTTTTTAATATGTACATAATTCGAAACTTATAATAAAATTTTGAAATCATTGAATTTATATAATCCTTGAAGTGTACATTATAGGTATGTTTTAATATTTTCATTTGCCATAATTGTTATTCGTTTGTTAAGTGTAATAAAAAAATTTTAAAGTAGTGAGTTTTATAAAACATAAATTGACATAAATTTCATATTTTTTAAACATGAAATTAAATTAAATAATGAATAATTTTATTTGTAAAATTTTACGAATCGAATCATATGAATTTCAGATGAATATCAATATGAATTCGTGTTTCCTTTTTATAATACTATTTATACCGCAAAATACATTTCGATTAATTTTTAAAAGTAATATAATAATTTTTTTTTTAAATTATAATTTATTTTTAATATGGTTAAATCATATTTTATTTCTAATATTATTTTATATTTATTATATGCTTTGTAATATTTCCTACTATTTTTAAAGAAATTGATATATAATTATTATGAAACGTAAAACAATTTATTTTATTTATTAAAAACATTTATATATCTATAATTTCTATAATAAATGTTTTGCATATTGATTCAACATTTTTTAAAAATTAAGTAATATATAAAATATTAATAGATAATTAAAATAGATTCATATAATAAATTAAAACAATTTTTTATATTCTTGTTTTTCAGCTATTAATATTATTTGTTCCTTATATGAATAATATATATATATATATATAAAATCATTTCGATATTTACAGGAAAGCTGAAATATGTGCCTTAATCAATTACAAAATATATTATTTAAGTATATATATATATATTTTTTGTATTCTATATTAAGATTATATCTTTAAAATAGGTATAATATAAACAAGGAATAGATAGCGAATATGCGAAGTTGTACGAAAACGTGAGAGGAAGAGGTAAAGAGTGCGGTGCCCGGGAATCAAGGCACACACAGTTTGCGCAAGCGCAACTTACGTCTTTTTATGCTGAACTCCACGAGGTTGAGAGACAGAGATAGTTAGTTGGTCAGCAGAAAATAGGCATATTGAATGAGAGATAGAGATGTAGATATAGAATATAAGAAAGAGATACTGTGAGAATATAGAGAAAGATAGTCTGTGAAAGGAAATTATATAGACAAAGATAGAAATACGAACGACGGACATTTAACAAGAATTGGGGGAGCGAGAGAGATAGGACAATAGCATCCGTCTGTAGGCGCTGAAGCTGTCCTGGCAAAGCAGTCTGCGTCCCGAGATAGCAGAATCAGGATCAGTTTAGTTTAAACTTACTGTACGTAATTTTTGTCCTACAAAAGTTATGTGTAATATTTTTAAATTATGTTTAAATAATGTGATTACAGTATTATTCAAGACAATATTAAAATTTATAAAAATCTTCGAATATTAATTATTTTGATGTTAAAATACAATGATAGTTCTTAATATATTAAGCAATATATTATATTGTATATAATTATTGTTGAAAGTTTTTAACAATACTGAAAAGTATATTATAATAAAAAATATTATAAATATGCTGCATCTTAAAACAAATAATTCATTACCGAATGTTGTAATAATTATTACGTTACTATCGGTTCAAATATTTATAATTACTGAAACAAAAATCATGCGCACTGCTTTCAACGAAGGTACGTTTAGTTAAATGTATAGTTAAGTAAATATTTATTCGTTAAAGCATTAATTATAATATAATATATTTATATTATATTATATTTATTGTAACTATAATAAAACTAATAATATATACTAATTTTATATTATAATTTTATATTGTTCCAATTATTAATTTTTAATCTTCCTATTATTATTATTATTGTTATTAAAATTATACTTAGATCGTAAATATAAAACCGATAAGGTATAGCAGTAATGTAACAACGTTAGTTGTAGCTAGCACAACAGCAATAAAAAGTGTTTTTTAAACAAATTTATAACTCCAGTATTTAATTTATTAATAAATGTAATTTTATTATGAATAAAAATATATTGTTTAGTTGTTCAATTATTTATTATAGTCAATTTATTATTTTATTTATAATATTATTAGGAAACTTAAATATTGAATCTAAAGAAATATTTCATTATGAAATTTGAATTTAATATTTTATTACAATAACGCTGTAGTACACTTGACTGTGTATTTTAAAACGAATTTGTGTAATTTAAATAAAAGCGCAAGCGCATCACGATGAATATAAATAATTGCTCAAAAGGAAATATGCAACATGTGAATTACTGAGTATATTTGATTTTAAAAATGGAATAATTAAAAAAATTATATATAATGGCATAGTATATATCCTTACATTAAAAATTTTTTTTTTTAATCACAAAAATTTGATAGTAACTATAATATATAATAAAAATTTCAATTTTAAATGATTTTTTCCGAATATAGCTTATTTTTTTCTTTCTATTTTATTGACATCATAATTCTAATTCTTTATCTACATTTTTTATATCACAATTCGTATTTTGTATCCACTTTTGAATATTAGTGATTTAATCTTGGATTTTATAATGTAAGATTAATAAAATGAAAGTTGTAATTACAAATATTTACAAGATAAATAAATATATATATATATATATATATATGTATATAATAAAAGCACGACAAAATAAATATATAGTGTTCCTCAAACATGAAACTAACTTTTCCCAGCTTCGCATTTTTTAAATAATATTTTGTACTAAGTAAGAATTTGAATAATTTAATATAATTATAAATAGTAACATATTAAATATGTTTTAATACATTATGAATAAAATACAGTAAATACATACCTCATCAAAATGCACGATATTCAACGGTTATATGCTTAATATTTTTATTTACTATTAATAAAGTTTATTACATTACAAACACATTAACATATAAAATATCTAAATTTAAATGATGTATTTTCATTATAATAACGCGCAATATACTTATAATGTCGAAGTTGTGTGAATCAAATTTAGCAAACTTTCATTTAAGCTAGATTTAAAAGTCTAAAATTTTTTAAATTACTAATTATTATATCTCATTCTATTTTTTGTGGACATTATATTTTACTTTTCATAAATTATAATAGATTCTCTTGTTTGTATATAATATTCTATAACTTGTGAATAACTTATAAAATTATAAATATATTCTAATATATCTTGTAATATACATCTCCAAATATATTTAATATTTTTGTATTTATATTCTGAAAATAATAAGCTCCAAATAATTAAATCCTTTAAAATAATTATACATTTTTTAAAAATTTTATTGTGTAGTTTAAAAAATTATTAATACTTATATACGGTCATGTATTTTGCTGATGAATGGTGTTTGATTAAAGATTTTATAATAATGAATGATGTTTTACATTTGAGTCAATTCTTACTTCCAATATCGTATCTCAATAAATGATAAGGGTAATGAATAATAGTTACTCTGATGATTTTAAGTATGGATTACGATGGATTGCCCCAAGTAATATGACAATTAATGACGTAGTGATTCCGTATTTTTTGTGTCAAACAATATAATTACCTGTATACAATAACCTAATACCTATCAATTTAATCAATATAAGTACCTAGATGATAAGTATTGTCATGATAAGTAAGCTTTAACTTGAGGTACGTTTAAATGATTGTTTGAAAGATGATTTCGATAATCTTTTTATTAAATTTTTAAATAATGAAGGCAATTAATTACAATTTATTTATTCGATACACTGAATCACAGATAAGTAATATAATATTTAAATTTAATAAATTTTTAAATTCGATAAGTATTTAAATTTTCATTAGAAATTTTCTATATTGCAAAGAGACAAATTGAGCATTTTGTATACAGTTTTATGAAATTTTTTAGTTTGATAACATTTTTATTTTCGTTCTGTGTTCTCACCATAATTGTTTATTTTATAATAAAGTAAACATTAATTATACGTGTTTGTATTACATATGCTTGTTAATTTTATATAAAAAAATAATTATTCTTGCTTTTATAGATGCTTACTTCATAAAACGAAATAGATTAAACATTTTAAAAAAATTGTTTCATTGAAAAGGAATTATTATTATCATTACTTTGTTCATTGTATTTAATAAGTAATTAAAGTGCCTAAGGTAATACCTAATTGATGCATTAAACGAAGGATAAATTTTAGTATTATTATTTATATTTTTGTATGTATTTTTTGCTATCGTGGTATAATGTTTTACAATGCTAGATTAGTTAGATTAAATGAGAACTCTGATATCAAATTGAGCATTACGTGTTATACATAATAAAACATTATAACATCTGTAAATAATTCGGAATTATTAATAAACCTTAGGTACAGGTAATATATACACATTCTTATATATTTTATATTATATAATAAATAATATTCATGTTTCAATACTAAATTAAGGATTAGATGGAAAATATTGACTATTTTAATTTTACATTATACTAATTTTCTGTTTCATTACGTAAAATATTGCGATTCCTTAATTTAATAGTATAAATTTTTATTATTATATTCATTTATTTATATATATATATATATATATATATATATATATGCGTATGTATGTATGTGTGTATGCTTATTTTAGGTTTTCCCATATATTCATTTGGACCAAAATTTATTGCACCAGTTGAAAATCAAACTGCAGCGATTGGACGTGAAGTAACTTTTTCATGTAGTGTTAGTAATATTGGAAAATTCAAGGTATTTCAAATGTTAAAAAATATTTATTTTAAATTTTATTATAAAGTAATATACAATCATTATAATATTTTCAAATAAATATTAAATATAAATATGGTTGATCAATGAATGGTACTAGACTTTAATATAATTTGTTCAATAAATATGTCAACATAAATCAATATGACAATCATTATTTTTTAAATATGTTTTGCTATCTCTATAAAATTTTGTTTATCAATTAATCAATCGATTTCATTTTGTTTAGAAATTATCTCAAAAAAATATTTATTTTCTTACTTACTTAATTTTTATTAGATTAACAAACATAAATATATTTTACTCCCTTAAGATATTTTTTAGAAACAGATCCTAGGAAATTGCTTTTTGATGATCATAAATACATGAAGGTAGGATACATTTAGGTTCACTTTATTTTAGTAATTAGTTGAATTAGTAAATAATATTTATATGCTACCTAATGCATATGTTATTTTTATTATATTTTATTATTCTCTTCTTTCTTAGTCACGTTATTATTTAGTATCCGTTTACACTAGAAATAATCACATACTATGTAGTTTAGATAAAAATATTTGACAGTATATAATATTGTAATAATTGTACATTTTATATCCACACATATTATAAATTATTCATTTTATTTAAGTTTTTTTTATAATTTCATATTAGATAAATTATTTAGAATTTTACTGTTGATGGCCGTCTTATAATAAGTTTGAAAATATATGTTTATAGGCATGTAACTGCAGATGAGAATATGTGAAATTATTATTAATGTACATAGATTTATTCGATGATCACAAACCAATGTAGATATGTCGTACTGTATGCTTCTTTCTTTTTGCTTCTATGTACTTCATCGATAAACTGACACTTTTCTTACATTAACTTTTTTTTTAATCAATTTAATCTAGAATGTGAATTTTTCTCCATTTGTTTGCCTAATTTTGGATGTACGGCCTATTTTCGTATACAGCGCTGGTTTAGGTTGTGCATTTTAGATTATTTTTCTGCTCGATGTTCACTCAAAAAAAAAATTAAAACAAGTATAAATACATATTCTATAAGGTGGATAGTGACGAATGACAAGAAAAACACGTATAGTTATATAACGGAATGTTTTATTCAAAACGTTATCAATAGATGTCTATATTTTTGAGACTGTAGATTTTGGTAGTCTTATATTCTTCTTATAGCCTTCGGTTCTTGGAAAGTTTATATTTGCTTTCGCAGAATTCTCGAATAGCCGGAAACTTATAATTCTCGAATGTTGTACAAGGCTGCTTAACCTTCACGTAGCAACGTCGATGTAATTTCTCGAATCTTCCAAGCCTTTGCTTACGATGAATTCTTGAATAGACGAAAGCTTAGATTCTCAAACATTCTACAAGGCTGCTTAGCCTCCGCGTAGGAACGTCTAAGCTTTGTTTCAAGCTAGTGATAGTTACCGCGCTGATATTTAAGGAAGCGTGCATCAAGGTTCCACGTAGTTATCAGTCAGCAGTCACTCTGTGTCGGTCGTTAACATAAAGCAATCAATCAGTACGTAGTATCGGTAGTCATTCAGTGTGTAGTGTCAGTTATTCCTCACAATCAGTCACTCATCCTAGCCAGTCATTTTTGCCCTAGCCATGCCATTACACAGAATCTACAACAAAGAGAAAAGTCACGCAACACACACTATCTCAGTGCAGCCATTGCAAGGATCGTCGGTTAATTTTCCAGTGCAGCCATTGCAAGGAACGCTTGTTCAATTTTCTAGTGCGTACGGTTAATAACCAGTCAAGGGCTGACTGTCGTTCTAGTAAATACTCGACTACACAAATCATGGTATCTGACCTTTCTAGACTCGAAGGTATATCATCTGTCTTTATTGAGAATAAATACCTCACAAACATTCCCATACTTCCCTTATGAGTATGGTCGACTCTCTCTGCTAACCACCACACAGATATTCCCACACTCCCTTTATGAGTATGGTCGATTCTCTCTTCTAATCACTGCTAACTACCACTACCACATTCCCATGTACACCTTATGAGTATGGTCGACTCTTCTTTCTGACCTTTACAACGTTAACATCTACCACAACAAGATATAGTTCTCTTCAGAGAATATACACAATCCATTGCTGATCCCCATAACATCATCAACGACATCACCAACAACATCAAGGAGCAACTACATCATTGTAATAGAATAATTCACTCTCTCCCACGAGAAGTGAACATAGAACAACAATAATGTAATTGTCAATAAAACAAAATAAACAATGTCCTAAACGAAGTTACACACTGTACATATTTACAGCCCTTCTACGTGTCCTTTTCTAAGCATCGCTAAGGTGAGAGACAAATAAACTGAACTATTGAACTTGGCAGCTCGAGCCAGAAACTAAATTTTCGAACACTAAGATATAAATAATATATATAAGAGATTGTGTAAAATTCCATTATCCCGTGTTCAAAGGACCAAGAGGATGGGATTGGACTAAGGTCACCAATTACTTAGTGGGAGAAAAGTGCTGGCAAGTGGAAGGGATAGTGCATTAATTCGATATTTAACACATTTTTTTACGTGCTGTTTATTGCGTTTTACCTTATAAACTACACAATTTTGATTCTGAGTTAGTGATGAGAATCATTGATATCTTGCAGTTCTGTGGTAAGTAATAGAACGTCGTAAAGTTCTTCTTGTTGGTAAGAATAATATTTGAAAGTTTTTTTTAGAATCATCGTTGTTGCAATTATTGGATAAAGAAATAATTAAATTGTATATTAATCTCTATTGTTGAAACAAATTAAAAATGTTTTCGAAATTTATGAGAAGGTAATTTTAAAAGTTAATATTGACAGGAGAAATTTATAATGTATTTGGTTTCTGTCAAGATACTTGATGGACAATATTTTTCAATCGGATAAAACGAAGTAAAACACCAAATAATGGAAAATTATTGATTATGGAGATCACAGTTTGGGTATTGAGATATGCATATTTTAGATGAAATATTCCATTAAAAATATGCATAACTACTTCTATACTCGTGAAAAATCATATTTTTTATCCTATTCAATAACAACTAAAAATGGTGTTGTTATGTACAAATGTAAATAAAAAAAAATATAATGTTTCAGAAATAACATAATCTTACATCTGAGAAAATCAGAAATTGAATCAGATTATCTTTGAGGGATAATATTAATTGATAATATTAAGAATATTAATGTTATAAAAATTATTCTTGAGACTAAGTATCAGAATTACTAACTTCACAGTGATTCAGTGATATAACTTTATACTTAATTTATACTTTGAAGAATGCTGTGTGTAGTTTGAGTTAGCATTTGTTTGATAGATTATAAAAACATAAGTATTTGCTAATTTTTCAGAGTAATTAGTTAGTGATCAAGTAGTAAAGGGTATATTTTTCAATTTTAGTGGTATTTAAATGTTTTCTTCGTTTAAAACAAATTATTACTTAGCAATGTTATTGAAATAATTACGTGTGGAATATACTCAATTATTAAGAATAATATTTAAGATATAACAAATTAATTAATTATATTAGCTTTCACAGAAGCAAACATGATAATTTTTGCATTATGCTATTATAATAATTAATACTTAATGATATTGTTACAGATTGCAGCAATTTTCCGTGGTAAACAAAGTGGGAGAGGTAAAGACACCTGCTTAGGTCGAAACATTGCGCGCCGAGTCATAAACACGATGCTACGAAATCGGGAAACTTCACTACTCAAATAGTCCAAATTGCATTAAAATTCCGAATAACAAGGGCCGACGAACTCTCCAAGGCTAGATTCTAGTGACTTCACTCTAACAATCAGCATGACAAGAGTGATCCAGAATTCACCGGAATCGCAAGCCTGTACTAGGATATTTAAGGTGACGCGCTTGACGCTCTCGTCCTCTTACTAGTTCAATCAAGCACTCACCAAGATCAGATCGCCGTCCTACAGATCAGCTCAGCATAAGCCAAGCTAGACTCGGCTACCCAACACTGCACTGATCGACTCCAGCCCACCGGAACCCAAGCTCACGGCCTACCAATGCTACTACACGGATCGAACTCAACACACGTAAGCCACGCTATTACACACGTTCTTACTACCATCAATACACTGAGATCGACTCCACACACGTAAGCTACGCTATTACACACGTTCTTATGAATCACTAATACATGGCTCTCATCAACTAAGTAAGCAGCAATACTAAAAAGTGGTATACGGCACGAGGAATACTCCCACACGTCACGCAGAACGTGACACGGATATCATCCCTTCACTAGTCCGCTACAGCGTGCATCTCGCTAGCGGCAACGGCATCATCACTGCCCCTCATCAGTGACGTCACACAGACACCCCCCTCCCTCACAGGCCGCTACAGCTCTTTTGGCAGAGGCAAAGGCGGCACCATCGTTGCCCCTTACAGTGCGAATCTCCCACTACCACTGCGAGTTCATAACTACGAGTAGGGGAATCAAACACCAAGATACCAAGAATACATTTACAGGATTCTTGTCGCTCATATTAATTGAAGAAACTCTCATCTATTCATTGTATCATACATTCAATTCTATATCAATAGACCACTGACTATTTATTATATTATTATATTCAATAAAGGGAAAAACACTACATTCAAAGGCAGTGTTGAATTATTGCATTGTCCCTTCCACTTGCCAGCAAGCCTCCACCCACCATCTCAGGGAGGCTTTTAGTCTGATCCCAGACAGATATTATATGAAATTAAAAATGTATTAATATATCTTATAAATAATAATTTTGTAATAATATTTGTATAAATACTTTTTAAATAAATACAAGTAATATTTTTATATATTTAGGTGGGATGGTTAAGAGCTTCAGATAAAATGATTATTTCACTGCATACAAAAACAGTTATCCAGAATGATCGTATAGCTATAAAATATGAACCGATATTTATACCAAAAAAAAAATTAGTATCAAATAATTATAGTGTAAACGAAGATAGTCAAAAATCTAATGATGTAGTAAATGGCACATGGCGACTTATTATTCGTCAACTTAAAGAAACAGATAGAGGGTGCTATATGTGTCAAATTAATACTAGTCCAATGATATCACAACTTGGATGTTTAGATATACTTGGTAATATTCTTAAAATTAGCAACACTTAATTGTACTCTCATACAAAGGAATTATATTTTTCTTTAATATTAGACGTCTCTAACGTTCTAACGCACTAATATATTTAAACGCTTAAATAATCTTTATTATTAAAAATAGATTTTGTATAGTAGACATAATACAATAGTAATTTTATTTTAATATTTATTATACAATAAGGAGAAAACAAAATTTTGAACTAGTATAAAACATGATGCTCATGTTGTTTTATCGTGTTAACAAACTTATGAAAAAATTATTATATTTCATCATATTTACTCCTAATATAATATCAGTTATTTATTAATCGTAAAATTTTACTTATGTATACGGTATTATAAAATTAAATATTTAAAAAAATGAAACATCCAATTTCTATTTTTCATTTAAAATGACGATATATTTAAAAAATCAATAAATTTTGGTTTTTCGAAAATTTTAATATTATTAATAGAACAAATGCAGTTATATTTTGTATTAAGAAGCATTTAATTAATATAAAACACTATTAAGTTAAATATTTAATGCTCTATAATTATTATAAAAATTTAAAGAATTAAAAAATTAAAAGATTACTGACTTTTTTATTACAATTGATATATTATTCTAATATTGTATAATCTAACTAAAATTATATAATTATATAATGTATTAATTAAATACATGAATAACATACTTCAATGAATTATATGTATTATCACATTCAATTCAAAAAGATATTTTAATTTTATGTTGTTTCGCAATAAACTATGTACTTATTGTAGAAAGAATTGCGTAAGTAAACAAATGTTTTCCAATGTGCAAAACGTATATAAATGCAAGCCTAAAATAATGTAGTACAAATCTACAAAATGTGACATTTAGTTTTGACAATCTATCTTTATCTACTTAGAAATTTACTGCTGTAACTACCATTGTCTTATTTCTGTTTTTATGCTTCTATTATCTATTCTTAATACTACAATATTTTATATTTTTTGAATATTGTATCTATTACTATTTCGTATGAGGAACGTTTCATAATTCGTACCAAATTAAAAACATAAATAGAATGAAGAAAATCATGAGAAAGAATAAAAACTTGTAAAATCATGTAATTGACTAGTGAGCTAAATTACATTTTTATTTTATTGTTTAAATAACTAGTAGTCTAATAAATTGTGGTGTTATCAACATAATTGGGAAGGTGTATATCAGTCTTGTTTTACAAAAAATGGACGCTAAAATTTACTAGACGAACGATCGGTCGCTGTACACTCGAGACGGTCAATACATCTGGAAAAACTCCAGTGAATATTTTGCTTATTTACTCTTACTTATCTAAAAACGTGCTCATACTTTTTCGGTGTAGTAAAACTTTATGTGTTTACTGCCAAGAAGACGTAGACTCTGACCGAGTGTCGGAAATAAGTAAACTATCTGGTACTAACATTTCCTGAAACCCTGCACGTGCGATAACAAGCAACAGGCTTACATGCGCACTCGGCTTTTTGGGACAATGTTTGCATTGTTCCTAATTGCATCGCATCTAGTCGATCGCATCGGAAAATCGACCACGCCCAAGAGGACCCTTCATCTAGCCAAGTCCCAGAGAAGAGAAAGGCTACCAAGTAAAGTTGACCAATAGTTAAGGCTCCCCACTTCCGGCACTTTCCCGATTAGCATATTCGGGCCTGAGCCCGGAAGGAAGTGGAAATAAAGGCGTGCATAATCCATCATGCTGCCCAAGGTTACCTCTGATTGGATAATCGAAAGAAGAAGGGGTCCCAAGTGGAACTGGGTCAGTGAACTATTTAAGAAGGACAATGTAATGTACCACCCACTTATTTTTCTTACTCTTCTTCTGATTCAAAGGACAAATCACGATTTACTCTCACGGAGGAGGACCAGAAAGACAAGTCATTCAGCTCAGTCTAGTAAAAGTTCTTTCTACGATTGTGAATTAGTATATAGTTATCATTGATCTCATTAAGATTAGATTTCATAGGACCAGACCGCTTGTAATCTCACTTGGAGACAAGGAAGGAACTTAAGAGCTACAATTATTAAAAGGGAACTTCACATCAAGCCAACGAAGAGAGATTGAAAATATCACGTTACACTGCAAGTAAGTCCTTACCGCTAGTACTGATTCTAGATCTCTCGGGTTTACTCTGAAAACGGACGGCTGAATGTCCGATTAGTGAAGCTTCCCCGGCATACTCTAAAAAACACGACCAGCTATAGACGCCACACAGTGGCTTTTCATTTCATTCAACGCACAGCTATTCGCACCACACTGTAAGAGCACATCGTCAACAACGATCAGTGTTAACGCCACAAGTGGCGCACAGCTCTGCATAACCTCTAATTTAGGTTCTTACACGACCCATTATTTAGAGACAATTGCACACGTGTTGAGTTGAAACACGATAAGATTGTAGTGTTCGATCAGAGCACTACAACAACCATAACCTCAAAAGTGATAATATTTTCTCCAATAAAAAGGATATATCTCAACGCTACAAGATTATTAAGAAATATAAAGGTCATTTGTAATTTCACCATGGTTAATGATTCCAACTTGGAAATAAAGTGAAATAAATGAAATAAACAGCAATAATAAAGATATGTGTTAATTATTGAATCTGTGCAGTAACCCTTTACTTGCCCAGCATTTCCCACACAACATCTAGTGGTTTTTTGTTCTAAGTTGATTTTGCACGTTTGGCTAACGAGTCAGATTTGTGAAATTATTTTTTGAACAAACATAATGTGTAATATTATACAAGAAAGAAAGAAAAACTTGAGTAAAAGTGAAAATGTACGATAGAAAAATAGTACAATAAAGTAAAGAAGTACAAAAGAGAATATAACCAAAACAAAAAAAAATTATTGCCGAATATGAAAAAGAAATATAGTTGAGATGAGGAATCAATATAAAAAAGACATACTAGTGAATTAAATACTTATTTTCTTATGTATTTTATATATATATATATATATATATATATATATATATATATATATATATATATATATATATATATATATATATATATAAATAAGATTTTACTAGGTAAAATATCTTCTTTTTCTTTAAGTTCTAGTCTTATTTTTAGTTACAACACAAATGCAATATGAATAAACTGCTTAGATACGATTTTCAACTTTTTAAAATTCTTGTTCCCTTCGTAAATAATTTCACAAACATTCGCTAAATAATTAAATTAATGAAATTGGTATCTTTACATCTATTGTATATTAGCTTTTCATTAGGTATTTAAATTTGTATAGAAATTTATTAATTTTTGAATATCTATTCTTCTTTTTAATATAGTAAATACTTGTAATATAGTAAAACCATTTAATATAGTAAAACCATTTAATATAGTAAAACCATGTAATATAGTAAAATTTATAAATTTATAAATAATATAAATTTACTTTTATATTTCGAATGAAATCAATAATATTTTTATTGAATTAAGATTAGGAATTAGTTAGAACTGTTTTTTTTTAGAAAAAATAAAAAAATTGTTACTTATGTACAACGTTATTTTACAGAATTATAAAAAATAAATATTTTGGAAACTTATTCTTAATTGTAAATAATTTAATAGAAATTATAACTTGATTATCTATGATACTTCCTATAAATACTTTTATACTAATACTTTATTAATTATTTTTTTTTTTACTTATAGTATTTATGTTATATTTTATTTATTGTTTATTGATTATTTGAATAATCATGAATTGCTTATTTTATTTATTATTTATTGCCAAGTTGATTTATTATTTATTAATTACGATTAATTATTATTATTTATTAATTGTGTAATAATTTTTTTTTATATTAATTATTTATTTATTATTTATTAATTGTGTAATTTCACTTTTATGCATTCCAATCTTAATATGAAATTTAAATTCTTAATAAATTTTAATATATCTATGGAACTATTTTCATGCTCATCGAATAAAAATTTATAAATATAGCTTATATGATTTATTTATAAATAATTCTTGATTTTTACTTTATTATAATTGTTGCAGTTTCACCAGACATTTTGAATAATGAAACTAGTACCGATATATCAGTTGTCGAAGGAGAAAATGCTACATTAGTCTGTAAAGCTATCGGAAGACCATCACCCAGAATTTTTTGGAAACGTGAAGATGGGCATCCTATTCTTCTACGAACAATTCTTCTTAGTACGTACTTTTATAAATTTAGACTTTGTATATAATTACAAAGTGTGCGAATCAATTACACATTAAAATTTTAAAAGGGAGTTTAAAAGATATGCCAAATGTCGTAGACAACTCAAAGAATTGATATCTTTTCAATAGAAACTTAAGATAAATTTAAACAATAATTGAAAATGTTGGCTGGATCAGATTTGATTTTGTGTGCCTTATTGCAGTCAGTGTTCAATACTGATCTGATTTAATATATACGAAATAAATAATTTTGGTGCAAAAGCGAAATTTTAATTTTAAATGAGAAATTACTGATATTGTTAGAGTTTATGTAGTTTAAAATTTGATTATTCATTAATAATTTGATATAATTGTTTAGGTATTGTAAAGATATTTGCGAATATTTAATGTAACTAAATTTTGAAAAGAAATTGCCAACAGTCTTGAAAAAGAAGTTTTCCATTGTAATCGAATATTACTTAGTGTTCGGAATTCCAATCATCCGGAGGTCGAGAGACCAAGATGATTTGATTAGACCATACCCACCATTTTACCAGTGGCAAGTGGGAATGAATGAGAGGGTAATGCTTCGATTCAACGCAATTGGTTTTCGTAATGCCATTCACCATTGGTAGTGAGAATTGTTTCAATCTTACCGCTCCTTATCGGTAGTTGCTTAGAGAAAAAATGTAGGGCCTCGTCCAGATATGAAAGGGAAGACTAGTCTTGCTGGTGGGGAATGGCAAAGTAGTCGCACCCCATCCGGAGTATGAATTGCACAGATTCTTCTCGTAGGAGGCATGGCGAAAGAGCAGCACCTCGTCTGGATATGAAAGGGCGGACAGTAGTTAGCACGATTCTTCTTAACTCAGTCAACAAATTGCACACCTTCGACTCGTGTACATGCTTTCACTGTTTGGTTTCTCCTTCGATTAAGTTTACAGAAATTCATTGTCTTACCTATTTCTGTGATGAGTGCGTTGGTGGTGCGCTTCTTATTTAATTCCGTCTTGTAATGCAATCAGCACTCTTGACTGATTTAATATGGCGTCGCATTTAATAATTGTGGCGTGCGTCCTTGAAATGTGCGCACTGAAGTTTACTTAGCTGGCAACAATGTATAGGTGTTGCTATGCCGAAAGTCTTGCATGACATCAGAAACTAAAGCTTTAGAACTTTCGAGAACTCCAGGAAAACAAGGGTCTACAAATTTTGTAGAATTCAAACGATATTGTTATGCGGAAACTAGATAAACATTGCAGGGCGTTCTCAAGGAAAGGCTTTAAAATCATCGAGAAATTTCGGAGTCAATGTTTACGATCTTGCGAGCTAGAACGATTATATATTTCGAAGAATTAATTTTCTTGGGAAATGCTCAAATTTTGAACAGATTTGAAACAGAAAAAATATGAAAATAAAATAGTTAATAGCTAAATCTATAATTAATAATTATTAATTTAATTTTTCTCGATTGATTTGTATTTCGAAAATTTTACAGACTTCAATGTAAATATTATCATGTATCTACTTTATTTTAACTAAAATTTTATAATAATAATATTAAAAACTTCCATACATAAATTAATTTAAATAGATTATATTTAAAAGCAAGCTGAAATATCACTAATGAATTAATAAAATTGTAAAGTCAGACGAATTAAATAATGTGTTAATTAAGTATAACTACATAAATAACAAAAATCTCTTTCATAAGAAGAGAATACTTATAAACTAATATGTTAACTAATACATTAACTAACATCATTCTATTATAATTCAAGGCACTGAATAAAATATACATATGTAAGCAATAATATAAGAAATTTGCTGAACATATATAAAAAACATTTGAATCGTATACTGTACTTTCTATAAAAGGTGACTTTGTAATATAAACTTACGAAATATCGTAAATAAAAAATTAAAAAATAAAATTAATATTGCAGTATTAAATAATTTAATTTTTAATGTTGTGTTTGTATGGTTTTGGTAATCATTTTTCAAGAACATTTTTTAAGATAAATCATGAATATTATGATGCCTACCCTTAACATTTTTGTTAAGATAATTGTGAAGTCTACATTGGCTTATCAATGATTTAATACTACAAATGCGTTTAGTATATATTGTGTGTATCATCTAACAAATTTTTTTTATATTAAGAATACAGTTTTGCTTTTTGTTCTATGAAAATTTCAAATAAATTGTTACTTAAAAATGAGTATAAATTTTCCGTGTGAGTTTTATTTATTAATAAACAAATATTTGCAAAATTTCTATAATTTCATTTTATTTCTAAACTAAATATTAGAATACAAATCAATATTGAAAAAATTTCAAAATGTTTACTCTTTTTTATTCAATATTTATGTAAACTTTGTAGTTTCTATTTTAATATTGTTAATTATTATATTATTGATTTTTTTTGCGTTTAGGTTAATTGTTATCATTATGTATATATTATTTTAAAAATTCTTCATTTCATATTCTTAAATTTCATGTAAAAGTTATAGTTAAGATTATATAAAATTTTCAGATGGCATCAATTTTATTCCTGTACCTATATTTAATAGTTCGAATTTAGAACTTTATCGTATTGATAGAAAGCAAATGGGTACTTATTTATGTATTGCTAGTAATGATGTCCATCCCGCAGTAAGTAAAAGAGTTACTTTATCGGTGAACTGTAAGTTTATAATATTTTTATTAATGTTTAGATAATTTATTAATGTTAATTTTAATGTTTAACATAAACAAATTCTAGTCTTACCAAATATACAGGCCTTAAATCAATTACTCGGTGCACCACTTGGAACTGATGTTATACTTGAATGCAACGTTGAAGCTTATCCAAATACAGTGAATTACTGGTTTAAAAATCCTAATGGAATGTTACTTGATGGGTCTGTCATAATATATCATATTTTCTTATTTGCTTTATAGTAAATATATAACCAATTTTGGAATTTTATTGTTGAAAATAAAATGTTTTTAGAATCTTTTAAGATATAGATACAATAAACATTTTTTTAAATTATATATAAATTATTTTGATTTTTAATGTCTATTTCACATGAAAAACAGTGAACGATATGCTGCAATATAGGGTATAGTTTACTTTATATATAAGTCAGTAAACTTTTGTTTATTCTTAAGTCTCTTTTTGATAATTTTTTTCAATTTTACCAACTATGCTTTAATTTATTCTTTTTCCCTTAGATTAGTAGTATATAATAGCATATACATTATAGTACAAACATATATCACACAATATTCTATTTATACAGAAAATTACTATTATATATGTTATTATATCTATTGTAATTATTATTTTTTTTGTTTCACTAAAAATATAATAAAAATTTAATAAAAATCTTATTTTATATTAAATATTTAAATAACGTATACTATAATGATTTAGTTGATTACTTAGTGTTATAATAAATATATATATATAATTATAATATAATTGTTTATATGTAAATATTAAATTAAATTTCATATAGGTGATTGATATTATAATCATACTTTATAAAATATTATTTATATAATGTAATATATCAATGTATCAATTACGGACGTATGTTTTATAGTTTATTTTATTATTTTTTTCTATTATAAAATATATTTAGAAAATAATATTAAAATATTTAAAAAACATATTTAATAAAAACATGAACATATAAAATGTAAGCAAATACAAATATAAAGTCTACTTTATTTTTGTATTTTTATCATATAATTTATATATTAATTTATAATGAAATCTAATGAAATTATAATGAAAAGTAATCTTCACTATTGTTCGGGATTGAAGCAGTTTAAGCAGGATTTAAAATTGGGAAAAGTACAAGCTCCCGGACGCTTATATTGTAAACACGATTCAGCGAATCCGGGAATTTTTCTATGCTTTAAATTCAAATATACGACAATATTTCCGCTTAGCAACAGGCATCGGCGCTGTTGCCGGCGTCGCAAGCTGTTACGCGAATATTTAAGAGCAGCGCGCCACGCACCGTACCACTGTTCTATCAATATTCACTCAGTCGCTATGCACCTGGCTCACGGTGTTTTTTACTATCAACTCAGTTATGGCTCACTGTATTTCTACACCACGCTCAGTCTCTGTTGTTTTTAATTAGTGAATTTCACATACATATTGTATCAGTTATTACTTGAAACTTAAACGCATATAATACTGTTGGTCTAAAAAAACATACGTACATTATCATTGGAATCTGACACAACAGGACTGCAATTTAACAGTGAAGCCATTGCAATTGTAATCAATAAGGTGCGTCATCCACGCATCTACTGTAGGTAGCTCAATAGGCATATCCCTATATTATTTATACACGCTGGTTATTCATGCTCGAATTACGTCACGTATTAAGCATTCAAAAGAGACGCACCACATCACGCACCTATCAGACCGAAGGCCTTTCGTTCATCCAGCTTAGTCGATATATGGTGCAGCCACACACGCCCTAAAGTCCACCAGGCCGAAGGACATTCGTTAATCCAGCTTAGTCGACACATGGTGAACTACCACGCGCCCTCAGGAATATCCTTCCGTACTTAAAGAATTCTCATATATCGTCATTGCGTGTGACTTGCGCACGATTTAGGTAACAAACACCGCAGAGAACTCCCTTTACGTATTCGTGCTATTTCTACGAAGCCTTATTGATTACTATCACTAACCTCAATTCTGAATATACACAGTAATCTTCATAGCATCAACGGCAATTAAGGACACAAGGAAACACCCTCACCACTGTAATATTATTATAATTCGTAACAAAATAAACAATGATATGTATTTATGGTCGATCAATCGATATACTGTTGTCTGGCCTTGACAATGAACTTGACTTGTTGCATGAATTGTGTCGACTGTTTCAGAGAATGCACGATGACGAAGGGTTACTTCGAGAGAGCGTGCTCTATCACCTGTCGACTCTTGTGGGCCTGTACGGTGTTGAAGCATTAGTTCGACCGAGAGAATCTGAAATTGCCCGATTTATTCGTGTGCGAGGTGTGACTAGCTTATGTATTAATATAAAAATGTACTTTGTAAACTGCTGACAAGGTGTGTTGATTTACTGCGTAGCTGATGTGCTCTTTGATTACTATTCCATTGGCTTCACTGTAATAACTACTAAATCTGCCGATTTTCTTTTATTAATGCACACGTGCATTATTAACTAGACTGCCGAATATATGACCACGTGTCGTCTTTACAGTATGCTAAAAACACTGAACGGCAATTACACTTAAGTGAGCGCGAAGTAAGATTACAATAAGTGTATGAGCGCACGAACCGAAGGTTTGATCGTTCTGTGGCGGCTCTGCTAATACCGACCGTTCCATGGCGGTCCTGTTGCGGGCAGATCGAGACCCGTGTGTCATGGCTTCTACTGGTAGATGGTTAGATAGGTTCACTATGGTCGGTCACTGCGATCGGGTCACGGCAAGATGTTAGCCGCAAGCGCAGTTGAGCGAACGTGGTTAGCAAGAGGCCGGTTAGTAGGGGGACCGGTCAGCAAGAGGGCGAGGCGCGCCGCGTGCTTGCTTTATATAACCACGAGGCGTAGAAAGAAAAATCTAAAACTTTCGAGAATTCGACGAAAGAAAAAGTAATACCCATAGAAAACTTCCTTTGTGTCATCTTATAGTATATTATATTTCAGATCGTAAAACTTGCTCGGACTTGTCAAGTTTTGTTTATAAACATTCGCCGGAGCGCGTGTGCCGTTCCGGGCGCGCGTGTCGTGCGCCGTACAGCGCGTATGACCCACTTTGTCTAAAATTCGTAGGCACTGCGTCAATCTCGAACATTGGTATATAAATTATTAAATATAGAACAATAAATCATAAAAATTTATTACGCCTATACTGTAAAATAAACCTAACGAGGAAATATATTACTCAATAAAGTAAAATAGAAAAAAATGATATAGTTTTATTAATAATAATACATTTTAACAAAATGCAATAATTATACAAACTATCTTTTTAATTACATTCGTGGAAACTGCGTCAATCTCGAACAATTCTAAACATTTGGTTCTTTAAACTGGATTAGTGGAATTAATTTTAAACATATTGACAATAAATATTTCATATCAATCGTGTATCTCAAAATATATTATTGTGAGTATTTTAAGCGATTAAAAATATTTCTTATTGTTCGATTGTTTATTTAATTTGATGTCCGCCTTAGCGGATGGTTGAATAACGACTAATTGGAAGGGCTTTAGATATATATATATAGTGTGTACATACTTCCTTTAAAATGGTTTATTATGGTTTATTGATAATTATAATATTGATGAGTTTACTTCTTATATGAGCGTGTCTCGACGTTATGTTCTATCATAACGATGCAGTTGCATTGAACTGATCCTATCGTGAACAGTTCACCATCACGAGAAGCTCCGTGATGATTGTGACAATGTTGTTGCTAATCTTGTAAGGATTAGCAATACACTTTGTGGCAAGAGTGAGTCTTACTTACTTAGTGAGTCTTACTACGTTAATAATTGCATTTGCTGATCTTGTAAGGGTGAGCAATACACTCAGTGACAAAAGTGAGTCTTATACTATGTTCATAGTTGAATTTTCTGATCTTATTAGGATTAGCAATACACTCAGTGGCGAGGGTGAGTCGTATATTATGTTGTACTTATAGCGACACAGTTAATTTGACCTGATCCTGTCATGGATGGTTCACCGTCACAAGAGGCTCCGTGATGATGATAATGATGCTGTTGCTGATCTTGTAAGGATTAGTAATAAATTATATACTTTCCGTGGCAAGGAGTAATTCGATACTATGTTTCTTGTAGTTTAATATTATCATGAAAGGGAGGAGATGGTGTCAACACTACTTAATACGCCCAGGAGAATGACGCGTGTTCCTAAGAAAGAGCCGTTTCTCGAAACATGCTTGCTTTAAATATCTATGCGATAGCCCAGTTAGAGATGGTAACGATGGATGCCATTGGTGTTGTTAGCTGGAGACTAAATAAATATCGTAGAAATTCCGAGAACTATAAATCTTTAGGAATTCCGAAGATCAGAAGGCTTGGAAGATTGCGAAAATCGTAAGGCTTTGCCGACAACCAGAAAGATTTCAAGTTTTCGGAATCCCAAACCCTTATAAATATAAATTATATATAAATTATTTTTATGGAAACAATTGATTAATTCTAATAAAGATACTGTTATAGAAAATATTTATTTATTAATTACATTTATAATAATTTATTAATTTATCAATTTAATGTCCATATTTAAATTAAAAAATTTAATTTAATTTTTTTCATTCTTAAGATTATTTTATACTGATTATTTTATAATGTGAATATCATCATTTGCACAATTTCTTAAATACAATATATCAGTTTTTTCCATTTTTGTTTGCAGCCATTTTATGGATCCATTTTATAATTCTATCAGAAAATTACTTTTACTATTATATTTACTGATAACAATAAAAGATAGAAGTTAAAATTTTTATAAACGAATGCTCTTATCTTATTTCAGTTTATAAATGGACTACTTACTTTTTGATTATTTAAATAATTTTTGTGATCCATGGATCTAATTTTTAACTTAGGAAAGCTTTAATAGAAAGAAATTAGAAATTTATCAAGCTATTTTATTGAAACATACTAATGTTCGTGAAATATATTAAATAAGAATAATGCGATAGCGATACTAATTACACTTTAAACTGTATTGTAGATTAAAATAAAATGAAAAATTAATTAAAATCCGTCTCTTATTAAAGAAGTTAAATACCTTATTAACCTTTTTAAGCAATATTTAAGCAATAACAGTATAGAAATTGATTGATTTTTTGTTTCACTTAAAAACCATAATTACATATATTTGTTAATCGATTATCTCTTTCTGAGTTCATACAATTTATTCGAATTATTTTTATTACTATTTTATAATCGGGATTTTATAGTCATCATTTAATGAGGAAGAAATAATATTTTGAATTATATAATGCAAATTTGAAATAATCATTTACATAAATTTCAGGTCAAAATATTCAATTGAAGAAAAACGTGATGGATATAAAGTTGCTATGCGTCTTACAATTAAGAGATTTCATAAAGAAGATATTGGCAGCTATAGCTGTATATCAAGCAATAGCTTAGGAAAAGTTGAAGGCATATCTAGGTTATACAGTAAGTTTATAATATTTTTGTTACCAATATTAATCAATTAATCATTTTAAAGAAATAAAACAAATTTTAGTTTATATTATGGGTAATTATTATAATTAATATAAATATTCTATCAATTTTTAAAAAATAAATGTACTCTTACATTTCATTAATCAATTTATTTTTAAAATATAGAATTTAATAAATGATTGCATTTTTTTAAATATTATAATTTACATTTACATTGAATTGTCACATATGATTTGTAAAAATTTTATTCTGGAAATAAATTTAAATCTTGTATAACATTAAATGTTCAAATATTCAATGAAAAAATTATTGAATTGTCCAATACGAAATTTTTATAGAATTAAAAATTTAACATTTATTATTTATTTTAAACTTTATTTTTTGTTATACACGTGGACATACTACAAGAGAGAATTTTTTCTCAAACAAATTAGAATAATTTTCTCGATATATTATAGGTTTTATATATAAGAATTAATAAAGAAGAATAATATTTATATATTATAACAATGTATTAAAAAAGGTTTCAATTATGATAGGTCATAAACATTAAATATCATTAAAATTCGCAAATGCATTAATTAGGGTTTAAAAATAAAGTATAAAATAAAAAAATGACTAATTTATAAATGTTATTTATTCAAATTATATTGTTCGTACAATTGTAGAAAAAAGTTTAACAAATTATTATTATTTTCTGATTTAAAATTTTAATTATACAGATTAATGTGAAATATAAAGTAATTTAATGTTTAAAAAATACGTTAGATAATAGAATGAATTTAATAGATAACAATAATAAAAATAAAAATTCATCGATTTAGTAATGTTCGGGATTGAAGCAGTCCCATGAATTTCAAACAAAAGAAAGGTCATATACGCAGTCCGGCGTACCGCATGTGCGCCTAGACTGACCGCGCGTGCAGCAAGGCTGACCATCACGTGCGCCTAGGCTGATCCGCACGTGCGGACCGACGCGGGTACTCGAGCAAAATGTTTACAAACAAAACTCGGCAAGTCCGAGCAAGTTTATGACCCAAAATATAATATACTGTAAGATCACCCTAGAGTATTACTCCTATTTTTCTCTCGTCGAACATTCTCGAAGGTTCTAGATTTTTCCTTCGACGCCTCGGGTAAGAATTAGTGCAACAACAAGGACGCCTTGTTGCCAGCTAAGTGAGCCGGCGGGTGGCTATATAAAGGACGCACGCGGCGCATCTCGCTCTCTTGCTGAAGATACCTCTTGCTGAAGATACCGCTTGCTGAAAATCACCTCTTGCCGTACCACCCTCTCTCAACTGCGCTTGCGGCTAACATCTTGCCGTGACCCGACCGCAGTGACCGATCATAGTGAACCGATCTAACCATCTACCAGTAGAAGCCATGGCACACGGGTCTTCAGCAGGACCGTCATAGACCTCATTAACCTTGTTTTTAATATATTATATTTTTCAGCCTTGTCTGTTATTGATTTCCTTTAAAATTATCCTGCCGAGAGACTAATCCACTGAACTATTGAATTGGTAGTTCGAGCCATAAGCTAACCCTTTAAAATCGAACAAGTAATTAAGTATAAAAATTAAATTGTTAGCTGAGAAATATTAATAAAAAATATAATTATTTGGATGAATTTGAACAAATTGAAATTCTGTATTAAAAACAATTTTTATGACATATGAAATCGAAAATAAATCTTTCAAATATCAATGAAATCAATAAATGAATTATAATAATTGATTAAAATAATATTTAATTTCTATTAAATTGTTTAACTATATTAGTTTGACATTTAAAACGTATGTGATTTAATTCATTTTTAAAACATATTTTTGCAAAATTTCTATAATTTGATTTTGTACTAATTTTTTTTAACATTAACAATGTTTGCTAAGAAAATGTTAAAACCAATTACTTAAAATGGATTACAAAATGAATCTACATGTTAGGCTATCAAACATTTACTATTTGATATAGTTTTTGAATATTTTCTAAAATTAATATTGAATAAACCTAATAAATGTATTGTAAAAAATGAATATTGTTTTGAATTTATTACTATTATTGACATAATTACTCATTTATATAATGTAAGAGTTTGAATTATAATCGTTATAGATATATTTTTTTAAAAAGGTGCATATCAAAATTTAGTAATTGTACCGGACGAATAAATTAAATCGCTACTTTGTTATAATTACTTCAGAAATACGTGTAGGCACTGGTATTTGGGACTATCCAAGTTTTTATTACCTTCGTCTATATTCTATAAAGCTAAGATTAATAGTATTAATGAGTACAGTGAAATGATGGTGTCTAGCAATAATGTAAATACCTTGTGTAATATAGTTCGTCATTCAAGGTGATTGTTCATTTTCGTTAGTGAAGATTTATAAATTAACAGAAGATACATTTTTTTTAATTTTAAATGTTTGTATAATATTTAATTAAAATACTATCACAAAATAGAATAATACTATTAAATAGTCATTTTCGATGCGCTTAATAAAAGCTGAAAAGGACATTGATAGATAAGAGGACTAACACAAATATTTAGATTTAGAATAATGTAGGTTATTCTCAGGTTATGGTTAAAATAGGTTTTTGACTAAAGAATTAACAAGATATTGTATTAATAACATTTTGAAAATGCAGTTTCTAGGAGGGTTCATTTACAAAAGTTATTCGTAAAATTATCTATCTTTATACCTACTATTTCGATAATACACAAACATTGTATCACTAAATTGATGACGGCTAGCAAAAAATATGTAATAAAATTCATATAAACTTGAAATAGTTTTAGTTTTAATATTTATAAAATATAAATTTTATAAATAAAATTTTGAATAATTGTTGCAATTTTAAATGTTTTTCAGAAATTGGAGAGTTTGATGGACATAGCTTGATGCACGAATCACATCATATTTCAATTTTAGCAGGTACAATCATTTGTTATATTACATTTAATATAAACAGATATATATATAATCAAGTATTTGTACAAGTAGTATGTGTATATTATTACTGTCAGTTATATTAATTATGACAAGTTAAATTTGATATTAGATTATATTATTTTGTAAATTGTATTGCAAGTTTATATTTTAGCTAAAATTTTATACTTCCACTAATAAAATAATTTTGCTGTTTAAAATTGAAAACTATGAAATGCAAATAGAATAATAGAATAAAATAGGAATAGATTTTTTGATGGGAACTATATTTTATAATATTAAAAGCAAAATAAATTTACATTTTGTATTTTAATACTTCGTGTTTGGGATCAGACTTAAAAACCTGCCGGTGATGTTAGGGGGGGTGTTTGCTGGCAAGTGAAGGAAGCAGATGCAATTATTCAATTCTTCACACAGTGTATCTTGGTTTTCCCTTTATTAAATACAATAATATGATTATTATTGATGATTGTAGAGAGAAGATTGAAGATTGAATAGTGAGTCCGTCGTTTTGACTGCGTAATTGTTACTAGACTAGACTGAGAATTAGACTATGACCCTTAAATATTCTCGTGGTAGTTTTAACGCCGGTAGCGATCCGGTGTCTGTTGCTATGCCGATATTTGTCGTGACGTCAATAGGGCATAGCCTTGGAAGGTTCATTGGCATTATTTTTTGGATTTATAGTCGTATATTCAAGTTTTCGGCGTAGAAACATTTCTCGAGTTCGTTGGCTAGTGTTTATAAACAACTGTTCGCGCGCTCATACCTCTTCTACTTTACTATTCCGCCTTTCAACTGTTTCAATCCGTAACAATTATTGTTTTTTTTCTTTCTACATATTCGCAGATTTTAAATCTTTTTGCATACAAATTATGTTTTAATTCTGTACGAGATTGCGAGACCCTTTTTTCAATGCAATATAACATCTGGCAAAACAGCATCGTAAATTTGTTTTTAGATTTTAAAACTTTCTTGCTCGCAACCATCTAGCAATAGTATCATAAAACATCTGGAAAAACAATACAATAAACATAGAAAAAACCCACTGATTAGGTATCTGTACGAATTCGCTCCGCTCGGTAACTACTTCAAGCAGTATGTACTAGCGGACCCCCACCCCCTTCTCGCTGTCTACAAGTTGTCATGCTGTCGCTAGATGCATCAGCGGCAACGGGAGCTCTTCTTGCCGTGAAGACCAAGAGACGACTACGCCCTTAATTAACTATGAAGCCACAAGAGGCACTGCCCTCTCTCTGTACGGGAGGATTCTCTGATTGGACGAAAAATAAGGGAAGGGGTTCAAGTGAAGTTCATGGTTAAGTGTAATAATAAGTGTCAAGTGGAAGTCCATTAACGCAGTTCAAGGCAATAGTCGTTACGCGTCCTAGAAGAACGTCGACATATCCCGTTATGTCCATTAACGCAGTTCAAGAAACCGTTTAGATAAGAACAAGTTTAAAAGGATCGAAGACATATCCCCCTATCGAAGTCCGAAGACAAGTGGACAATTAGTCTTCGTAAGTAGTATCACCACTACAATAATCAACTAAAACTTAAGATTCAGAATACGAAATCGACAAGCAACCAAAGAAGAAGAGGCTCTCACTAGAGAGACAGTGCGGAATCATTCCAAGCTCGACGTCAAGGTCGCATCAACTGATGCGAGACATGCCGGCCTTACCCTCACTTTAGTTCAAAGTCTGACGCTTATGAATCCACAGCGTGCCATTCAACGCTCTCAGAAGACGCAACACGTAGCAGTATCCTGCATGAGGTAAAAGCCTTTACACTCTTACTTCCATCTGTATTTATTGCAGTATGGCAATATCAGGACAAGGTACGCTTGTTACGATACAAGTATATCATCAAGTAACAACAATTATATGTATCTCTCTCCATAACAACCATAACCTCAATTACGCACGTGGTCATCCAAACAGCGCGAGTATCGACGAATCAAACTTCGCACCATTCTGTGTTCATATTCAAACCATCACGCTGCATAGATGAGTATACGTTTGCCACCGCAAACACATTAATCCACCCCAAGAGTTATTTCAATAATTAATAATAGTAATAATAGTCAAGCCTAGTCATTAAATAATACCATATATTGGTTGTTTAGGTACTTCACAAAGTATATATTATATCAATATATCACTAATAAAAAAAAATGTAATCACTAAAATAATAAATTAAATTAAATTACGAAACATCTTATTAGAAGTACTAAAAATGAACATAGTAATGACTCACGTAATTATAGACATTACAGATAAAATTTACTAGATATAAATAAATCTTCTTATATACAATTATAAAATGTATTGCTTACATTTTTCTATTTTATTAATAATGTTCGAGATTGCGAGACCTTTTTCAATGCAATAAAAAATCTGCCAAAACAACATCATTAAATTGTCGTTAGTCTTCAGCAAAATTCTGCTCATTTTATATCAAGCGAGAATGTCATAAAAATTAATAGACTCGATTATAAAGCTTGATGAAAACTCTCTCACAGACGTCGGAGACATGAAAAAGTCAGTACATCTGGAAAACCTCGAAAATCAGTCATGCTAGTTACTTTTAATTGCCAATGCATTCATTGTTTCACACGTTAATGACCCATCTGTTTACTGTCACGACCGCGTCGAATTTGCTTGTGCTAGAACAATTGGAAGTGCCAGATGTACGTGAAACTCTTGACCATAAAAAACATTTCCTACTTTTCACTGCAACCCAATATCCCAGCACGTGCGGCATCGGACAATCGGCGTACGTGCGCATTCGGAATCTTAGGACAATGCTTACATTGTTCTCAACTGCGCCGCATTTTGCCGATCGCGCTAGCCAATCGACAGCACTCCCAGAGGACCACCCATATCGATAAGTGAGAGAAGACGAATAGTAGACCCCCCCCCCCCTTTAGACACTTTCCCGATTTTAGCATATTCAAGACTAAACCCGGAAGGAAGTGAAAATAAAGGCGTGCATGATCAATCATGCTGCCGAAAGTCGCGCTTTGATTGGATACAAGAAAGAAGAAGGGGTCACTAGTGGAACCGGGTCAGTGGACTATTTAAGAAGGACAAATGCAATTTACTGACACTTATTCTAACGAAAAGTCACGACTATTTCCGAGAAGGAGGAACAGGGAAAAAATCGATCAGCTGAGTCTTGTAAAATAGCTTTCCATTTCTGTAATTCATGACCACAGATACATATAATCTCGCCAAACAAGTAAAGCTCAAGGAATGAGATTCCCGTCATCTCAAGGAGAGACAAGGATAGTTCAAGTGTAAGCAGTTCGTGCTTAAAAGCTTCACGTTCACGCCCGTGAGGAGAAATAAAGAATATCACGTTACAACTTCAAGTAAGTCTGCATTAGTGTTCATTCTTCACTTCACGGCCCATTCAGATAGCGGACCTACAAGCAGTTAGTGTCCAGAAGTTTCCCGCGCATGCTCTACGCTCCCGCACTACGCAAGACCAGTAATTCGCGCCATTCGGTGACCCGCATTTCCTCTAACCTCAATCTTAGGCTCGTGCTCACTCACACGACTTATTATTAGAGGCAGCTGCAACACGTGCCAAGACCACGACGCAGACAAGAACAGTTGTATTCGTTCAAGCGCACAACAAACAGCCATAACCTCTCAAGTGATAGTATTTAAAAAAGTGACAATAGTTTATAGCCTATTTCTTTCCACAATAAATCATTTTTTAACACGTTTCGTCCAGATGATCAAGAAATTCACAACCTTCTGGTTCTCCAATATAGAATATATCAATATCCAATAGAAGTATACCACAACGTCTCATTATTATTGAGAAACATAAGGTCATTTATAACCTCATCACGATTAATAACCCCTAAATTGGAAGTAAATTGAAAAATAAATGAAATAAACAGCAATAAGAATTATATGTGTTAATTATTGAATCAGTGCATTAACCCCTCCACTTGCCCACGCATTCTCCGATACAACATCTAGTGGTTTTCTTAGTTAATTCTATACGTTTGGTTTTATGAACCGGATTAGTGGAATTAATTTTTATACAATATGAAATCATGACAAAGTACGTTATTGTATATTAAATTATAATAGTACTAATAAAACTTTAATAACAAAACATACGGATGTTGATAATTCAGTAGGGAATTTATTCATATATATGGAATATTTTAATTGAGAATTAAAGTTTGATTTTTTTATTTGTTCGAAAAGTTTGTATATTTAATCCGATTCGAAGGATCAAATGTGTTTAGTTTTCTGGCTCGAACTGCCAAGTTCAATAGCTCAATTTATTTGTCGCCCGAAGGGCTGTAAAGATGTACAGTGTGCGTAAACTTCGTTAGGACATCGTTTATTTAGTTTTATTCACAATCACACTATTGTTGTTTTGTAGTCACTTCTCGTGGTAGAAAGTGAATTATGTTCTATCACAATGATGTAGTTGCTCCTTGGTGATGGTGACGATGTCGTCGATGACGTTATGGAGAACATGAATGTATTTTGTAGATTCCTTGAAGGGGAATATGGCTTGGTTTGAGGTCTGTGCTAACGTTGTAAAGGTTAGCGGGGGGAGCCGACCGTACTCATAAAGGGAGTATGGAATTAATTGGGTGGTAGTTACCTTTAATAGAGATAATTTCGGGTCAAGGATGGTCCGATACCATGCTTCTTGTAGTCGACTATTTCTTTGTACTGCAGTCAGCACCCTTGACTGGTTGTTAACCGTTGCGCACTGGAGAACTGAATGTGCGTTTCTTGCAATGGATGCACTGAGAGAGCGAGCGTTGCGTGACTTTCTCTCTGTTGTAGACTCCGTTTAGTAACGTGGCTAGGGCGTAGATGACGGGATAGAATAAGTAACTGACTGGGAGAAATAACTGACACTGTGTACTAAGTGACTGCTGAGTAATAACTACCAACAATGTATACTGAGTGACTGCTGAGAGATAACTACCGACAATGTGTACTGAATGACTGCTGAGTGATAGCTCAGCATTCGGCGAAAGCAAAGTCTTGGAAGATACGAGAATTGAATCGACGTTGCTATGTGAAGGTTAAATAAGCAGTCTTGCAGAACGTTCAAGAATCTAATCCTTGAGCTAGTCGAGAATTCTGCTTGTCGAATATAAACATTCGAGAGCTAGAAGACTTCGTGAATTTCCGAGAACCGAAGGCCTCGAAAAAATGCTCCAATTTCAAACATTATTAAATAAAGAAAATTTCGGATTTTTATATAAAATAAAAATTTGTATATTTATTTTTGCTTTTAAATTAAAATAAATCATATAATTTTTTAATGTAAATTACAATTATATTTTAAAAATAAATATTTAATGATTTTATTAAGTAATATTTAATTTTTAGGTTTAGCAGAAGCAGCTCGAGATTCTGACACAAAGAGTAGTATAAGCTTAAACAGCAGCGTAAGATGCTTTAAAAGTTATAACTATACTTTGCTGTTAATACTATTACGAAATTATTTTTCCGAGCGGTGAATAAAAAAAATTTACTCCAATATTATATGATAATAATTTCCATCAATCAATTTTGTTATAATAAAATTAATTTATACAATAAAAATATACTTTAATTTATAATATACAGAATTCCTAAGGATTTTATTTATTGAATGAAAGATGTAATATTATTTTTAAAACATTATATAAAATATATTATATATAAATTGTATATGCATAGATAGATAGATATACAGTATCAGAGTATCTTATATATATAATAACTCAATTAGATACCTAAAATACCATTCTAAGTAATTACAATAAAATCTACATTACTACAATTAAATTTTAATTTTAAATTAATAAATTAATTTATTGAAATTTAAATATCAATTGTTACTTTTTTTAGTTTATATATTATTAAATATTAAAATTTTACTAATGACCATATATAAAAATTTATAAATGTTGAAAAAAAGGTTAAAGTAACTCATTATTGCACATTAGTAAATAAATACAAAATTCAATATAACTCATTACAAAAAATTCGAAGAAATTAAAAATATAAGTAAGACCAAAATTTCGAATTTAATATTGAGAATAAATTTATAATAAAATATATGTACAAATATTTTGCATTTATTTGACTGTATCAAGTTTTGACCTTGTCGAAATAATTGTCGATTGACATGTGAAAAGACAATGTGTAATAATATTTTTTTTCTTTTTATAAATAATTTAATTTTCTAAAGCTACAGTTAAGATTGTATCAAGATATTACTTTATGAAAATTAATTCGATTAATTATAGTAAAGTATTAAATTATTTATTAAATAATGCTGTATTAAAGAAAATTGTTTTTGTTTGTTGAAAAATAGCAGAAAAATTATATATATGTATAATTCTATGTGTGTATATATATATATATATATATATATATATATATAATATATGTATATAGATTACTCAGAAATGCGTAGAAGATATAAAAATCTATGGAATTTAATTAACTGGAGTACGAGTCAAGTGAAATACAAATAAAATTAAATGGATTGAAACTATTTAATCAATTTATTCAACTTTTCTTCCAGGAAATCTAAAAAATTATTCTAGATTGTTGATTATTTCAGTCTTTAAATATTTATATATTCTTAATATCTTTGATGCTTGTATGAAAATATTTGATATTTCTTCTATTTTCTGTTAATTGAATGAATTTACAGAATTTATCACTATTTTATAAACTTCTAGTTTTTAGAAGAGATCTGTTATTACTAAATTTCAGTTTCTTTTTTGCTTCTACTTTACTTCAACTCTTGGCTGGACTATGTTTGACTTAACTTACTATCCATGATTTATTATACTCATAATTTATTAATTTAAGCCTTTCAATAACATATTTTACTATAGAACTATTTCCGTATATTCATGTATCATTATAATTGTATACATGTAAGGTTGAATCTGATAATGCTTATAAGTAAAATATAATGAAGTAAACAAAGATCTTAATTAATATTTCTCAAGTACTATTTGCAAAATCTGTATCCTGGACAACATCGTCTTATATATATATATATATATATATATGTATACTTATGAAATTTTTTGGTAAAAATCTAAAGAGCTTATGACTATTTAAATTTGAGTAGGAAGACTGAAAGTCAAGCACGTTTAGTTTGGGTTATAGCAAAACAAGAGGAGAGGGAAAGCTACATGGAGAGAGAGAGAGAGAGAGAGAGAGAAGCATAAATTAGTAATTTAAAAACAAAAGAGGTCATCTAACTTGAGATAATATAAGCAAATAAAAAAGACACAAGAATACATCTGTATAGTAGTGAATGCGTATTGAGAGCATACTGAGTTAATAAAAAATGGGCCACTATGACGGTACTTACGTTATAAATATATGATTTAAAATCATGAACCAGAATTCACATTTAGATTGATTAATAAAATAATGAGCATTTATAAATTAAACCAATAAATTATTTTTTAATTTTCTCTTTTTTTATATTTTAATGACCTCATAGAAATTATAAATATAAATCAATATTTTATAATGTTATAATAATGAAAACTTCAATTCGTTTTTGCATTTGAAATAAATGAACCAACGTTAATTATTTTTAAATTTAAATATTAAGAAAATAAATATAGTTTATTTACTATTATAAATATATTTTAACCAAAATATCAAATATTTAAATACTTTTGGATATATTAAAAATATACTTAATATTTAAATTAGTATTTATTCTCAACTAAAATATTAAATTTCAAACTATAAAAAACATGTAATTGAAAAGATAGTTTGTATAATTATTGCATTTTGTTAAAATGTATTATTATTAATAAAACTATATCATTTTTTTCTATTTTACTTGATTGAGTAATATATTTCCTCGTTAGGTTTATTTTACAGTATAGGCGTAATAAATTTTTATGATTTATTGTTCTATGTTTAATAATTTATATACCAATGTTTGAGATTGACGCAGTTCCCACGAATTTTAAACAAAGTGGGTCATACGCGCTGTATGGCGCACGACACGCGCGCTCGGAACGGCACACGCGCTCCGGCGAATGTTTATAAACAAAACTTGACAAGTCCGAGCAAGTTTTACGATCTGAAATATAATGAAATATGTTTTATCTTAACACGTGTGCAGTTGTCTCTAAATATCGGTCGTAAGAGAGCCTAAATGGAGGTTATGCGAAGCTGTGCGCCATCTGAACAACTTATAGTTGGAGGGACTGAAAAGCCGATGTGGCTTTTGTAGCTGATCTTGTTCTAGAGTATGTCCGGGAAGCTTCCGTAGTTGGACTTTAATCCGTCCGTCTCTTACATAAGCCGAGAAATCAAGAATCAGTACTAGCTGTAAGGACTTACTTGCAGTGTATCGTGATTTTGCAGTCTCTTTTCGGTGGCTTGTTATGACGTTCCCTTGTAATGTTGCAACTCTTTAGTTCTTCCTTATCTCCAAGTGAGATTACAAGTGGTCAGGTCCTATACAATCCAGTCTTGATGAGATCAATTCAACTGTACACTAATTCACAATCGTAGAAAGAACTTCTTATTAAGACTCAGCTAGCTAAAGGACTTGTCTCTCCGGTCCTCCTCCGTGAGAGTAGGTCGTGACTTATCCTTCAACTGTGAGAAGTATTTGGAAGGAGTAAGTCGTGACTTATCCTTATACTGTAAGAAGTATTTGGAAAGAGTAAATGAAGGTACATTACGGAGTCCTTTCTTAAATGGTTCACTGATCCCGCTCCACTTGGAATCCCTTCTTCCTTTATTAATTAACCAATCAGAGGTTGATCTTGGGCCGCACAATAGATTATACACGCCTTCATTTCCACTTCCTTCCGGCATCCCTCTCTGGGACTTGGCTAGAAGAAGGGTCCGCTTGGGTGTGGTCAATTTTCCAATGCGATCGACCAGATGTGGCATAGCCAAGAACAATGCAAGCATTGTCTTAAAGGCCGAGTGCGCACGTATGGTCATTGCAGGTTGTTGCACGTGCGGGTTTTTGGGTTGCAGTGAATTTAGTAAATGTTTTGTACTTTGATGCTTTACGCATATCTGATGTTCGTTCTGAATCTACTTTGGGGTTCTCCCGACAATAAACCTGTTAAGTTCTACTGCACTGGGAGTATGAGCACGTTTCGCTAGAGTTTTCCAGATGTTTTATGACACTAGTGCAAAATAATTATGAGCAGGAAAGTTTTGAAGTCTTAAATACAATTTTCATGATATTACTTTCCAGATGTTTTATGACACTAGTGCAAAATAATTATGAGCAGGAAAGTTTTGAAGTCTTAAATACAATTTTCATGATATTACTTTCCAGATGTTTTATGACACTAGTGCAAAATAATTATGAGCAGGAAAGTTTTGAAGTCTTAAATACAATTTTCATGATATTACTTTCCAGATGTTTTATGACACTAGTGCAAAATAATTATGAGCAGGAAAGTTTTGAAGTCTTAAATACAATTTTCATGATATTACTTTCCAGATGTTTTATTGTCTTAAAAAAAGGAGTCTCTCATTCTCAAACAGTTTTACTAAAATACATAATATTTTTCAGCCCTGTCACTTATTATTTCCTTTAAAGTTATCCTGACGAGAAACGAATCCACTGAACTATTGTATTCGAGTAGTTCGAGCCATAAACTAAACCTTTAAAATAATTAATTACTAATATATTAATTACTAAAAAAATTAATTAATAATATAATTACTAATATAATAATAATTTTTCTATCACTGAGAGCATTTGATGAATTTATATCCAATATAGTATATAATCAATTGAAGTTTTAAAATAAAGAATATTTTGTAAGGCAAATGTATTATTAAGGTTCCATAACTTGATTTGATATTAAATGTACGGCAATTATGTATAAGTTTAAATAAATTAATTACAAAATATTTCAATATTCTTTTCAGAAGGCAATATGATTTATGTACTTAAATGACAATATCAGTCCATAAACTGTAACAACAATATTATTAAACTAAAAAGAAATGTTCAAATTGATATTGATTGTATTGATAAAATAGAAGACGTATAATAATTCACATAAATAAATAATAAAATTTTTGTTAAATTAAAAAAATAGTTATTAATAATAATTTTCCATTGACAAATTTATTTTGAGCTCTATTTTTAAAAAAATTTAAATAAAACTAAAAAATAGCAAAATAGAAAAGAAAGTAAACTAATTCAATTTTAATATGATTAATTAAATAATTTAATTTAATATGAATATATATATATATATATATATATACTACATCAGTTTATACAAGTAAATAATGATAATGATAAATAATAAGATTATTTAATAAAGACTAATATTGTTCGAAATATTGTGGGGATGTAATTCTTAGCTCGAACTGCCAATGTTTCAATAGTTTAGTTTGCCGCCCGCCGTAGCAGACGCTCAGGAAGAGGCGAGATATATGGGCTGTACAAGAGTTGTGAGAGTTGGTTAATTATATTTATTATACAATTTATTACACTATTTACATATGGATGTTGTAGAATCTTCTTGTATCTTATA